GTCTATGAAGCTAATAAAAATTTGAAAAATCTAGTAAGGACCGTACAATAAGTGATTTTTTTTTTTTTTTTTTTTGCAAGATGGAAAGGCTGATAGACACACAGGAGAGAGAAAATGAGAATGAATCCCAGTCTGTGGTCCAGGTTGGTCCCAAGGTCTCTATGTAGCTAAAAATGAGTTTGGATTTTTTTAAGCTATCCTTTTATTACATTTGTGTATTCACTTGGCTGGCACACTCATAGCATAGTACCAGTGCAGAGGTCAGAAGGCAACCACAGGACTCACTTTTCTCCTCCACTCAATGGGCCCCCAGGGATTAAACTTGGACCATCAGCCTTGGCATCATGCACCTCTATCCCATAAGCCAGCTCGCCAGCCTGGCCTTGGGCTCTGGATCCTCCTATCTCCACCTCCTTAGTGCTAGAATTACAGGCATGCTCCATGATGCCTGCTCTATGTGGTGCTGGGAATAGAACCAGGGCTCTGAGCATCCTAGACAAGCACTCCGCCAACCCTGCTACCTCCCCAGCTGGATTTTCCTGATTTCTCCAGTGACGTTCTAGTTATGTGAGGTGTATTTTTAATTTCCAAACACACAGAAATTTCAAATTATTTTTTTTCATTATAATTTCTTAACGCTGGCTGGAGAGACAGCTCAGTGGGTAAGATGTACATTATCCATGAAGAGAAGTTCCCGGCACTGGTGTCAGGGTGGCTCACAAAGGCCTGTGATTCCAGCTTCAGGGGTATCCTGAACCTTTGGCCTCCTTGGAAACTGGTAATCCTGTGCATAGAATTCACACACGGACCCCCCCACATATACCTAAGTAAAAACAACACAGTAAATTTCTAGCTCAGTTGCTCTGTGGTCTGTGTGGTAATAACTGAAGTTAGTTGAAATGAATTTTGATGGCCTGGTACATCTCGAGCTGTTGAGCGTCCTGTGTGTGCTTGAGAAGGATACATGAGATCATTCTGTCAAAAGCAGACCTATGTCTTTGGCTCTGTCGTATTGAGTGTTTTGCTTCCGTTTTCTATGTCTCCGTTGCTTTATATGCTTATTGTCTGACTTTCATTATTCCCCTGACACTTCATTTTAAATTTCTCTCTTAGATGTCATAGAATGGCACCCACATGATATATTTTCCATCCCTTTGTTTTTAGCCCTTTAAAGTCATTTTACCTTAACCATGCCTCTTAAAAATACTTTATAGCTCTCACATTTTTACCCAAATGGACAATCTTTTGTTCTCCCTGACAAGTTAATGGTATTTGCATTTTTTGTGCTTCTTGATCTGTGTGATCTTATTTTAAGTTTCTTACTAGTCCCAATGTTTTTACGTTTTCTTTTTCTTTTTCAACTGCTACCCCTTTAGATAAATCTCCCTTATCCGTTATCCTCCCCCCCCCCCCCCGTGTAGCCATTTGAAAATCAGCTCCCCACCTGTTCCAATCCTTCTGGCAATTACTCTACAATCTCATCAGGCATTTTCAACACAACAGAACATTACAAATTCGTATTATTCTCTTCCTCCCAAAGGAATTCCTTCCAAGAAAGGACTTCAGAACTTCCATGCTCCTGACCCCTTCCTTGTCCTCCTAACCCCTCCCCTGTCCTGATTTCACTCTGCCATCCCATCAACTAACATTTCAAAGTTTTCGTCCCCACAGACGGTCACTGGGACTTGACTTAAAAACTGCTGCTTCTGTTCACCATCCCTTTGTGCATCCGGGGCTGTTTCTTCTGGGTTACTTTCCCCCTTGCAGAGGCGAGCTCTCCGAAGAGTCCTCTGTAATGATAAATGGCCTCCAAGTGCGTCTCCCTGCAGATGAATCCTCTTGCCCTCACTCTCCAGTGATGCCAGTGATGCTTCTAACAAAGAGCATCCCCACAGCTAGAGCCCTGTCCTCTCAGCATCCTAAGACTGCGTTTTTCTCTTCTGGCTCCCACTGATGCTGAGGAAGTCTGCTGTCCATTTAGCTGCTGTTCCTTTTCCAGGTGCTTTTTGAGATGTGACTGTTTTCCCTAGGACGTTCTGCAGCTTCATGCATATTCATGAGGACATCTTTTTTGACGGATTGAAATACATTGTGCCTTCTAGATATGTAAGTTGGGTTATCTATTCTAGAAAATTTGTCAGCATCTCTTTTTTGGGGGGGGAAGAAGGGTATATTGTGTTTGCAAGTATGTGTTGTATATGCATGTGTGTGTTGTGTGTGCCGTGTGTGCATGTGTGTGTGCAAACATGCAACGGTCATGTGTGTGGCGGATAGAGGTTGGCATCAGGTGTGTTTCTCAATGTGCTAGGTCTCATTAGGAAGACATGGTTTCTCACTGTACCTGGAACCTACTTATTTGTCTGGACCACCTGGCCAGCAAGTTCCCAGGGTCCTCCTGTCTCTGCTTACACCAGCGCTGGGATTACAGGCACAGGAAAGTACAACAGAGCTTTTACATGGGAGAGGGTGCTGGATACCCACACTCATGCTCTCAGGCACGTGAGGCAGGTACTTTACTGATATGGTCATCTCTCCAATACCCCTCCCCCAACATCTCTTTACTCATTCTCTTCCTCACAGCTCTCCCTTTTTTCCTTTCTGCACCTCCAGCGGGGTATTTGCTAGATCTTCTCATTCTAGAATCAACAAAACTCTGCACAGATCTTCCAAATGTTGAATTTTCTCTTTCCCTGTTTCATTTTCTTACTAGGATATGTCTTATCACCTGAACTTTTTTCATTTTTAAAAGTCCCGTAATTTTAAAACCATTTCTTCTTTCTTTCTTCTTCTCCTTTTTCTTTTTCTTCTCCTCCTCCTTCCCCTTCCTCTACCTCTTCCTTCTCCTCCTCCTCCTCCTCCTCCCCTTCTTCTTCACAGGATGCTCACTATGCAGACCTGACTGGCTAGCCCCCAACTCATAGAGATCCTCCTGCCTCATCATCTGAGTGCTAGGATTAAAGGTGTGCTCTGCAATGGCCAGCTTGCTTCATTTTCTTTCTTTCTTTCTTTCTTTCTTTCTTTCTTTCTTTCTTTCTTTCTTCCTTCCTTCCTTCCTTCCTTTCCTTCTTTCTTTCTTTCTTTCTTTCTTTCAGATAGGGTCTCTCTATTATATACCTCTTGTTATCCTGGAACTTGTTATTTAGACCAGGTTGGCCTGGAACTCACAGATCCACATGCCTCTGCCTCCCGAGGGCTGGAATTAAAAGCAAGTGCCATCATGCCTCCATGTTTCTTCATTCTCGATCTTCTCTCACTGGATGTCCTGTGTGGCTCCTCAGACACACTGTGTTCATCAGTCTCTCCTCGCTGTGACAGAATACCTGAAATAAGCAGCTTTATTTCAGTTCACGCTGTCAGAAGTTTTAGTCCATGGTCACCTGGCCCTGTCACTTTGGATAATACAGGACATCATGGTAGAACAGGCAATAAAGCAAAAGTACTCACCTTATGGTGTCAGGGAAAGCAAGAGGAAAAAAGGGGGCAGGGTCCCAATACCCACTTCAAGGTATACACCAATGACCTAACTTCCTCCCACTAGAGAACCACTTCAAGATTCCCCTCAGGACACCATGGGCTGGCGACAGGCCTTCAGTAGACAAGCACTTGGGAACATTTCAGACCCAGATGATGTCACATGCCCAGCCTGTGTTTTGGGTTTGGTGGCTACACCATCTGTAACTCTCAGGAAGATGCATCCGATGGCCTTGATTTCACTGCCTCTCACACTTGCTTCTCGTAGCTTTGCTATCTTCATGTATGAGCTTCACGTGTGAGCCAGTGGTGCTCATATGTTCTCTAAGGAAATCCTGTTGGCATGAAACCATAAGGGAAGAAGGGATAGAGGGCTGAAGAAGGAGAATGGTTGAGAGGGAGGGAGGGAACTTTCATTCCTGTTTTGACTTGAACGTAAGGCATTCAGGACTGTCAATGCCCTCTTCTAAGGTTTTGATTCAGGCCGAGAAGATATGCTCAGCTACTCCTCAGCGCTGTTCTGAGACCAACTTTCCCATGACCCCACTACCATCAGTCTGAGATCACTTCCCACAAACTGGCTGCTGTCAGTGGGGTCTTGGGAGGGCTTCCCTCTTCTGGTCACCTGTAGCCTAAGCCAACGCCATGCCACACACATCCCATCAAGCCTGCCCTTTGCTCCTGCCCTGCTTCCTTCCTTCAATACCTTGGCTTCTGGCAGTCCCGTTCCCGCCTCCCTCACCCTGAGGACTCCATTCACACTTGGTGATCTCCGGGAACGGCCCTGAAGCCTCGGCCTCTTTTCATCCCACCTGCCTTCAAGCCAGAAGTCCCTCAGAGGCAGCTAGACTGCTGGGTTCACCGCAGTGCTTTGTCTAGCCCTAGCACCGCAGATCACAGTCCCGTCTGTCCTTTTCCCTCATTTTGAACCCATTATTCCTGATTATGAAGGTCTTTTTGTGTGTGTGTGTGCATTTATCACAATTAATGTTTTGATGCAAAGACAAAATCCACCCCCTAGCTCTGCTAGGGTTCAAGCGAGGTCTCTCATGCCCTTCTTTTCATCCAGGAGACAGCTGTTCAACACCTACTCTGCTTGGTGCCTGAGTTCCTGACATCAAATTACTTAGTACCATTTTTTTTTCTCAGCCCAGGAGGGACCATACATGCTAATGAGCCACCTGGCTGGGGTGAGAGCAGGTCACAGCACTGGCTCTCACGGCTATGCCAATGGCCAGATGGCCCTCTCACAGCTCTTTTTCCACCATCTGATATGAGGCTTAGCCTCACAAAATGAGCCCCGGGCACATGCAGGGGTCCTTACTCTGGGGTTCTTACAGTTTTGATAGCGGCCTCCATCCTTGCCAGCTGCCTTAGTTTTCAGGGTGTCGTGTAGTGTCCTCACCATTGTTCTCAATATTGGAAGCTGAACCTTCCCTGGGGCTCCTGGAAATTCTGGGAGCCAGAAATAGCCAAGGCCTCCAGGCAGCTCACTGAGCTGGTGAGAAGTGCAGCCTTTATTTCCCCAGGGATAAAGTGGACACCTGATGAAAATGGAGTCATTGCCTTTGACTGCAGAAACCGTGGCTGGTAAGCATTCCCAGGGAAGAGGTACTGTGCCCCGGCACTTAGCTTTCATCCCTTAGGCTTCACCCGGCTTTCCTGCTCCCTCCCCTACCCAGAGGCTTAGGGAGGAACATCTCTTCATCCAACCCGGGAATGGGAAGATTTGCTGGCTACACTTCTCGCCTCGCTCCCCACTGTCTCCAACCCAGACCTCCTTCTAATACCCAAGGCTGTCTCCAGATCAGCCCGCCTCCAGCCCTGCTCTTGCCAAACCCTTGACCTGGTAGGTCAGCCTCACGTTTGAGCCCCCTTCTTTCCTGCTGCCAGGCCCTCGGGGGCCCTGGCTGTCCTCTGCCAAAAAATGAGAGGTCTTACTTCCAATCTCCCTATGCCAGTAGCCTCGGTGGCCAAAGGTTACAGCACACAATGAAACCTGAGGACAATGGGGCACTGCCTAAGCTTGGGGAAACCCATGGGCCAGACCAAATTAATGAGCTGGAGGCTCCCAGCCAGGTGGCATTACCAGCCTTGGCCTGCTTCCCATTTATGTTTCCCTCTGCTAAAGGTACATACAAGCTGCCACTTCTCCCAAGGACATAGTGATTCTGGTGGACGTGAGCGGCAGCATGAAGGGCCTGAGGATGGCTATTGCCAAGCACACCATCACTACCATTTTGGACACCCTGGGGGAGAATGACTTCGTGAATATCATTGCGGTAATGGCGGCCTCATGTTCTGCAATTGCTCTTTGCTCTCACCTGCTCTGGGAGAAAAAAAAAAAAATTTTTTCCTGTACCGTAAGGGCCAGTGTTTCCAAGCTCAGGTGCTTCCCATCACAGAAGGACACCTTCCTCCACACTGGGAACTCCTGAACCAGGACCCATAGTCTGTCTTGGGGTGGCTTTATGAGGACCCTTAAAGTATCGGAAATAATATGTGAATGTGCACATCTCTCTTGGAGACCACATTCTTCATCACTTTCTCAGTGTCTGGGCTCTGATACAGACCACCAGCCCTTGCAGTGCTCCCGTACCCTCCATGGGCTCCTGGCAGCATCGCTGCTGGCAGCCCCCCTCCCCCCATTCACAGAAGGTCAAGGTCTTTGCCCCTTGATGTATTATGACTCCAGTTCTCTGGCTTTCCTTGTCCCATAAGCCCAGGTGCACAGACAGGAAGCGGGTGCTTAAAGAAAGGGGGAGAGTGCTTTACAGTATATCAAAATAGGGGACCGCTTCAGCTCCATGGAAGCAGCACTGGTAATCACAGCAGGGCGTCATTTTGAAGGCCACTTGATCGAGAATTCCTTGTCAGTCTGTATAGTCGCTGCCGTCCTAGGCTGTTAGTGGAATTTGTGTAGCATGTAGACAGGCTTAGGCAAAGGGGTCTTGCTTCAGAATGATCCTGCTGGAGACCCAGGTCCTGAATTGCTACCCAAGTGATGCCCATGGAACCACTCCTAGTCATCACCCTCCCCGGGTTGACTTCCACCCCCATCTCGGAGCCTGTACAGACAAGATGGCCACAGAAACAGGTTCCAAACTCTACCAGGGAGTGGGGGAGTACTGTCCCTCAGAGCCTGCAGCTCTCTGTCCCATGGTCTGCCTTGCTTCCTCAGAGATACTCCCAGGAAGAACGTTCACTCCCAGCATTCCCAGTGTACCCCACAGCTCTTCCACAATGTAGCTACCTAGTCCTCTCTCTCCCCCTCTTACTTAAGCAGAAAGTAGATTAGGGACCCTAAAAAAAAAAAAAATCTGTATTCTTAATCTCCCTGGTAGTAGTATTCTTACTACCAGGGAGATTAAGAAAAGGGGTAGTAATAATTCATGTTTCTCCCTGTGGCTAGCTGAATAAATTGCCCATATGTATGCAGGGCAAAGAGCAAGAGCACATTTGTAACTAGCTGTAATATAGGCTTGGTGCAAGCCTGTACTATCAGGATTCCAGACACTGAGCCAAGATCCATGAGTTAAATTCCAGGCCAGCCTGGGCTCCATAATGAGGCCTTCTGCCAAACAAACAACAACAAACAGTAGTTTGGAATTCCCTGTGCAGGCTGGGGATGGATCTATGCCAGGGAGGCTCTGGGATTAATGGAAGGTGCCATGGCTGGTCTGAGTGCACAAAGGAATCCCCTCAGAGTGGCAGGTTCTCAGCACACCCTAGAACGTGCACCTCGCATCAGAACCAGAACTAGGGGAGCGGTTTTAGAGTCAAGAGTCTCTGCTTGCTCTGTTCAGACACCCTAAGACTGTACTGCGCAGTTCCCCGGGTGAGACACCCGTGTTTTCTCTCTCTCTCTCTCTCTCTCTCTCTCTCTCTCTCTCTCTCTCTCTTCTTCTTTACTGTGGCCTGCAGTACAATGAGTACGTGCACTACATCGAGCCCTGCTTCAAAGGCATCCTGGTCCAGGCAGACCGAGACAACCGAGAGGTGAGTGTCCACCACAGCCAAAGCTGGGTTGGAAAGTATCTGTGAAGACTGCTAACCAGAGTTCTGCCCACCACGTGGCCCCTGGGAAGAGCAAAGCAAGTCAGTGGTTACCCTGGACCATGCTCTGGTTAGCCTCAGCCTTGGCACTTCTAGGAGGAGACATAGATTGGTAGCAAGCTATCCACACTTAGTTCATCTTTGGGCATTTGAGAAATGCGGACTCGAGTGAATGTGGTTGGCTGCACTGTGGAGGCTAAGCCTCTGAGCCTCATCTCGAATTTACCCTGACAGCATTTCAAGCAGTTGGTGGATGAACTGATGGTCAAAGGCGTGGGCGTTGTGAGTCAAGCCCTGATCGAGGCTTTCGAGATCCTGAAGCAGGTACCTGCTGCTGGCGAGGCCTGGGAGGGTGGAGGGAGAGGGATTACAGGTCATGTGGCCCGTAGTGACAGACTCACCCATGATTCCTCAGTTCCAAGAGTCCAGACAAGGAAGTCTCTGCAACCAGGCCATCATGCTTATCTCTGATGGAGCCGTGGAAGACTATGAGCCCGTGTTTGAGACATATAACTGGCCAGACCGCAAGGTGACTCCTGCTGGAAGTCGGGGCAGGGGGGAAGGGGGAGGAGGACCTCTCCTGATGCCAGGGGAGAGTTCTAAATCATGGCAATCTTGCGTGCAGTACAGCCCCAAGTTCAAAGTTCTTTCCCATTAGACCCATTCACCAGTTCAGGTATGTTCTTATTGGGTGTCCCAAAGCTGCAGCAACCTGGGCCCAGAGGAGGAATGCAAGAGGCTGTGGGGCAAAGGAGCAGGATGGTTTTGACACATAAGAACTGCTCCATGCTTACCAGGACCCTGGCAGTTCATGTCCTTGTCAGGGCCTCCCAACTTTCTCTAACCCAAGGGGGTCCAACCAGAGAGCGCAAAACAGAGACAGGCACGGCCCTAGCTCTAAGCCCTTCATCCATGACCCCGATGCTGCCTGCAGCTGCTGAGCCCATCTCTTGTGGACAGGTCCGAGTTTTCACTTACCTTATCGGAAGGGAAGTGACGTTCGCTGACCGCATGAAGTGGATTGCCTGCAACAACAAAGGTAAGGGAATTTAGCTGAGCACCCAGCAGTCCGGTGGGGCAGCAATACCTCGGGCAGGCTTCCTCAAGGAGCAGCACGGTATGCAAAAGTCCATCCCCCACCGTTTGGAGAAAGTGAGGATGGACTTCTCTAAAGCTGGAGGAGAAAGCCATCCGAAATGCAAACGAGAGGCCGCTGACCCAGGGTGTACACAAGGGTGCTGTCTCCTCAAATAAAGCCTTGTGCAAATACACAACACGGAAGGGACCTATGTTTTCAATGTCAGCTCTCTTATGCCCCACATGCCTTCAGTCCTCCTGTGGCAAATTAAAGCCCTGACCCTGTTCGAAGACAAGAGCGAAAGGTCACCTTTCTTCTTCTCCTTCTTCTTCTTCTTCTTCTTCTTCTTCTTCTTCTTCTTCTTCTTCTTCCTCTTCCTCTTCCTCTTCCTCTTCCTCTTCCTCTTCCTCTTCTTGTGCACACATTGGTGAAATGCACACAGGGGTGTGTGTACATGTTCCTCAGGAGGGGCCATCCATCTTCGTGTTTTGAAACAGGATTTCCCCTACCGCCTGAGCTAGACTGGATAGCTGGAGAGCCTCGGGGATCTACGCACTCCAGCCTCTTGGCACTGGGATTTCAGGGGCAAGCCGCCACACCCAGCTATTTAAATATGTGTTCTGGGGATGACACTGAGATGATATTTATTTATGTATTTATTTACTTATTTATTTATTTATTTATTTATTTATTTATTTATTCTTTGTGTGTGTGCATATGTGCATGCCTGTCTGTGCACAGACCCGAACACATGCATGCAGAGGTCAGAAAACAACCTGCAGAAGTCGCTTCTCTCCTGCAGATTCCAGGGATTGAACCTACTGGGTTGTCAGACTTCTTGGCAAGTGCCCCTACCCACTGAGCCATCTTACCAACCCGATTTAGAAGTTTTATGAGAAAAGCTGTTGTTAGGTAGCCCCAGACAACCTCAAGTCATGGTGATCCTCCTGCCTCAGCCTCCTGGAATTGCATGTACAGGTTACCACACCCAGCAGGTCAGCACTTCCTCTGAGATAAGTGTGTGTGTGTGTGTGTGTGTACCAACAGTTCTCTTCTACCTGGGATCAGAACCCAAGTCCTGGGCTTGGGTTGCGATTCTGTTGATTTGACAAAAATTTCCTGAGCATATACTTTGTACCTGGCGTTGTTTGAGGGATGTGACTCAAGGGTAATAGGACAAATGGCTCAGCCTTGGTCCTGATGTAGCCAGCACGTAGACCTTGGTTGCAGTGTGATGTAAGTGTGTCATCATGGCACTGAGGCGTGGGCTGGCCAGGGTTCAGAGGAACAATGGCAAAGATACTTTCCCCAGTGGGGAAAGGCCTTGCACATTGAGGGAAGAGCACGCTCTAGGAGTCTGTGGCAGAAGGCACGGTAGAGAGGAGAGCTGCCCCATTTTGCTGGCATGTGGAGTGAATATCTTAGGGAAGTGATGGGCCATGAGATTAGAAGGTGCTAAACCATTCACAGTCTCACCAGCCAGGTGCCCTTTCCAGAACCACCGCAGCTACCCTGAAAAGAACGAAACAGACTGCTCCATAGCCTGAGCAGAGGTGGTGATGGAGGAAACCTAGGAGCTATAGATGCAGGAGGACAAGGGCCACCACCTTGTTGGGGTCCCCAAACAGATTCTCAGAGAACATAACATGTGGGAGACTCAGTGGGCACCACTGCCACAACCGAGGCCCCCACTAGGGTTTGGGGGGGGCATGAGCAGTGAGAAGATTCCTCCAAGATCTTCCCAATGGAGTAGGGAAGGCCTTCGACTTGTACTAGGGAACAAGGCATTTCCTCCAGCAAAGAGGGAGGCCCAGCTAGGAGCACCCAGAAGCTGGCAGTGAGTAGGGCCCTGTGCAGGGACCAAGTGGACCTCCTTTGTATTCCACCATTACACCACCTTCTTCTCTCCAGGCTACTACACACAAATCTCCACACTGGCTGATACCCAGGAGAACGTGATGGAGTACCTGCATGTGCTCAGCCGTCCCATGGTCATCAACCACGACCACGACATCATCTGGACAGAGGCGTACATGGACAGCAGGGTGAGCCTGGTGACGGCCCCAGAAGGGCAGGGAGGTCCCGAGTTAATGGAAGGCGCAATGCTGGTGCAGAGAGGCCAATGTTGTGCCCCCGTGGGAGGAATCATGAAGGGTGATGACAGCCCTCCATACCCTTCTTCTCTTTGAGGCCCTCAGCCCACCCCCAGCACCACTTTGTGCCCAGTTGCCACAGAGGCCTAGATCCTTCCCAATAGATACCCCACCCCTGTGTTCCTTTCTACTCTGCATTACCCAACTTATTGTCCCTTCCCACTTATCACGGAAGAAAATATTCACACGGGTGAATATTTTATGATGGCCATTCCGTGCTTCCTGCATTTCACGGGCCGGAAGAAGCAATGTCTTACACCGAAGGATAAATATCAAAGATAGGAGGTCACTGGAGATGTTTTGGGTGAGAGAGACCTACCTGCCTCTTCCCAAATCACATCCTGTATGCAGCCACCTACCTGCCTCGGAGACAATATACAGATTGTCAGGATTTAGACCTGACAGCACCGGCTTAGAGAAGACAAAAGTGGAGGAGCATAGAGGTTTAGCCATGAGCATCTTAGCTGGTCACAGGGACCCAGGTCCTTCCTGCAACCACTTCTAACCCCAGGCTTAGCTCCATCCTCCTATTTCTAGGGGCTAGTGGTAGGCGGTCATGCTTTGCCCCTTGAAGGAGACCCCTCAGGGTCCTCCTGGCCCACACACATACTTATCTCTTACTGACCTCCATCCCAAGCTGACCTCCCAACCCAAGCGGCATAGGTAGCTGAGAAGACACACTTTTCAGCTTTTTCTTCTTCTGTTCTCTGTGTCTGAGGACAAAGGCATACTTACTCTAGCGTGTAAACCATCTTGCCGTGCTGGGCACAAGAGCTTCAGGAATCCATTCTAAAATTCCTTCATAGTAAGAGGAGCACTTGACTGGCTGGTGTGGGCTCTTCCCTGAGGCCTTGCCCCCGAGATCCCATTTGTCCCCCGCTGACAGCTACTCTCTGAGCTGAGGAAAGAGCCTTCTCCATCTGGTCAGGTTCCCCTCTATTGTCCAGGTGATCACTGGTCACAGGCCATCTCACCCTGGCTGGAGAAAATGAGAGAGAGGGAACAAAGGAAGGCAAGAAAAGAGAGGCTACGCCCTGCTTTGGTATCATCATGGAGCTGTGGGTCTACAAACCAGGCTTGGCCACTGTTCCCCTGAAGACACCCCCCTGGCTTGTAGACCCACAGCTCACAGAGGCCTTTGGGTGACCGGAGCTACAGGCAGCTTGCACAGCATGCTTGCTTCCACTTGGTACAGTTATCATCTTCGTTATAGTTCAGGGCACACGTGCAGGCTGCTACTGAGGCAGCAGAGTAGTCCCTTCCACGGGGACTGGACATGATTCTAGTTCTGGTTCTGCCTTGAGGGTGGAGAAAGCTAGGTGTCTGCCCTGTGTGTGAGAGGGGTGATCTGAGGCAGATGATGCCCCAGACTCCCCGACCTCAGCCGTGACTCCTAATCCATGTCTGTATGTCTGAGTGGCTCTGCAGAAACGTCTTTCCTTCTGTTCACTAGCCTGGGCGCCATGGGGTGCAACAATCCTGGGTCCCGATCAGAGGCTTCTGGAAAAGCTGTGCTATGCTGTTCTGTACAGGCACAAGACAGCCTGTTTGCTGGGCCTGGGCTCATCCCGGGTCTGGCTGGCTCAAACAGTTTGGCTCACACACTGCTTTTGCTTTTGACGTGGACCTTGCCTGCCTCTCCTCCCAGCTCTCCCAGCACTCCCCTCACGCTCCTGCTAGCCCTGAGAAGACACGACCTCATCCTTCATCCCCTACCAGTGGAGAGAGTGCTAAGAGTGTGGGTTCCCGTGCTGCTCTGAGCAACAAGCCAGCAGACTCCTGAGCCCACTCCTCTGATCTCTACCCCCTCCTCCCAGCAGCTCTTCACCTCAGAGGCACAAAGCCCAATGCTCCTCACCACGGTGGCCATGCCAGTCTTCAGCAAAAAGAACGAAACAGTGAGTGGCTTCTCCCGTGCTATAACATGGAGGTCAGAGCTCAGGCCACTGAGCCTCACAGCCAACTGCAAGGGTTGAATGCAGATTCCCAAGCCCAGCCCCGGGCCAGCCATGGAAGAACCTCCTGGGCAACTATGGAGCTGAGAGTCCATGTTTTCCTGAAGCTCCTGTAGCCAGCTCTGTTCTTAAGACAGATGGCTATGGCGTCTTCTGCTAGCCTTCCAGATTAACCACACTTAACCAGCCGAAGTGGGTAGACTCTGGCTTGTACATGAAGGCCCCTAGTGAGGGGATTTCTAGAACTTTCCATAGTCTGTTTGGTCAGAAAATGCTTCCTATGGAAGCACTTGTGCTACAGAGGCTATATAAGTTATGACCCTTATATTTCATCCTCTGGTGTGAATATTTAATATTTCACTTAGCTTTGTATTTCGTTTAAATGTTACCACTTAAATATTAATGCAGGACATTAATCTTCCTAACAGCCATGCTTGCCCCTGGGGCCTCATCTGACAGAGTCTGTATTGTTATTTGGGGGAACTGGGCCTACTGTCTAACTGCAAAGGAAGAGGAGTAAGCCCTTCCTCTTCCAGGCTCTGGGAGGCCTAGAGTCTATTCTGGGAAGCCCGGTTTCCCTGACCCTGGCATTTTTCCTTCCAGCGATCCCACGGCATTCTCCTGGGTGTCGTGGGCTCTGATGTGGCCCTGAGAGAGCTCATGAAACTGGCACCCCGCTATAAGGTGAGCCTGAGTGGGACCCCTGGGGGGCGCTGCCTGAGCCACGGCTTTCCATCATTGTGACAAAGTATCTGAGAAAATCAGCCTGAAGGGAGGAGAGATTTACCTGGGGTCACGGTGTCCGTGGCTTCAGTCCATGATTGCTTGACCAGAGGCCAGTAGGTGGAAGAGTGACACTAGCTTGCCATGATCCCTATTTAAAAGCCACTGCTGGGAACTCCTGCTTTCAAGCTCCCTCGCCCCCTTCCTCTACTCCCTAGCCCTCCGACATGTCTAATGCCCTCAACCCTTGGCTTTGGCAGCTTGGGGTGCATGGATATGCCTTTTTGAACACTAACAATGGCTACATCCTCTCTCATCCTGACCTCAGGCCTTTGGTAAGTACAGATCTCTGCCTTGAGATTCTAACAATAGGAGATTTGAGGACAGTTTCTCTCTCTCTTACACACACACACACACAAGTGGTTAAAATCCCATGGATAATACAAGACAAGAGTCAACGTCGTTGAACCTGTTTTCAAATTGTTTATTATCTAGCAGGATATATGTGGCAAAAAGTACACAAAATGATCATGGCCACACCGGAGGGTAGCTAATGCAGGCTGGGGTTGTGAGAGTGAAGTCCCCGTATGACAGCCCACCTTCCATTGCTGCAATAAGACATCTGAGATCACCATCTTATAAAGAAAGGGCTATTTCGCTCCACAGCTGGTTGAGCATAGTGCTCTATGCTATGGTGGGGTGCACGCAGCACAGCATGATGGGAACGTGTGACAAGGTGAACCTGTTGACCCCAGGCAGTAAAATGAAAAAGAAACTCCAGCTCTATAACCCTCTTCAAGGACATTAAACGTCTCACAAGGCTTCATCTCCAGACAGTCCACCACTTTCCAACAGTGCCATGCTGGAGGCGTGCCTTCTCCATAGAGGCTAAGAGCCAAACCATGAAGGAGAGATGGCTCGGCAGTTAGGAGCGCCTGAGTTCAGTTCCCAGAACCCTCTTCAACCAGCTCATAACCCCCTTTAGTTCCAAGTCCCAGAGAACCTGATGCCTCTGGCCTCCATGGACACCTTTGTCCACATCCACATACCTACACACAGCACACACGCATACACCTGATTCAAAGTAAAATCAATCTTCTTAAAGCCTAATAACTGTAGACCTTTATCACAAACCCCCACTGTCCCGGTGACTCCACCCCTCCTTACAACCTGACAGATGGATCAGCAGAGCCCCAGAGGCCAGTGAAGGGAATGTGAACCATGAGTTCACAACAAAAATAGCAAGGCCTTGTCACAAGGGCAGCGAACGGCCCCCTGAGCTTGCATGAGCAGCATCGCCCGGGACCCCCGTCCCCTTCTGGCTCTGTCCGGGAGCTGCGGGTATGAGTTTCATATGAGTTCTTCTGAGCACCTGGTGTCTGAAAACCCTACCTCCAGGGCACCAGCACTGCCCACAGTGACAATGGACACACTGCTGGCGTGATGGCTGGAGGGATAAGGGGAGCTAAAGTCCCCTTATCTGGGGGTATCTTTACCCTACTTCCCTTCCGTCTTCTAAGGAACCCCAGGAGAGGCTTGAGTGGCAGGAGACTTTGTGAGGAGGCTTCTCTGCCCCAGGAGTCATTTGGGCAAACAAGCTGAACCAAATCTCATGCCAGTTAGCTCAAGTGGGTACAGAATATCTCCTAAGTCATTCTACTGAGCCACCTAAGGCAAATGCTAGGGCTCAGAGTGAAAACACATTGGTCTGTCCCCTCTGTCTTCCCCATTCAGATTCAGCAGGGTATGTATCTGAACCCATAATGGACAGTCTTAAACTATCAGGTTCCTGGGGACCAATGCTGTCAGATAGACTGACAGTGAGAGAGCAAGTAGGTTGATCCCAGAGCTGACATGCAGAATTAAGGGGGCATGGATCAGAAACCCACATACCAGAATCCATCTAGGCCACTCACAAGGATGATGTTTTCACCAGCCAATTCATTTTGTGGACCTACTGTGTGCCTGGCATTATCGTGCTAATAAAAGTGCTGTAAACAGAAGAACATATGTAATTAAAATCTCATACATGAAGGCACATAAGCGATGTGAATTGTTTACCAAAGGACACACACAGTAAGGCTAGTGCTGTGTATTGTGTGAGAAAGGTATTACCAGGAAAGCAAATGGTGTGATTTCAGAAATCAAAATAATAGAGAACACTCCTAGCAATAGGACAAAAATGATCAAGAGGCCAACGGTTGTCTACAGTCTGTCGGGTGGAGCTGGGACTTGGGAAATGGTGTTGGAGTGTTGCCAGAGAGAAAGCTCGGGCAGAAGACAGGGGAGCACTGTTTGGTGAGTGTGGGTGTCAGGAAGGCTGAACAGAGCACTGTGTGTGCCATGGGTAAGGAGGCAATGGGAGCAGGGAGAGTGTAGGGACATTCTTACTACAATCTGGACAGAAAAATATAAAACATAAGTAAACGAAGCAACTAGCAGAAGCAACATAGTCAGTGACATTGACTTTAACCACCCAGACATCTACTGAGGACTCTTCCCCAGAAGTAGATGGTGCTATTTTTAATATGCCCTGATGATAAACTCTCCTCTTCCCCTTATTGATGGCACTACTAAATCAATCTAAGGAAGTGCCATGGGTGTAATTACAGATAACATGATGATATCTGTCAGAGAGCGAGTCAGAGAGAGCAGGAGAGTAAGAGAGGGAAAGAGAGAGAAAGAACAAGTGAACGATGCCTCTCCAGAGAGTTGGTTCATGGATCTGTGTCAAATTTTGTAGACAAGTGGTTATTAAGCACTGCAGATCTGCACTTGGCTCTGACCAATTTAAAAAAAAAATCTATCAAGATGAAATGCTTCTGCAGATGCCTTCAAATCTGGAGGAGAAAATGATTGCTCATAAAGCATTCTAAAATGATCATCTGGGATTAACAAGATGAAATATATGAGAAATAGGTGGGCGCTCTGCGAACTGAACCCCCACGTGTGGGAGGGCACCGCATGAGAACACCGAAGGGGATTTGCCTGGCTGATGGCGCCATCTGGGCTGCCAAGCTGGCCTGGCGGCCCAAGAAGCCAACATCACAGGCAGAGCATGCAGCGCTTCTGCTCACAAACCACCTCCTGGCCCTGTGCGACACTGATTTCCTCCACCGCAGCTCTGCTTTCAGGGTGACATTGACAGGGCTGAGCGTGTTCAGAGAGCGGAGGTATCATCAGACTGGAAACGTTCAGCCAGAGACACTCAAGTCTTAGGAGTGACAAGACTGAGCATCCCCGGCCTTGTCGGGATGGCTCCGGAAGAAAACTGACAACAATAAGTAAAAGTCAGAAGGAGACAGATTTGAACTCCGTACGAGGGAGAACTTTCTAGTAATCAGAGCTGTCCAAACACTGACAAGCTGTCTCACAAAATAGGGAGATCCCTAGCATGAGAAATGTGAGAGCCCACTCCCCATCCTCCGCCCCCGGGAGGCTGGGAGGCCATCTGTGGAGCATATTGGCCATGGAAGCTTTGCACTGAATAGAAGTTCAGCCTGGGTCATCCTGGGAGATAGTGGCTTGCCTTAATCCTATGAGGTGGCTTGAAAGATTTTAGAGAAGAGGGAAGAGGAGCGGGGTGCATGCTGACCCCACCTTTTCCATCCCGTCTGACCCACACCAGTACCGAGAAGGCAAGAAGCTGAGACCCAAACCCAACTACAACAGCGTGGATCTCTCAGAAGTGGAGTGGGAGGACCAAGCTGAAACTGTGAGTGGGGGAACAAGGTAGTGAGAAGCTTTTCACCCAGTTAGCTCTGTAGCCCACAAGCGAGCCCTGGGTGCCCCCGGGGAGGGCTGCGGCCACTGGGCAGCCCGGGAGCAGAGCAATGGGTTCCGAGCCTGCGAGTTTCTCAGCAGCTAGGATGTCAAGCCATGACTCTTGGGTCGCAGGGTTTGCTGAGACAGACTGAAATTGTGTCTACCAGCCCGGCATAGTTCCAGCAACGTGCTTGGCTGCTAGTCTCCATATCACATCCTAGAGGAAGCCATGTCCCTGCAAAGCCACGCTGTACACCAGAGCACCCATCCCCTCAGAGCGCTGCCTCAGTCAAATGTGAGCTAGTGGTACCTTGACCCTGCTCCATCTTCCCTCCTGGAATTCTGCTCAGGGGCGAAGGGAAAAGCCAGTGCGCTAGGGATCCTAAGACATCATCAAAGCCCAGAAGCTCCCTGCTCCAAGTACCAGGCACCAACACCCTTTTCTTTCCTCCTGAAGCTGAGAACCGCCATGATCAACGGGGAAACGGGTTCTCACTCCATGGACGTGAAGGTGCCTCTGGACAAAGGGGTAAGGAGCTAGCTACAGTGCCTGTGAGGTCCCTGCAGGCAGCACTGAGCCTGGACGTGGATTTCATGGCGGCCTCCGGGTATGAGGAGAGGAGGGGGAGCAGCAAGGGTGGAAAGTGCTCTGTTCATGTCCGCGATGCTCCATTCTTATACCGTTGGTTGTGAGCCTAGCCTTTAACGGCTGAGCCATCTCTCCAGCCCGATGCTCCGGTCTTTAGAGGCCGCTGCGTATGAAGCGTGCCCAGATCACTTGCAGCTCTTTCTTTCCTCCCTCTGCTGCCTGCTATTTGGCCCTTTGGTTGTTTATGATAGAAAGAGAGAAAGTGACAGTTAATTTTGCAAACTGCCAGAAGCTCTGCTAAAACATGTCACATGGGGAAGAGTTGGAAATATTCACTACTCCCTATAGCTGATTTTCATCCAGACACAGAGGGTGAAAACAAATACCCTTACTATAGAGAATCAAAGCCGGAAACCCCTGCTGTCTGTACAGACCCGTGTGTCATTAGAGAAGACCATTTCATCTTCTCATTTAAGCGGTTCTGACGTGTCCTCTGGATTCACATTGTCCCTTGGCATATTAACAAATATCACCTCCTCCTGTACAACCACCCCCACCACCTCCTTCATTACCCGCCTGCCTCCGCTCAAAGAGCACAGCATCTGTCTGCGGCAATTAGACCTGAGTCCTTCCCTGCACACCGAGCTCCACACAAGCTGAACTGAGATGCGCTGGCCAGTGTCCCTTCTAGAGAGGGGACTGGTCTCTGCCAGGACTGCTGTGGGACTTCTGCGCTATCAGGCACACTGGGAATGTCAGTAATGCCAGGCCACCTGAGATATCGGATACCCAAAGAGTCACGGCCCCCTCTCTGTGCCTTCAGCATGTCCTAGAACTCCTGATGAGACTCAGCCTGCCAGGACATAGATCCTAGCATGAAAAAAACCCATGTGCACATGGCCTCGGAGAAGCCAGCACAGAGGTACACCCAGAGGGTGAAGACGGCCTTCACTCTTTTCTCCCAGGGCCAAAGTCCTCATGCTTCCCCGTGCTTCTCAAAGCCAGCAGGCAGAGTCCTAACTAGAAACAGCAGTCTGAGCTTTTACAGAAATTTCTCCCTGCTTGGGAAATTGGCCGATTGCTGCTAATAAAGGCATTTCCGTGTGTTAAGGCTTCCTGAAACATGAGGGCATCAGCGAAGCAGCACGGTAACTGCGATGCTGGCTTCGCAGCACACAGCTGCCGTCTTCCTACCGCTGCTATCACCGACGGTGACAGTCCAGCCTTCTCAGAAGCAGGCCTGAGCACAGTACACATGCCCATTTACTAAGCAGCCCTGCAAGGCAGGTTCCCGACTATCCACATCTTGCAGCTGGAGACAGTCAAAGACTCCAGAAACGTGCCTAGGACCCCGGCAAATCACAAGTTCTAGACTGCAGGCTTTGAGCCCTGTGTGCTCAGAGTGCCGGCCTCAAATACTCCCCAAGGGTCTGGAAAAACATTTCTTTTCTTTATAAAATTAAACTGTGGAGTGGCAGGTTTCCTTACAGCATTTTCCTACATGCTTACTTTTAATCAGCTCACTGCACTCTCCCTCTCCATTCCCTCCCACTTCTGTGTTACATTTGTTCTATTACCCTCCCTATGTCTCTCTTTTAAAGTCCCTTTTTTCCTTTCACGGGCCCCTTTCTGATTTCCTGGCCTCTATACATGATTGTTCGTGTGTGTGTGTGTGTGTGTGTGTGTGTGTGTGTGTGTGTGTGTGTGTGTCTTCCTTAGGGTTTTATTGCTGTGAAGAGACACCATAACCAAGGCAACTCTTATAAAGGAAAACGTTTAATTGGGGCTGGCTTCCAGTTTCAGAGGTCTAGTCCATTATCATCATGGTGGGAAGCATGGCAGGCAGCATGCAGGCAGATATAATGCTGCAGAAGGAGCTAAGAGTTCTGCATCTCGGTCCACAGGCAGCACAAGGAGACTGTGTGCCACTGGGCAGAGCTTGAGCATAGGAGGCCTCAAAGCCCGCCCCCACAGTGCCACACTTCCTCCAACAAAGCCACACCTCCTCCAACAAGGCCACATCTCCTAACAGTGCCACTCCCTATGAGCCAAGTATTCACACCCATGAGCCTATGGGCGCCATTCCTGTTCAAACCACCACAGTGTGTATCAGATAAAATTATATGATATATTGTATAACACACGTAGTATATTATATAATCAAAAGCTAGAACCTACATGAGATAGAAAACACGCAGTATTTTTCTTTCTGGGCCTGGGCTACCTCCAATTCTATCCTTTCCTTTTCTGGCTAGTTCCTTCCTCTCCCAGATACCCCTCACCTGCTTCATGTCACATGTGTTCCATGATCCTCTTTTCCTCCCTCCTCTTCCATGTCACCCATCCATCCAGAATTTCCTCTCAAGTTTTACAACCTTCACACATGAATACATAAATGCATTTATATAGACACCAAATGTCGTTTTAAATCTAGATCCCACACGTGAGTGAAAACACAGACTTATTTTTCTCAATCTGGCTTGTTTCATTTAACATAATGATCTCCAGTTCTATCCATTTTCCTGCAGATGTCGTGATGTCACTTAGGGAGTTTCCAACTCCCTTGGTGTGTGTGTATGTACCACCTGTTTTTATTCGTCTGATAATAGCCATCTAGGCTGGTTCCATTTCCTAACAATTGTGAACAAAACAGCAAGAAACAAGCAAAGTACGGGTGTCCTTATGGTATGTTGACTTAGATTCCATCAGATACTCACCCAAGGATGGTATGGCTGTGTCTTATGGCAGTCTATAGTGTTTTGAGAAACTGCCATACTGATCTCCATAGTGGCTATACAAGTTTCCATTCACACTGGCAGAGTATAGTGGTTTCAGTGTGCAGGGTTTTTTTTTTTTTTGGGGGGGGGTGCATGATCTAGAAATTAATCCTCTTACTGATGAATAGTTGGTAAAGATTTGTTCCCCTTCTCTAAGCTGTCTCTTCCTGATGGAGACAGTTTTCTTTGCTGTACATAAGTCTTTTAACCCACGTGACCCCATTTGTCAGTTCTTAGGGTGCTTTTCTATGCCATTGGAATCCTTTTCAGAAAGCCCATCTTATGTCTGTATCCTGAAGTGTTTCACCTATGTTTCCTCCAGCAGTTACTAAGTTTTATTAAAGGTCTATACTAAAGGTCTTAATTTGTTTTGAATTGACTACTGAGTCAGGTAGCTGCATGAACCTGGGTCCATTAATTTGCATAGAGAAAGTTTCCCCAGCACCCTTTGTTAAAGTCTGCCTTCTCTCCGATGTATGTTTTGATGCCTTTGTCAAAAATCAAGTGGCTGTGTTGATTGATCTTTAGATTCTCTGCTCTGTCCCACTGGCCTGAATGTCTGTGTTTGTGCCACTACCAAGCTGTTTTAGTTACCGTAACTCTGCAGTATATGTTGAGATCAGAAATCGTGATACCTCCAGCATTATTCTTTCTGCCAAGAATTGTTTGGGACAATCAAGGTCATATTGGTTAAGGTTCTCTGGTGGAACAGAACTGACAGAATGAATTTATTTTATTTTTTAATATTTTTTATTTTTAAATAATTTTATACATTCACTTGTATCCCAGCCGTAGCCCACTTCCTCTTTCCCTTCCAATCCTCCCCTCCCTCCCTTAGCTCCTCCCTACCCCCTTCCGAGTCCACTGAGAGGGGGTGTCCTCCTCTCCTTCCGTCTGGCCCTAGCTTATCAGGTATCTTCAGGATGGTTGCAATGTCCTTATCTGTGGCCTAGCAAGGCTGCTCCTCCCTCAGGGGGGAGGGGAAGCTCATAAGTTCATGTCAGAAACAATTCCTGTCCCCCTTACTAGGGAACCCACTTAGATACTGAGCTACCATGGGCTATGTCTGAGCAGGGGTTGTAGGTTATATCCATGCATGGTCCATGGTTGGATAAACAGTCTCATAGAAGACCCCTGTGCTCAGATATATTTGGACCTTGTGGGGCTCCCTGTCCCCTCTAGGATATACTAATTCCTCCTTCCTTCATATGATTCCCTACACTCTGCCGAAGGTTTGGTTATGGGTCTCAGCATCTGCTTTGATACACTGCTAGGTAGAGTCTTTCAGGTGCCTTCTGTGGTAGGCTCCTGTCCTGTTACTTGTTTTCTCCTATTTCCAATGTCCATCTACCTTGTCTTTCTAGATGAGGATCAATCATCTTACCCCTGGACCTCTTTCTTGTTTATCTTCTTTAGGTATACATATTTCAGTATGTGTATCCTATCTTATAGGCCTATATAAGTGAGGATATACCATGTGTGTCTTTCTGCTATACCCAGAATGAATTTATATTGTGAAAAGAAATGGGTCCTGGTTCTAACCCCTACAATCTGTTCTCTGACTCCATGTACTGATTTGTAGGATGAGTTTGGCAGTTCCTTCCATCTCTGTTTTATGGAGCAGCCTGAGCAGCATCGGTCTTAGCTCCTCTTTGAAGCTTAGGTAGACTGTGGTGGTGAATCCTTCTGTCTTGGCCTTTTTCTTTGTTGGGAGATTTTTTTTTGTACCACTTCAATCACATTGATTGCGGCAAATATATTTACGTTGTTTCTATCCTATTGATTTAAATTTGATTGATCATGTGAGTACAAAAATTTATCTGTTTCTTCTAAATTTTCTAGTTTAAATATTTTAGAATATGAGTTTTCCTAATATTCCCTAATGATTTTCTGGATTTCATTGAACTCTGTAGTAACTTCTGCTTTTTGTCTAATTTTATTAATTTAGGTCTTTTTTTTTTTTTTTTTTTTTTTTTTTGCTAAGGGTTTATCTTATTTATTTTTTCAAAGTACCAAGTTGTTTAAGTCTATATATTATTCTCTTAATATTACTAATTTTTGTTCTGGTCTTTATTATTTCTTGCCATCTACTGCTTTTGGTTTGGATTCACTTTGGCATACCACTAGCTTATTTATTTTAAATCTCTCTGGCTTTTAAAGATGCGTTTATTTGTTTACTCATTTGTTTTATTTATTTAACGTGTGTGTGTGTGTGTGTGTGTGTGTGTGTGTGTGTGTGTGCTCGCACGTGTGTAGTACATACACACGCATCCTGCTGAATGCCTGTAGAGGTCAGAGGACGACTTGTGGGAGTAGGAGTTCTCTCCTTTCACCGTGCGATTCCAGGAACGACCCTCAGGTCGTCAGCCTTGGCAGCAAGCAGCTTCACCCCTCGAGCTGTCTCACTAGCCCTCTTCTCGTTTATAACACAAGCACACATGGCTGTAAGCTTTCCACTTACAGCTGCTTTCGCTGCATCCCAGAGGTTCTCCTAAGATGTGCTTTCATTTCCATTTGATACTAGAATTTTTTTTTTAATTTCCCCTTTGCTTTCTTTAATGACTCTGCAGTCACATAAGAATGTGTTGCCCGGGACTCAGAGACTGAACAATGCGCTCTTTAAATGTTTATTTATTTATTTTTCTATTTACTTATTGTATGTGTTTTCATGTCCATGGAAGTCAGAGACCAGTTTGTAGAGGTCAATTCTCTCCTTATTATGTAGTTGCTGGAGATTGAAGTCAGGCCATCTGTCTTGGTGACTGCCCCTAAGATGGCCTCCTACCCAGTGTCCAGATCTTACACTCTTTCTGCCCCTTCTTCCTCAGTGTTCTCTTGGAGGAGGAGATATGAGTGACCTGTTCAAGGCTCAGCAGTTACTTGTTCTCAGCACTTTGGCCATGAGTCCTGTATTAACCACCATTCTCTGTAAAGAGAAGCATCTTTGATCAAGGGTTAATTAAGACAGCAGTAGTGTCTGGGTATAAATAAATATTTAGGAGGCAGTCTGGGATTGCCATTATCCACCTATACATGGCACCCCCATTCAGAGTCTTTTTAACATACTTTTAAATTAGCTTACGAAATAGTAATCTCCATATGACTTCTTCTTACATCTCTAATTCTGGTTAGCTCAGTTATCAACTGCCATAATCTAGAATCACATGGAAGGAGAGCCTTCAAGGGGGACCGTCTAGATCAGGTCTGGGTGTGATTGTCCCGATTACATTATCTGAGGTGGGAAACCCTTCCTGGGAAGCACTATCCACTGCGTTTGAGTTCTAGACTCTCTAAGAAAGAAGAAACCTGTGTGGGCTGTGCGCAGGCTTGCATGAATTCACCCTCTCTCTGCTGCTGACTGGCTATAACACCCCACCCCACCCCACCCCCGTCAGTCAGGGTATTTTATCACATTAGCACAAATGAAACCAGGAGATCACACTCTCCCCAGGCCACACCCCTTCCCTGTTTAAACCTTGTGGTCCTCAGTGTTCCTTCTATTTTCATATCACGTGTGCTGCATCCCCCTGGTTTTTGTTTTGCTTTGTTTTTTAAGTTGGACAATTGTGTTTTGGTTTGGTTTCTTGTTTTAGTTTTTGGGGGGTTTGTTTTGTTTGTTTGTTTGTTTGTTGCTGGTTTATTTGTTGTTTTTGGTTTTTGAGACATTGTTTCTCTGTGTAGCCCTAGCTGTCCTGGAACTCTGTAGACCAGGCTGGCCTCAAACTCAGAGATCCGCCTGCCTCTGCTTCCCTGAGTACTGGGATTAAAGTCATACACCACCACCACCTAGCTTGCAAACTTGTTTTTATTGCTGCTTCAGTCTTGTTGCTGGTTATGGATCTGCTTAAATTAATTTATTTCATCTTGGTTTAATTTTGGTTAGTCATATGAACACAGAAACTCATCTATTCATTTGTTACTTTCCAATTTGCTATTTGTTTTTAAGGTGTGTTCTTAGGGTTTTCTGAATTCCATTGGTATCTGTTGTTATGTCCCCCTTTTCTTCTCTAATTTTTATTAATGTGGGTTGTTCTCTTTCGTTCTTTCTTGTGGATAATTTAGTTAAGGGCTTGCCAATCTTGTTTATCTTTTCAATGAACAAGCTCTTCATCTCATTGACTCCTTGTTTTGTCTTTGTTCTCTCTGTTTCATTTATTTATGCCCTGATATTCAGTATTTCTTCCCATCTACTGCTTTGAAGTTTGGTCTGTTCTTTTTTTTTCCTTAGTTCTTAAAGTACATCATTAAGTTATTTATTTAAGCTCTCTCAGTTTGCTGTGTAGATGTTTAGTATAAGCTTTGCTTTTAAGCCCATCTTCGTGTGTCCGATAGCTTTTTGTATGTGTCTTTTTCTTTTTATTCTAGAATTTTTCACTTCTTACGTGACTTCTTCGGTGATCATCATTCAATAGTGTGTTGTTTCATATCCATGAGCTTGTGCACTTTTACAGCTTCTGCTGTTATTGATATCTAGCTTTACGTCATTGTAGTCACATGGGATACAAGATGTTATTTAACTCTCCTATGTTTGTTGAGATTTGCTTTGTGTTGTAATAGGTAATTTGGTTTTTGAGACTGTTTCATGGGCTGCCAAGAAGAACATGTGTTCTTTAGTGTTTGAGTGGAATGTTCTGTAGATGCTTGTTAAGTCCACTTGGTTTATGATGTTGTTTAACTCCAGAGGTTTCTCTGGCAAGTTTTTTCCCTAGATGGCCTGTCTATTGGAGAGATCAAGGTATTGAAATCACCCACTATCGCTGAGTTGTGGTTCACCTGTCCTGTGGTTGTTCCCTCATCTTAGGCCACCAGGGAAGCTTAGTTTTTAACACTGATTTATTCTCAAGATGGCCCTAGGCTCCTGCCCTCCCACCCCCAGGCCATACACAGGGACCAAATGGAACTTCTCTCTGTCACCTATCCTTCCACCAGTCGACTGGAGGAATCACCAAATTCTTCATATGAGCTCACTGTGGGGAGTGTGGGCTTGCCATGGGGGCTGTGGGCTTACAGTGGGGGCCATGGCATATTGTGAGAGCAGGATTGCCAACTTTCCTCTGGTTGACCCTTCAGGGCTGTGGTTTCTGCTTCCCTAGCCACCTCCACCCCTGTGACATGCCCGCCTGAAGCTGAGTCCTGATGGCTTCTCTATGTTGTCCATCTCTTTTTCGGTGTCCTTTCACTTCCTCTGTGGATTTATGAAACTCTTCTTCTCATTAACTCTTTGGAATAGACTCTATTTTTTTTTCTAGCAGTTTTTCTAGAAGTTAAAGAGGTAGGGCCCAGGGAAACAGGTGTTCCACTCTTCTCTGGGAAGATATCAGTCAAATGTACACATCCCGGCTCTAGATGTTTCTAGTTCCAGCGTTACCTCATTGTCCCAAAGGAGGCTTAGGCTCACTCTGCCTGAAGAGTACAACATGGCGGCCACACGGACAATCTAAGTTACATTGATGTTGGTTAAAATTAACTAAGATGTTTCAAGTGCTGAGCTGGGCTCACATGGGCTGGACAAGCCTAGACCTTAAAAGTAGCACCCAAAAAACCAGTTTGCTGAACTGTGAAATGCTTCTGTCCGAAAAATGGGACTGTGATGGTTGACTGAAGAAGTGGTGAGGAGTAACGGAGGCACAGAGCCATGATAAGCAACCAAAGGTGTGGAGCAGGGGTGGGCAGCCAGCACCACTCTGTCACCCGGATACTTTTCTTTTGCTTTCAGAAACGAGTTCTATTCCTGACCAATGACTATTTCTTCACGGACATCAGTGACACTCCTTTCAGGTAAGAGGATAATGTCCCGAGCCAGGGATTTGAGAGAGAGCACAAACCCCACCAGCTCAAGACAGAACTCTGCAGCCAAACTCCTAGTTTGGATCCCAGTTCCACCACCTACAGGCTTTGTGAACCGAGTCAGGGCACTCTCTGTGCCGCGAATGTATCACCTGTAAAATGTGAATGATGATAGTAGCAGCTACTTCTTGGCTTGACACAAGCTATATAGATGTCGAGGCAGGGTGGTAGGATGAGAGGATCAAAGGAAAATAATTCTAAGGTTCCCTCCCTCCTTCCCTAGTAAAGCTCAGACTCCTTGCTCTAACAGCCCACTGAAATACCTGAGAACTTCTCAGGACTGCTAACACATCAGCCCATGCCAACCAGCTGCATCAGAACTGCAAGGCAGACCCAGGCACTATGCCTTCTAATGCTCCCCAGATCCAAATCTAATGTGCTACCAAGATCTGGGATGTAGTAGGAAAGGAATCTAGGGGGATCCTGAGACCACTAAACCTTTCAGGTGGTCCCTGGAAGCTCCAGACCTCCTTGAGTAACATGGGAGCTGCAGGGATCGTGGTCAGTGGTGTTTCCAGGCCCCTTTTTGGAAAGAACGACTGATAAATTAGCAGTTCTCCTGATTCTCAAGGGAACAACCTGTGAGGCTAGGCTAAAGGAGGCGAGCTGAAGGGGCATATTGTCCTGTGTCCAAAAGCTTCTTGCCTGGTGAGCAGCTAAAGTAAACCCAACTGGTGTGGGCACAGCTGCCTTCTCTTCTCTCTAGCTTGGGAGTGGTGCTGACCAGAGGCCACGGAGAATACATCCTTCTGGGAAACACATCTGTGGAGGAAGGTAAGTCAAGCTGGGTGCTGACTATGATGTGCTGTGTGGCAGGAGATGTACTTTCCTAGGTGGCTGAGCAGGGCCAACCCTGGTGGAATCAGGGTGAGCATTTCCCACCAGGTGGGGTGGCAGAGAAGGGCCTTACCCCTAATGCTAGCTGCCCATGACCCTAACTACCCATGACCCCAGCTACCTGGGCACCTTAAGAGAATCAGCCTTCATGAGGGTCAGGATGCCTCTGGGAGCCCTGAAAGATGGGACACTTGAATACCTGTCCATTCTCCTTTCTCATGGGGTGCTTCCCATCACTCCATCACTCTGTCATCACTCTAATCATAGTCCCACTGTCCTGAGACAATCACAGTGGCCTCCAGCTGTTTGCCCCGCCTCGGTCTTTCACTTCATCTACAGACTCTTTCTAGAAATGCCTTCTCTCCTGGTGGTTTCCTGCCATCTCTCCCAGGTTCACTCTTTTAAACTTCCTATCTCTTCCACAGATATGCTCAAGTTCTGACTCCTGTAAAATGTGACTGTGGCCTTCTCTGGAGTTAGGGTATTGGTAGATGTGATCAAGCCAAGATGAAATTATTTGGATGAGCTAGTCTCCTAAGATTGACGTCCCTAGCAGAACAGACAGCTCAGGACTAGAGAGAGGTGGCTCAGCAGTTAAGAGAGCTTGCTACTCTTGCAAAGGACCTGGGTTCCCAGGATCCACATGCTAGCTCACAGTTATCTGGAACTCCAGTTCCAGGGGATCTGATGCCCTCCTCTGGCCTCATGCATGTGGTAGATAGACATACATACAGGCACAACACCCAGATACATAAGACAATAGCAATAATTTTTTTAAAAAAAAAATAGACAGCTAAGGGGATGACGCTCTGTGGTGACAGCAAAGGTGGGGATGGAGGCAGGGGGCTGGCTAACAGACTGGGAGAGTATCTCTGAAAACCCCACCTCTTGACCCTCCCTCGAGCTCACTCTGGCCCTATCAGGCGCCAGAAAGGCACCACCCCCTCCAGCTTCCTAGGCTGCCCCTGCCCTGTTCTGGCCCCTGCAACATCCTCCCACCAAAACCTCTGCTAGAGCTCCCTCCCCCTGTCCTCAGTCACCAGGCCTTCGGTGTGCCTCTTCTTTCCCCACCCTTCTTCTGCTGCCCAATTAGTCCCAATCAAAGGACTGAAAGGCACAGAGGGAGCTGTCACTCACTTGTGAAGGCCCTGAGCCAACTCACTCAGCTGTTTGCCCGCTGTCTCTTCCTACAATGTCTCAAAGCTTCAGTGAGCACCTATCTATGTCTGAGCACGGAGCTGCCAGGAGCTCTTTCGCCCATTCCATCAGCAATTGTACTGAACGGCACATAGGCAGGCACACCCCGCCCAGGGCTCGTCTGGGGTAGCTGGCCACTGTAGCAGCTGCATAAGATAGAACCAGAGAAGGCATAATCACTGCTTTCAAAGTGTGAGCTCCTTGGGGGGAGGTGTTAGGAGAGTGGGGCTGTCCAAGACAGTGGTATCTAAACAAGTTTAAGGCTGTAGCCACTAAGACACACATCAAGATGCTGAAGGTGTGCTCAAGCAAACCCTTCCGACAAAGGCGTCTACAGACAGGGGTGTGTGCCCACAGTCACAGGGTACCCATCTGAGCGTGGAATCTTCTTTCAGGCCTGCACGACTTGCTTCATCCGGACCTGACCCTGGCCAGCGACTGGTAGGCAAGGAGGAAAGGGTGAGGGAGGAGAAAGGTGGGATGTGAGGTAACACGGGCTCTCTGGGTTTCCAGGATCTACTGCATCACGGATATTGACCCGGACCACCGGAAGCTCAGCCAGCTGGAAGCTGTGATCCGCTTCCTGACAGGGATGGATCCAGACCTGGAGTGTGAGTGTCCCAACCCATGCCTCTGAACTTGAACTCTGGGCCTCAAGCAGCTTGGGGCTTCCTAAGTGTGGAGAGCACTATCAACCCATCCTGGGATCTCCAGGGTGGTTTGAGGAGAAAAAGAAGAGCCCCAAAGAAACAGGCAGAGCTGGCTGGGGCAGGGGCCAAGTGAGACACAGGCATTCTGGGAACTGTAGTCCTGCACTCGGGCTCCTGTGTCAGAGGCCAAGATCTTCCTTAGCCCCTTTCAACCCTCATGCTTGTCCAGTCTGTCCCCACCGCCATCTCGCAGTGGGCAAGGAGCAGACACTGCCTTGAAGCCCTCGGGTCTACCAAGCATAGCATTTGATCAGGCAGTCTCGTCAGTCCTGTGGTCTGCCTGACAATGCTCTCAGCAAGCCGCTTTGACCTCTTCAGTTGTCCTGCCCTGTATGTGCTCTCCGTATGAAAAGACCATCTCCCAAACTAACCTACAAGGGTATCCATCCATCTATTCATCAGTCAACAAGGCTGAAATGAACATGCACTTGAACCAGACCTGGGCAAGAATACAGACAACCCAGCCAAGGGCTGGCAATTTGGGGGAGAAGCCAGGCGGTGATCAAGGCTGCACAATATGCAGCGTCACCGTCATGACAGGAGCTATGGATGAGTGCTGATGGGGCAGGTGGATGGAGACAGCTGAAAGTAGGGTCATTATGGATGAAGAGGAACCCCAAGTGTCTGGGATCCTCTTTGAAGGTGATGAGGGCATTTTGGAAGTAGAAGGAGGCGGATTTACAGTGAAACACATGTAGCCGTTGGGTTGAATACTGTAAGCGAGTTTTGTGCTATGTGAATTTCCCTTCAATAAAAAGAAAAGAAAAGAAAAGGAAAGGAAAGGAAAGAAAAGAAAAGAAACAGTTCTAAGAGAGAGAGAAGAGAGTGCCACCTGTGGAGAGCGGGAGAAAAGCAACCAGGTCAGGGAGCAGCAGGCTCTGGGGTGCTGGCAAGGCAGCTTTGAGCTAGGACAGCACCCACAGCCACTGCATGTCCCGCATCAGGGAACAGAGAAGGTGGGGGCTGACGAAGGCTGAGCAGGCCCCAGCTGGCTCAAGGAAACATCTAAACACCACAGTGTTGAACTGGGAGGGCCTTCAATGTCCTCTCACATCTATTCTGTGGTTGAGAACTGGAAGGTAGAACAGGGAGGGTTGATATATTTATGTCCGCTCAGCTCAGATGGCTTTGACGCCCAGAGACACCTGCATGCATCTCATCTTTCTCCTTCTCCTCCTCCTTCTCTTCCTTCTTCTTCTTCTTCTTCTTCTTCTTCTATAGGATGGGGGCTGTGTTGTGGGCGTTGTCGCTGTTGTTATTGGACAGGCTAGTCTCCGACTTGCTAGGTAGCCAAGAAGTCACCACAACCGAGCTTCCTCCCCAGCTTCTAGGAGGTGTGCTGTTCTGAATGGGGCGGGGGTGGAGGAGGGGTGGGCTCACAGATGACATGGGGTTCCTGTGACCCTGCCCCGCAGGTGACGAGGAGCTGTTGCGGGAGGTGCTGTTTGACGCGGTGGTGACAGCCCCCATGGAAGCCTACTGGACAGCACTGGCACTCAACATCTCTGAGTACGTACAGGAGGGGGCGATGGCTTCGGGAGAGCAGGCGGCACCTTCGGACCCAGCACTCTGTCCCCGGTTGAGTCAGGCCTCTTGGAAAGACACCACCCACTCTGAGGGAACCGTGATGAGGTCAGGGACATGGGGATATGGTGGAATGGGGGTGAGCATGGCCTATCACAAGCATTCTATCCCACAGCTCCTGTCAGCTCCTCACCCAAAACCAGCAAGCGCAGCTTTCCTAGGTAAAAGCCCTAGTCCCCGCTGCAGCCCAGTCAATGACCTGCTCTGGGTTTGCCCTCTGGGTTGGTTTCCAGCCTTGGTCTCCCTCCAACCAATAAGTGCTCCACTTAGCTCAAGACAGACAAGTACAGACTTCTTTCCAGCTTCAAAAAAAAAGGTTACCACCAGCCTTGACCTCAGTAATTTCCAGACTCCTAGATTTTCCTCATTCTCTTGCTGGTGCTTTTTGTTGTTGTTGTTGTTGTTGTTTGTTTGTTTGTTTTGGTTTGGTTTTTTTGGTGATGTTGTGTTTCTTGGCTAGACAGGAAAAGAAAAAGCATTATGTGAGTGGCAGGAGAGGTAGGGGGTCAGAATGACAGTAATGAGGTGAGGGCTCCAGCACTTGTTTCTGAATAGGAAAGCCCAAAATCACAGATGTCAAACAACCCTGGACACTCAAGTTTATTGTCGCTCCTCTAACAGAACAGTCTCCTGTTTTTAAAAAGCGTGTGTGCAACGTGCTCTGTTTCTTCAAAAGAGAGAGAAAGTGGCCAGAGCACAGTGTTCATGTGCCTGTATTCCACTTCTGCATCCACAGAAGGTGCTCAGGAAAGGTTCTAAGCGCTTCTCTCTGGTTAGAAAAATAGGTCGCTGGACGGGGCTTACACCGGCTGCAACTTCAAACCATATAAATGTAGACACACAAACGAACCTAAAATAAAGAAAATCCATAGGACCAGATACTGGCACACAGTGTGTTAGAGGGCAAATGGTCTTCACTAGCGTCTACGCTACAAAAAATATGGTCTGGTCAGGGGAGTAAGGGGGCTAGGAAGACAGCTTGATAAGTGTTTGCCACACAAGTGTAAGGACCTAAGTTTGGACCCCCAGAGCCCATGTGAAAAGCCAGGCTTAGCATCCCACTTCTGTAACCCGCGCTGGGGAGACAGAGGTAGACAGATTCTTGGCATTCGCTGGCCATCCAACCCAGCCAAATCAGTGAGTGACCTCTTTCCAAGAGAGAGCAGCTAAAGAGGACCCTCAGCATCAACCTCTGACCACCCTACGCGTGCATACACACACAAACACATGTACACAGGTATAACACACACAGAAAATTAAAAGCCACCATGTTGCAGGCGTTGGAGGCTCTTCCACTGAAGATAGGAATAAGCACACCCCACCCTGCTCCTATACAAGGTCAGAGAGCACAAAAGCAGCCAGTGAAGAGAAAGCTCTTGCTTCCGATGAGAACTGGAAAGGGGAAAAGAAAGTTGTCTCCGGTTAAAGATGACATTATCAGGGAAGAGGGGGAGGGCATGGTAGAGTGCCTGCCTAGCATGGATGAGGCCCTGGGCTCCATGCCTAGCACTGTTAAATAAATAAATAAATAAATAAATAAATAAATAAATAAATAAATAAATAAATAAATAAATAGGTAGATAGATAGATAGATAAATAAATAAATAAATAAATAAATAAATAAATAGATTTTGTATGCCAGAAAACTGCAAAAGAATAGAAAAAAAATCACCATAGCCAATAAGAGGATATAGTGGCAGACTATAATACCAGCATTCAAAAATTAGCAATGCCTGGGGCTGGAAAGACTGCTTAGTGGTTAAAAACACATATTGGTCTTACATGGGACCTGAATTTGGTTCCCTACACCCATCTCAGTGGCTCCCAGCTGCCTATAATTCCTCTTCCTGGGGATCTTCTGGCTTCCATGGGTGCCTGCATTCTCATGCACATACACGCACAGAGACATTCACTTATTCCTCAGAAATAAAAAGTAAAATCTTATTGTAAAAATTAATAATACTTATGTATATAACTGCTACCCCCGGAAAGAGAGATGCAATATGAAGAGACTTCTTTTTTTTTTTTTTTTTTTTTTTTGAAAAATTCAGCAGTTTAATTTTTTTTTTTTTGACATGTTACATTATTACTTAAAAATTGGTGGCTTTATGTTTTGGTTGCTTAAGAGACCTCTTTAGGATGGGAAAAAAAATGTTGTTCTGAGGAATGTAAGGACATATTGAGCGTGGAGTGTGAGTACTGTTAAAACGTGAAAAGTTGGGCCTGTGGCGCCAGCCTGTGGGTCCAACTACCCGAAGAACTGAGGCAGGGGGATTGAAGGCCCTAGGCCAGCCTGGGAGACAGGGTAAGATTCTGTCTCAAAAAGTAACACGGGATACAGCTCGGTGTAGCAGGCATGAGGCCCTAGGCTTAATCTTGGGGAGCGAGGAGTGGGGGTATGAAACGTTCCTCTAAGACACAAAAGAGGTGTGAACACATGGAAGGGCTCACGATGTCTCTGAGTGGAAAGACAGACACCATGAAGCTAGCCATCCTTCCTAGCGTTTAAACCTACTGCAGTCTCAAAGGAAATGTCTCTGAGGCGGTCTCTCTGCAGCCAGGTGGCTGACTGTAAAGTTCATTAGAAGAACAATCAAGAACATCCCAAGGTCTCAATCCAGGGGATGGACCTTCCTAGATGTGAAGACATCATCAAACCTCTGCCCGCTGTGAACTGTTCTGGTTTACAAAAGAGCAGCCAGGCCCAGGAGGCACACATCCCAAAGCACTGTGTCACATCGGTGAAGGGAGGTGGGTTTAATAGCTGGATCAGGAGCCAACAGGACTAGCACCGTTGGGCAAGTTCCCTCACACTACGCACCTGGATAGAGTGACTCATATTCAAACACACAGAAAAGAAGCCATGTAAGCACCAACAGAAAAACTGTGACCCTGCTGCTCTGAGATCTGGGAGTCAGCAAGCTTTCCCTAACACAGAAAGCTCAGAAGCCATGCAAGAACCACTGGTAAATTTAACGGCCCGAAAATGTCTCTGTGAGCCGGGTGCAAAGAAGTGATGAACGGGGAAGCAGCAGCCGTGAGCAGGTGAAGGTACCATCTCCGCAGCTACTGTGTGAAGGACAAAGAGCTTTGGGGACAGACAGACAGAAGCGCAAAACCACACGGGGACGGCAGCCACGAGAAAAGATCCATCCTCAAACGTGCGGTGACCCAGCTCTTGCCATCCAGAGCAGAACTGAGGTTGGCAGGACCCCCTGCTGGTGGGATACTTAGCAAACTCGTGTGGGCTGGAAGCAGAAACCGATAAAGTGTGGCCCATGCTTAGAGGATGCTGGCGTGGCTTGCCGTGGGTTAGGTAACACTGTCTTAGCATCAGTAGGAGCCACTGCTTTCGGCAAAAGGAGACACAAGTTTCGCAACTCAAAAGTGTTTAAATATAAAAGCTGAACATGAACTGTAAACATTCACCTGTGTTTGTGATCTATTTTCTCTTAAAGAGACAAAAGAGGCTACTCCTAGCCTTTGGGGAGCACAGCCAAAGGGCCCCCAGCCTGTCCTGTTGGGGAGCACAGCCTCTGGAGTACCCAGCTTTCACGGGGATTGGCGATGCTTACTGGTCCTCATTGAAGTGAGTCTAGAGACATCTCTGACTGTAGGACAGGGGCAGGAAATAAAGCAGGTGAACAAGGACCATCATGTCACACCAGGAAGGGAGAAGCTAGCAAAAGACTAATGAAACTCAGAGGCCCCTGCAGAGAGCTTATGAGCTTATGAGCTTATGGGAGGAGAGCAGACGGTACCCAGGCTGCAATGGGCTACACTACAAACCCCGCAACGTGAAGAGTCTGCAAGAGACAAAACCCATTCATTGGTCGCCTTCGGAGGCGTAAGACAGGCACTAGTTTAAGCAAGCAAAAAGCATCAGTTACTTAACTTGTCCCTTCCATGCAAATTGTATTTTCAGTAAAAGCAAAATAAAGAAAAAAAACAAAAACAAAAACTGAAGAGGTATGCGTGTGAGTGCCAGCCAACAGTGTGCACTTGCCAGTCGGGACTGAATCACTTTTGTATTAGCTTCATAGCATCGTGATAAAATTATGCACACATACACTCACACACACACACACACACACACACACACACATATGTAGAGAGAGAGAAGGAGAGAGAAAAAAAGAGACAGGGAGAGATTGAACTTAGAAAGGAGAGCATTCATTTGGCTCCCAAGTCAGTCACATGTCAGGCTGACCCATAGCTGAAGGGCCTACGCTAAGGGCAATCCATCATGACAGAGTGCAATGCTTATGTGGATGGAGGGCACCAGGGTCCCAATGTCCCTTTTAAAGACACCCTCTCCCCCAGGCACCACTTCTCAAAGGTGCTACAGCCTCCTGATAGGACCACCGGGGAAGCAAGCCTTCCATAACTTGAGACGCTGAGGGCATTCACCCAAACCGTAGAAAGTAGACGCTCACAGCCGGGTATGGTGATGCCCAGAGGTAATTCACGAGAAATACCGGGGACAAAACAAGAGTATGCCAAACAGGGCTTTAACAATTGGCCTTCCCCCAGACTGGTGGTCTGGTGTGTGCAGAGAGTGAGCTGCAGCAAGAAAAGCTGGGGTGAGGAGACCCAGAGCCAGGTTAAAAAGACTAATGACCACCACGGGCGTGGAGGTTCCTTCAGGGCTGACAATGAATGGTCTAAAGTCACAGTGGCGATGGCTGTGCCACTTGGTAAGTGCACTAAAAGAAACGCTTTACATGGAAAAACTGTGTATGGTGTGTGAATTGTAGCTCAAACCAGGGATGAGGGAGAGATGCTGAGCCACCGTATCGAACAGACTGTGGTCAAGTTCTGATTCGCCCAACTGAATGAGGTACTTGGGTTATCTCATGACACTGAGCATCATGGATTTTTTTTTTTTTTTAAGGTATGACAGTGGTAGTGAGGGTGTTTTGGATGTTTTGGCTTTGTTTTGTTTAGTTCCTTATATTCTGATGATATAAATTAAAATATTTACTGATTAAACACCTGAGATTTGCTTGGGGATATCCAGGTGCTGTAGTGCCTTTGGAAGCCCGGATTGGTGTCTGTGAAGGTAGGTTAGGAGAGAGCTCGCTAGACTCAGAGAGCAAATTGGATCGGTGCTTTTTAGAGATGCCAACCCAGGCTATGACTCAATGCTGCTACTGCAGGGTGCTGGTACCTATGACGTTTAAACCGCCAGTGACCCAGACACCCACATGCAGAGGCCCCCATCTCTCTAGGCCCTTCTCTTCAGGGACTCCCCAGTCCTCTAACCAACAGTGTTAACCCAGGCCCAGAGACAGCTTACACACAGTCATTGCTTTGCCCCGCAGAGAGTCGGAGCCTGGCGTGGATGTGGCCTTTCTGGGGACCAGGGCTGGCCTTCTAAGAAGAAGCTTGTTCGTGGGATCTGAGAAAATCTCTGATAGGTGAGTCCAGCTGGGGTGCAGGGGGCCTCTGGGAAGGAGGAACATGGTACAAGTTTTGGAATCCCTTGGGGTATGTAAAGCAGAGACAGTCTCAGTATGCTGTACCCTGTGAATCAATGGAAGGCAGAAGACTGTAAAAGGCCAGGACAGTAAAAGGAGGAGTTGCCTGCTTGGGTTAGTGTGTCCTGGAAGGCCTACAGTGGGCCCAGAAGGGGCTTTTGAGTCTGGAAAGGTAGCTCAGACATTCAGCTTGCAGGCATCGCAAAGGGAGGCAAGGACTGTGTCCTTCCCTAGGTCTAGCCCAGAGAACAGTTATGTGGTCCAGTTCTACCTCCTCATCTGCAGGTCTTTCCCCACACTGGGAGGGGATGTTTTTGAAGTCCTCGGTGCGCAGAGATCCGAGTGAGGGTCCCCCTGCTCCAGAAGCAGATTTGCTGCTGCGCGGTCCCCAAGTTGCCAACCTACTGCAGCTAATGGCTCCCAAGGCTTAGGATTTGCCTCCCGGTCCCTCCCCCAACACTACCACCACCATCGTGAGGCATGTAAGGCAGAGGCCCTGGGAGACCAGTTCTCAGCCACTGGTGTTTGCATGTAAAAATGTCCAGAGATGGCCTGCGTTACCACACTGGGGAAAGTGGAGGAGACCACTACCACGGATGGAAGCCAGGGGTGCTGCTGGGTGTCACAAGAATGCCTGCAGTAATCAGTCACACCCCCAGACCCTACTCTAAGCAGACTGTGGGAGAACCCTGCTAGCAAACCCACATACTGCCCAGTCCTCTACCCTGTCCCCAACGGCCGCTGTCTTCTGGATGACTCAGCATGGAAGGTGAGAGCCCAGAAGAGGGCAGGGCAGCACCATTTGCTGTCCTGAAGTTCAGAAGGCTCAGGGAAGCGAAGCCCCAGGCACCTGGGGAATACTCACTCACAGCCCCTCTCACTAAGTCCCAGGGCATTCAGCCACAGGGCTTCCTAGTGCCTCTCTCAGGACTCAGTGGCGAGTCCGCACATGCTAAGCCAGGTTGGAGGCTTTCTAGGAAAACAAACTTGGTGAGGTTTTCCTCTCCTTCCTTCTTTCCCTCCCTGAATTCCCGGAGGGGTGGGGAAATGGCACCATCCTAAAAGGGCTTTTGTAGGGATAGGAAGACATGGCAACGTAGACAGGCCTCCCCCCCAGGCAATCAAGGACTCTGGGAAGCTGGGATGACAGCTGCGTGAGGGGACACAGGTGCAGGGAGAACTCCCCAGCAATCTGTTTCCAGAGCAGGCAAGCCACTCTCTCAAACGCCAGTCTTCTGCCTGTGAATTACCCACAGGTGCCATTTCATTTTGTACCCCACCCAGCTCCGCCCACTCCGGAGTCAGCCTCTGGACCAGCCTCCCTCGTAGGCTTTCGAGTGTTCAGGGAAAGCAAGCCCATAATTAGCAAGGAAAAGCTCCACCAAAAGGAGACTAATGTTGCACATCAAAGCCTTTCAAAGTAACCATTTAGGGTGATCCATGCCTCTTCACTACAGTGACAGAACCAACTGTAGGACTTCCTCACTCAGAGCTGCGGGCGAGCCAGACTAAAGAAATTACCTATACCCAAGGGACGTGTACTATGTTGGCAATACATCTGCATATCCACGCCGGGCACCAGCTCCATCTCTGCTGGCCTCCCCTTCCATTGAATGCTCCAGTGTTTTGCTTCTGGAAAAGGCAGGAACTGCCTGGAGCAATGCCAACTTAGGAGCTGATAGTTCTTTTCATTCTTTTTTACGGGGGCGGGGGGACCTGAGACGGGTCTTGCCATGTAGCCAACATAACTGAGAACTGTGAACTTCCTCCCTAGACCTCAGAGTGCTGGGATAACAGTGTGCCTGCTGTGCTGGGCTCAGAGGCTGTTTTCTACCAGCACAGAGGAGAGTCTTGGTTTTGACCCCATCAAGATGATCATGTACGGCACAGGGAAAAGGGACAAACATCTCCCCAGATTTGAGGAGACCCCAATTCTACTCTTGCAGGAAGTTCCTGACACCTGAAGATAAAGCCAGTATTTTTACCCTGGACAACTTCCCACTGTGGTATCGGCAGGCTTCTGAGCAGGCCCCAGGCAGCTTTGTCTTCAATCTCTGCTGGGCAGAGGGACCAGGTAACCTACACCTCTGTGCTCTTCCCAGGAGTGGGAAATGGGGGCAGGGTGATATGAAAGAGAGTAAGGGCCCAGGGAGACCATGCTCCTCAAGCCGCTGCCTTCCCTCCTGACACTGTAGCTCGGGACATGCCGGTGTCCCACACAGAATGTAGGACTAAGTGTTCTTATCCCCAGCCAGCACTCAAGCTCCAGCATGGAGCAAAAGAAAGAGAGCTGACCTGAAGGCCAACCTAGCTGACTCCTGGCCCACATTCCCAACATGAGATCAGCAGGGCTGATGGACAAGAGGCTTTCGCGTCTAAGAACCTGAGCGCTTTAAAGCTCCATGGCCTCTGGAAGGAAGTCCCAGGCTCCGCCTCAGAGGACTTAATCTTGTGGCTCTTCCAGTCTCCACTCCCCTCAGATTACCCAGCTGGCAGCTCCCTGGGCGTAGGGGAGACAGTCAGGCCCCACCAGCTCAGTCCCCCACAGGCTCAGGCCTCTGGACTCAGAGGAGAGGTGGCACCAAGCTGGGGACTCCAACTTCCAGCCCTGGTCACTGTAGAAGATGGCAGGGAAGAACACCAGGACCTTCGCTGAGTGTGAGGAAAATCCAGCTGCTGAGAACCCCTGGGGCCCACTGCTCAGTGCACCCTTAAACTCTTAGTCACCTTTGAGGAACTGGCCCAGAGAGGCTGAGGGGCTTGTCCGGGGCCCAGGAGTCTTAAGAAGCAGCAAATATCCACTCAGTTGCCTCAGAGGGACTGAGCTCAAGGCAGAGAGACTGAAACTTGGACAGTACCCACTCGTGGATGGGTGAATGAAGCGGGCAGGAGGGCAAGAGGGCCAGGGTAGACGTATCAGAGATGACAGCTCTTTGTGCTATGTGTGTGTGAGAGAGAGAGAGAGAGAGAGAGAGAGAGAGAGAGAGAGAGAGCTTGAACTGAGGAGGGCATGCAGGAAATGGTAGCCTGCAGAACACTGTGGGTGTACACACTTGCACACATAGGGACAGACAGACCACATACTGTGGAGGGCTGCTCTGGGGCTGTCAGCTTCAGGAGTCCAGCTTTCTAGGGTTCTTCTTCTAGGCTGAAGATAACAAGGGGAAAGTCTGCTCTATAACCCCGAAGTTTCCTTACTATCCACTAAGCCTGTCGCTCTAGCCTGTGTCATTCTCTCCACCCACACACCGGTGTCTAATGTGTTTTATAAACACTTCCCTGCTAAAACCCCGTGAGACAGCACCATCTCTCATCTTACGTGGGGAGAATCGAAGGCTCAGAGACTCAAGGCCGCTTGCTCAAGCTACACAGCACCGTGGTAGTTTACAGGGCAAGCTAGAGCCAGGTATGCCTCACAAACACCCAGGTCGCTCTGACGCCCCAGATAGAGGGCGGGAGGCAGAGGGAGAAAAGAGGTGTTTTCCTTCCCAGGAACCCCAAGGAGGCTCTCAAGGCCAAGCTGAAGGTCTTCCCAGGTTGCACACCTGAGGCAGGGAGGCAGCTCCTCCCACCACATGCAGGGTTCCCGAAGGAAAAGAACACCCACGGACTCCATAGATGTTCTCTGGGTGAGACCCTGAGCCCCGCCCAGCTGGGGTGACAGCCTCCCTCCTGCCTGCACTGTCACCAGAGCTGCCTGCTGGCTGCTAGGGGAAGCTTTATGTGTCCACGAGGTAGGAGGGCAGGTGGGTGGGGAGCTGAGCTGCCAGGAGAAGAGAGGAAGGCTGGTAACCCAAAAGGGGACTGCTGAGGAGGGAGGCAGGAGCTCGCTCCCTTCCTACGCCCTTGCACACTTGCTCAGCCCAAGCACATGCTTAAAGCCACGTGGACACTTCTGGGCCTCCCATCCTCCAAGAGATAGAAAATAATTTCATTTCCATGGGGGTGGGGTGCTGAGAAGGCAGAGGCAGGGGGAGGCCAGCCTCCGAGCTGACCTGAGTTCGGGTAGGTTACTACCCCTCTTGAGTTGACCTCGTAGCCAGAGCCTATACCACATGCCGACATACCTCAGTCCGCCAGCGCCAAGGGCCAGGGCCTGGGGCTCTCATACCCACCTCTCCCTGAGCTTGTTCACAGAGGCCCTGGGCCATGTGACCATTGGCACTCATGTTGAAATCAAGGTCCCCAGAGATCAACTGAGTGTTCCCCACAAGCCTGTGCTAATTGGAAGGCAGGCTACAGAGCCCAGGACTCCTGCAAAGGTCCCCACACTGTGTCTCATAGATGTTTCCAGAAAGAAAATAAGAGATCTGGTCTGTTTCTACTCTGGTTCCTTTGGCTCAGCCATGGTAAACTTCTGGACTCAAGGACACCTTGCCTGTCACATGCTCCCGGAGTCCCAGTATAGTTACAGTCTCGTGACACGTTGAAGATAACAAGGTATCGGGGAAAGCCTCAACAACACAGTCAATATGAAACTGCTTGCTACCTTTACAGAAGACTGCTGCTCAGCAATCTCCGTGAGGCTCTGAGAGCTGGTTATCACAGGCAGCATTCACCACTAGGACATTTGACAGAATAGAGCAGCACATGATCCTGGATTATATAATGAAGTCCGGCATATAGACAAGAGGCCTTTGGAAAGTTGGCCCAAGGACATGGATGGACAGAAGTCAGAAGCCACACAGTAGCCTGCTAGAAAGCTGCTCTCATGTAGACTCGAAACCACCCTCTGATCTTGCTCCCAGGACGGGCTGGTCCTACTAAAAGAAGTGAAAGGCAACCCAGGTCTCTAGCAGCCAGACAGAAAGTTCTAGAATGGCAGCAATGAAACGGGGAATCATGGTGGTGAGTTGGGCACCACCAACTAGGATCCATGAAACCTCACAGATGTGTCAGACACCGTCCACCGCATCTAGCTCCTGAGCGGGACCGTCGCAGTCACTCTCTGCAACTCATAAAGGCAAAGCAGGCTCACCCAGCACCCAGGCCTGCGATGCCTACAGCCTGCCCCTCAATATAAGATGCATTTATTGTCAACTTGACAGCATAGAGTCACCTGGCAAGAGGGCAGGAAACACCAACTCACAAACAGCCTTGCTCAGATGGGCCTGTGGCACAATCTTGTTAATCGTAGGAGGGCCTGGACTACTGTGGGCAGTGCCATCCCTGGGAGGGTGGTCCTGAGGCGTGCAGGAAAGCAGGCTGAGCGTGAGCCAAAGAATGATCTAGAGAGCAAGCCAGTAGCCAGCATTACTCCGCCATTTCCGCTTCCCTGACCTCCCTCAGAGATGGACTGTGACCTGGAAGTATGAGACAAAATAAACCCGTTCCTCTCCAAGTTGCTTTTGGTTGTGGCTTTTATCACAGCAACAGAAAAGCAAACCAGGTCACAGCCCCTGCTGGGTAAGACACACGTGGGAGGACGGGCCGCGGCAGGGTCCTGTGGCAGCTTCAAGGGTGAGCTGAGCAAGAGCAACAGGCAGGCGGGTTGGCTGCCTGGAGGTGGAGCAGAGTCACAGTGTCGGTGTGATGCTAGGCTCACTTGGCTTAGGCTGGCAGAGGCTAAGTTTGATCTGGCAGTCCAGGCTCAGATTTGTTCAGATGTGGGGACAGCAAGGGACCTTCAGGTGGTGGATATCAACGACCCATGAGGACAGGACCCTTCCTCCCCACCTCACCTATTCTAGGGACAGCTTATCCTGGCATTTCTATTCACCTCATGTTCCAAGAAAGAAATAGGCTCACGCCTCCCTAGCTCCTATCTGCAGGCAATGAGAGTGATGATAATTCTCGTTTTCCCAGACAGCCCAGGCAAGCCAGTGGCGGTAAGGGCCAGCACCGCAATAACTGTGACAGTGGACGGGAAGACGGCCATCGCAGCAGGTAAGCGCTACCCTGAACTGCTGTTGTGGGAGCTATAAGGCATTGTCAAGGTGAAGGCTGGCAGAGCAGGGTTGGCTCAGTTAGAGCACCTGTCTAGCTGGCCTGAGGCCATTTCATCCCCAGCAGCACCACGCACACAGGAAGGAAGAATAAGGTGCCTGGATATAGAGACTCTAAATTTTTCCAGGAGAAATGCTGGAGGAAGGAAGTAGATGCTTATGTCATTTTGTTTATAAAATGAAAAAAAAAAAAAAAAGAAGATTCATGGGATAAAATGAAACCCAAAGAGGTTCGGAGACCTGTTCAAGGTCGCACAGGGCAGGGACAATCTAGACCTCTGTCCTCTCCCTGGGGCACTGCTTTCCTAAGTCAATACCCTGAGCTCTAGTCCTGACCTCATGATACTGCGCTTTCTACCCGGAACTCGGGGTGGCCAGGGGAGGCCATATTACAGACCAAGAAAGTGAGACGTGGAGAAGTTACTTGTGCAAAGTCCCACAGCTAGTAACAAAGCTAGAACTACCTCTCTTTGCGACCAGGAGTTACTCCCATGGTGAGTTTGCCTTGGCTTTTAAGAGGAGCACTCCCAGTGGCCCTCCTAAGCTTGGCCTGACTTTGCAGTTTCTTGGTGGCTAGGACGGTCTGTGGCACCTGTGTCTTGCTGTTTGAGCCTCTACGATCATGCCCTCTGTGCTCCTCAAGAAGGTGTGTAATCCGTTGGTCACTCAACCTGGTGGGGCTGGGGAACTAGGCCCTTTTCTCACACCCCAGATGGGAGCCTGGTGGCAGGCAGGCTTGGCCTGGTCTCTTTCCAAGGCTACAAGCATCTAGGGGGAAGTACAGGAGGAGCAGGCCTGAGTTTCCTCAAGAAGCATGCACTACACAGAGTTGGGGTTCCTGTGTATTCCTTTCTAGGCTGAGGTAGGGAAGGTGGCTCAGTGACATGCCCACTCCAGCATCCCTGGCAGTCTGTAAGGTGCTTCCAATGCTGTAGAGGGGACATATTACATCTCAGCAGTACAATTCTTCCAGAGCCCATGACATGCTAATCTCAGGCCAGAAGCAATGCCCACTTGTCTCCTGTGGCTTAGTCCCAGCAGACCAGCGGTTACCTTGTTCTGCCTGGAGGTGGCCCCTCTACCTTGAAGACCTGGGAAAGGAGAGAAGGGGTGTGAGGCCAGGCCGCTGGCTGTGCTTCCCCACACTCTCCAATTATCTGATATAATTTTTAACTCAGAAGCCGAGTTAGAGCCAGGAGGGGTTGCCATAGAAACCATGTCCCAGTGCCTCGAGTTGAACTCCTTCAGGCAGTCGCTGCGACGCTCAGGGTGCACGGCCGTGACAGGGAAAGCATGAGGCGCTAGAGACCTGAGGCCGCCAGTTCATCCACATCTTAGTCTGTATTCTCCTTTCCCTGGTCCCTGGCACAACCTCCCTGATCCTGGGACCAGCTGGGACCTTCAGCTCAAGGAGGAGTAGGCGGTGTGTCTGCTGTCCCTGGAAGCTGGGGCCTGGTGTTCTTTTCAGAGCAGGCGGCCCTGGTGCACGGTGTCTCAGCTGGGGCTGTGTCAGAGCCCTGTACTGCTGTCTGGAGAGGCTTGAGTCACAGTAGGGGTCTGGAGAGACAGGACTGTTGACCTCTGCGATCTCCTAAGAACTGTGCCTTAGGCTTCGGTAGCAATGTGTGCTGTGCTGTCCTGCTCCTAAAGGGGGCTCCAGGGAGACCAGATTCAGCTATAGAGGTACTAGAAGAGGGTGACCCTGACCACACCTAGGAAGAGAGTCTCTCCATCTGCGTGGCTTTGCATACCCTGGAGGCTCACATCTCCCTCAGTTCCTGCCTTCATGAGTTGTCATCCCAAAAAACCCTCCCAGGGTAAAGGTTCTATGTGAGCCTCTGAAAGCTAAGACTTCAAAACCACTGCGCCAGAGGCCAGTTCTGCCCTGGAGGGGACAGGGCCTCAGGGATCCAAGCTTTTCCTCCAGGGCTGGACCAGCAATCCCAGAGGCCATTGCTCTCTTGCTCTTCCTCTCTTCATTGCTGCACCTCCAGCTTTTTAGTCCCTAATCCTAGCTCCCTGCTGGCTGAAGAGGCACATTCATAAACCTAGTCCTGTCTAGGTTTATGTAGCCAGTCCTGAAAGGCCAATGTGGCAGGCATTGGCTAAGAGAGACTACAGCAAACCCCCACAGAGCCCAGGTGAGGTCTAGCCGTGTTTGCTCACCTCTGCTACACAAGATTCACTCTGCCCTGAGGCTCACATTTGTTACTGCCAGGCTGGAGTACAGATAGGTTTAAAACCCCAGCCCAGCCCTGCCCAGTGTTTGCTACGCCTGTCCTGAGCCAAGTCCTATCCAAGATGCTATTTTCACATCCCTCCCTGCCCTGAGGTCCTGTGTCCTGGGCAGGGGGGCCCATCTGTCACATAGAGCTCTCCGTATTAGGGTGGCATACCTCCACAAACTGCTTGGCTGCCTGGCACAGCAGGCAGACAGGGCACCCTCCTCCCAATGCCCACATCCCCTCCTACCCAATGAAACAAGGAAATACATAGGAAAATAGTCTTTATTGGTCTTCTGAAACGACAAACCAGAAATATAATTTTGCCTTTAAAAATCTCCTGTCTCAGGCTAAAGATATCACCACTGACAACACCCTCCCTCCCCCAGGCCCTTAGAAAATCCCGGCTCTGGGATTGGCCCACTAGCCAAAAGAGGAAGGAAGACTGTGGCCCGGCCTAGAGGATCCTGGGATCCTGAACTGCTAGCAGCCTGTGCCCTTTTTCTCCTAGCCAGAGAACAACCTTGAAGGCTCTCCTGAGACTCCCAGAACATGCCCCTACTAGCAGAGTAGGTGACAGAGGAGAAGGAGAAGGGCTGCCAGGGGCCCCCGTGGGAGAATCATCAGTGTCTAAGTGCCTAGCTGGCCTGTTTCTGGCTACCACCAAGACCCTGCTTGGGGCAAGAGATCAGCCTGGCATCTCCTGAAGAGGGATACCACTCTCTAAGGAGGGTACAGTTGAGAACAGAGGACAGTGACCCTGAAAATGTGCCCAGCCCAGGGGTAAGAGTCTCCATACCAGTTAGGACTGCAGCACTTTTTTTTTTTTTTTTAGCTCAGATAGTCCAGGTGCAAATTGCATGCTCCCAGGAAGCCAGTGAGCCCCTGGGAAAGGAAGCCCGGTCGCTGAGGACTCTGAACAGAATGCAGCCATCCTGTTCCTGTTCCTGCAGTCTGCTGGGGATCTGCTGAAGGCAGCCAGCCTCATCGAGGGCTTACTGCCTGACATCTGCTCTCCTTAAGGTGTGAGCCTTAAGGAGATCTCTGAGCACAGCCGAGACCCAGCCTTGAGGTCACAAACGAAAGATGCAGATGACAGAGGAGACAGGAGAAGCAGAGGAACAGAACTGAGGCTTCAGGCTGCAGGAGTAGAAAACCTGGCGGGGAGGAGATTCCCAGGCATTTCCAGGGGTCTGCAACTGAGCTCTCAGAAGCCGAGAACCCATCCTGCATTCGAATGCGCACACACACACACACACACACACACACACACACACACACACGCACACACACACAGAGAGAAAGAGAGAAAGAGAGAGAGAGAGCTCCTGGGGCTCTGGTAAACCTGGCAGGAGAGGTGTTAGGGTTGCCGTGGCAACGGGCAATTCCTCTAACAGCATACTTCGGCCCACTTTAGAGGGTCTCAGAGGATCCCTGTGTTACTGTCCAGAATCCAACCCCTGATAACATGGGAAGACTGTAGTCAGGAAGTAAGAGAGACAGTGGCCTTCGGTCTCAGGGGACAGCTGGCCTCTGCGCCAAGTTCTTATGGCCTCTGTTTCCACCTGACGTGTGTGTGTGTGTGTGTGTGTGTGTGTGTGTGTGTGTGGTGTGAGACTTTGATCTGTGCGACTGTGACAGTGATGCCATGTGTGTGACAGAGAATTAGTGTATAGAGTAAGACCTCGTCTCAAAACCCCACACTAGAACAAAAACGTGAAATTACTAAACTCGGAACAATGTAGTCAGACGGGCCTATAGCAAATAAAGGGACATAATGACATCCACCTAAGGAGGACATTATAGTCACTTTGGTTTTTCTAAGCACTGGACCCCGACCACAGGGCTGGGGCGTTTGCACATTGGCACCAGCCGCTGAGAGCTGGACAAGCTTCACACTGCAAGGACTTAAGACTATCTTTCTGGCTTCCGAAGGAGTCACAGAAATATACCTCTGGCTCCCCTTGTCCCTCCCTCCCAGGCCCTAATGCAGACTGAAGTAGGAATAAGCGAGAGGTAGGGAGGGTCCCCGGCTGTGCTGGCCCTGGGCAGGAGGGAAGGGCTCAATGCAAAAGATGTCTCTGGCATAGGTTCTTTCCTGCCTGTGGCCAGGAGCCTACGGGGAGGCCCAGGTGTTCCTTGCAAAGACAAGAAGCCCAGAGGAGGCCTTCCACGGGAATCTTTGGCCCAAGGGAAGCTTCTGAGAAACTTGGAAAGAGACTGGAAGGCTGCTCTACTTGAGGCAGACGAGGACCGGGGAGCTGAGGGGAGGCAGTACCAGTGTCAGGCTGAGACAGGGCCTATGATGGAGGGAAGGGCAGCCCTTTCGGTAGCGGTCCCATGGAGTCTCCTTGCTGTCCTACCTGGACCAGACAGACAGCTCTCACGCCACAGAAGAGATCTGCTTCTGATCTTCGTGCTCACCCTCAGGGTCCCCCATCAGCGGCTGGCGCTTCTTGAGCTCTCGGTGGTACTTGGCCATGAGGGAGGCATAGATGCAGCCATAAGCAGCAGCCACCACCATCATGATACAGACGATGCCGCACACGACCCCTGCGATGATCACTGTGCCGATGGCTCGCCGAACGCTCACGGGCCGGTACCTCTGCTTCTGAGGGCAGGCAGTGCCGGGCTCAGGCTCAGGCTCGGCCCCAGGCTTGGGTTTAGGAGGCTCCGGGCTGGCCTTGGTGCAGGGCGGGCCTGGAGCATCCAGCCCCGCAGGGTTGTTCTCATCCTCCAGCTGGGAACAGTAGTTAAACATCTCCATTGGGACCGCACGCATGTCCTTCCCCCTTAGCTCCTTGGGTAGGGTGCAGGCAAGCTGGTCCAGGCGCCCCCCTGCATCCAGGGGGAAAAAGAGAGAGAGGCTGAGCAAGCATCTAGAACTCAGGTGCCCTCCCCTCCCCCAAGACGTCCAAATGGAAAGGTACAGTCCTGCCAGTCACCTAGTCAGTCCCGATTACAGAAGAGTAAGTAGGAGGAGGTAGAGAGTAGCAGCCACGGGCCAAGGATTGTGATTGATGTATGTCATAGAGGAGGGTCACCTATGCTGCCAAAGCCATCAAAAATGGACATTAGCATCACTTTTATTTCACGTATTTCACATCCATCTCATTCAATCCTGTCCCTCCAAGGTCACACTGACCTACAGGAGGACAGCAGTCCCAGCTGGGGGCCTGCTCAGGCCATGGCTTTGGTACAGAGAGCCATGTCCCTGCTCAGACTGTCTTCTCTGCCCAAAACCTGGCAGCTCGCTGATGTCTGTGAAACCTTGCCACTGTTTTCAACACAGTACCTTCGCCCGTGTCCCTTCTCACAAAGAGAATGAAGGCCAAAGCCACTGCCTTCGTCCACTCCTCCGCACACGGCCTTGGTGGCCTGAGGACACCAAGAAGCGGGCATGGTATCTTCCTGGCTTTGTCAGGTATAATACACAGAGATATCTAGGGAGCAAACCTGAGTGTTTAGACAGGCCACCAAACCACCTTTCATGACACTGGGGAGGCCATCATGCCCAGCGCCCTCTCCCAGCCCAGATGCCTCAAGTCCAGACATCTTGTCTTACCTAGGGTATGCTCAGGATGCTGATGGAAACATCTGGGTTGTTTTTTTTTTATTATTATTATTATTTTTGTCTCTGTTTTTTTAAGGAGTGCCCGGGTGGAGATAGGATCTGGGAAGCTGGCTCCTGCCTGCTGTGTTAAGGGCAAGAATGTGCCCTAAGCCAGTACCAATGAGCATATACCCATGGCACTTGGTTAGAATGGCAGAGAGCTAGGGAGTGGAAAGGGAGTGACCTAATTTTCCTGGGACGGAGACCCAAGATTGAATCCTGGCTGTCACTTGAAAATTATTTAACTTATTTAATTATGCCTGAGTCTCAGTATTCTTAACTGCAAAATAAGGATATCTATCTCAATTAGCTGCTTGAGAGACTAAAATAGATAATGTGCACAAAAAGGTATTTGTAAACTGGAAACTATAGACAACAGCATTAATCATTTCTCCACTTACATAAACAGAATCATCATAGTGACTAACATCTCAAAGTACTTTATAGTTTGTAAAATGTTTTTAATTAATGCATCCAAGTAGCATGAAAATATTGAGTTAGTGGCTGGGTAGGAAATGAGCGAGGTAAGAGTGAGGGAAAACATTGTGTTATTTTCAGAATTTCAGCGCTGATTCCACATACACAGGAGCTGCCATGTGCCGGTCACTGGCGGTGTTTTACCGTGCGCACTTGAGTTTATGAATACCACTCACAAATGGACAATGAGTCAGGGCTCCCCTGAACACTTCCTTTATGCTGGGCACTTCTCAAAATACCTTGTATGCATTGCCCTATTTCGGTTCTCACAAACGGCTGTTCTCGCCTTTACGGATCTACCACAGAGATGTTAATCAGCTCCTCAGGATCACACAGCTAGGAGGTGGTGGGGCCAAAATTCTAGCAAGATCTGCCACTTTTAAGCGCTGTGCTTATTCATCTGCCCTCCCGTTCCACTCCATTTCCTCTCTTCTTATTTATTCATCTACTTGTTTATTTTTAGACAGGGCCTCTTGTAGTCCAGGCTGGCCCTTGAACTCCTGATCCCTGCTTGTACCTCCCAGTGCTGGGATTACAGGCAGGTGATTTTATTATTCCCAGGAAGGGCAGTTGTTCCTCTTCCTGTCCTGCCAGGGAAGCCCAGAGGCATCCTGGTGGGAATGAGAGCACAGAAAAAAAATATCGTGTATCCCTAAGTTCTTGTACGAATTCTAAGAAGGAGGGGCAAAGGGTACAGTACGCTCTTACTGAGCAGAGGTGAGCTCCGCCTGACCTCCGCTGGCTGGCTGCAGGGAAGGGGTGACCCTGACCTCACCCCGGCTGGCTCCCCTCTTATCTGTGGGGCGGCAGGCCTCACCTCTGTAGGAGAACCACTCCAGCCAGTGTTTGAACTCCCTCAGGTTGCAGTCACACTCCCACGGGTTGTCCCCGACCTGAAGCAGCTGCAGGCTTGCCAGGGGCTCAAACGTCAGCCGGTCCAGGCTCTGTAGACGATTGGAGCGGAGGGACAAGGACCGCAGGGCCAGGAGCCCGTCAAAAATCCCTTGGGGCAGCTGGGCCAAGCCATTGATAGACAAATCCAGATGGCGCAGCAGAGGGGCGTGCTGGAGCAGGTCCCTGTCCAGGGTCCTGATGCTGTTGTTCCGCAGCTGGAGCTCCGTCAGATTGACCAGGTCCTCGAAAACAGATCGGGGGAGCTGGTCCAGAAAGTTGTTGGACAGGTCCAGCCGCTGCAGGTTGGTCAGGTTGGCGAATGCCCAGCTTGGCAGGGCACTCAGTTTATTGTTGAGGAGCAAAAGGCTTTGGGTGGCAGCGGGCACGTCTGGGGGCACAGTGGTGAGGCCCAGGCCGCTGCAGTCTACCTCCAAGCTTCGACTGTCACACGTGCAAGAGAAAGGGCAGGCAGGGAGCACCTCCACAGCACACAGGGCAATCCAACAGGTGATCCCTAGGGAGGAGTCAGGAGGAAGGAGTAACAGGCTTGGACTTTCCTGCCTCGGTTTCCCCCTTCCCAGCTCATGCCTTCTTGGCCTTCGGCACAAGCTAAAATCAATTCATAGGTATTTACTGACCACACAGGAAGGTGCTCGGTAGTCTGAAACATCCATGTTAAAGGACATCCCCCTGTGACCCAAAAGTCACTTTTGTCAGTGGAGTGGCATAGAGGATGAGCCATGCAGCTCCTCAGTTCCTGCTCAGAGCCTCCACTGACAGGTGTCTCAGAACTTAGACACTACAGTGCTCCAAATGTTTATAAAATGTAAGATTTTCTAATACTGGGGAAACGTTCCAAAGACAGTGGCCATAGGCTGGGTCCTTCCCATGGGACCTCATCCGCACCCAAAGCCACATCACACTGGGATGTTCTTTGTATATGAAAGGGGAGTCCAGAGTGTCCCCTACAGCATATGAAATGCTGTCCCGTTTACCAGATCCCCATGTCTAAGGTGGGACCCAGGCCTAGCTGGGACCCACATCAGAGCACTGTGATAATGGCAGAGTAAATCCCACAGCTGCCTCCAACACTGTCCAGTCTGGTTCCGTTGGTACCTGGCCTCTGAAACTGCCAGGCCCACCCTGTACTTCTAACCTTAGAGTGCAAGGTGGCATTTCTGGGTGGATCCAGTAACAGGGTTCTTACCCTGTCCTGTTTTTGCACAAGACCCTTCTGAGTAGGGGACAGCCTGGGGACAGCTGCTGGAACTGAGGCCCAGAAAGCAACCCTTTCTGAGGGTGGCCCTGGAGTCAGCCCCGCCCACCTCCCTGGGAGGATAAGCTCACACAGTTCTGTTTCCATCGAATCAACCTGGAGTCCTGAGGAAAGCCTCCGGATGGAGGACGGATGAGGTTCAAAGGCAGCCACAGCCCAGCTGGCCCTACTTTGATGGCCGGCAGCCAACCCAGCCAGGACACATCGCTGAGACAGTCTCCAGCCTGTCTGGTGGCTGTCTGGTCATCTAAAGCCCCGGAGAGCAGAGCGTGAGGGGACAAGATGACACCCTCCCTGCCCTTCCTTGTGGGATTAATGACAGTGAAGGACATGCTAGGAGGCTGACACCTGAGCTACTTTGTTCTTGGTGGGAAATGAGCACAGGTTGGCTAAGCAGTCACCTGGAGACCTCTCTTGTGCTACCTGAGGCCACCTGAAATGACCTCCCACCCCTCTGAGCCCATCTACAGGGTCAGCCTGTCCTATATCCCTCACACACCCACACACATACATACATACACACACTGGAACACACACACACATGCACACACATACACACACACACACACACACACACACACCATCGAAAGGCAACATTCTTGATGTGTTACTTTCAAGGAGAAACCAAGTGTGGTGCATACAACTGTACTCAGCACTTAGGAGGCTGAGGCGGAGGGTCACGTGTTTGAGACTAACCTGGGCTACGTAAATCTAAAGAAAATGAAAGGAAGAATAGAGGGGGCATGGAGGGAGGAAGAGAAAGAGAGGAAAGGAGATGGAAGGGAAGAGGAGAGAAGGTGAGGAGAAGAGAGAAGGGGAGTTGAGGGGAGAAAGAGGAGAAGATAGGAGAGGGGCAGGGAAAGGAGGGGAAGGGAGGAGAGGAGCCCTTGAAAAGGACAATCAGCTAAGAGCCACACTCCACACTCACCCTGGTGGATAAACTGGCCTCTGGCTAGGGGGAAAACAGCTCCCCTCCAGCCCTGCCCACCAAATTCAGGGTTGCAGTGAAGCTCTAGTGACAAGAAAACATAATCCTGTACCGAGAGGTGTCAGCGTGATCCTAGGATGAAAGGGATCTGAGCCCGTCCGATCAGCCATTCACCTGGTGAATAATTCAAGCCTCTCCCTGCTAGGGCAACTGGACAAAGGCCAGGGGAGGTCAGGCAGCACATGGTCCCTTTGGGCCGTTTCTCACTTCTTGCTGGATAGCCCATGGGCAAGCCAACCGTGGCTGACTTTATCCCTTTGAAGAGAATTTCCACCGACAAGGCTGCTTTCACTAGCATGTTACCTTAGTGTGCTGTGGGGAGAGGGGGGGATAAACCCAGTCGAGGGACACTTTCTTCCACTGCTGCACCCCAAGAGCTCACTAGTACCCCTACAGAGCTAGGAAGACTTCAGCATACAGATCCTGCCGGGCCTCTGGGTTCCTCCAGCAGACAAGAGGACTGAGGCCAAGTGGGATGGCAGCTTCCCTTCTAGCTGAGGCTGGCTGGGACTGCAACCCTTATAGGACTGATTTCTGTCCCATTCAACATGTGCCACACGCTGCAGATCCCAGGTAAAAGCGCCGAAGTCGGCGGAACTCTCGGCTTGTAACTGCCAGGGAATGAGAAGCATGGGGCAGAACCAGCTGCCCAGCTTCATTCTCCCAGCCTCAGAAAGCCACCTTGCATGGTCTGCCCTTACTTGGCAAGTCCCTGAGTCTGGCCTCCAATGCAAAGTCCTGAGGATCCAGGGAGGTCAGACAGCAAGCTGTCATCCTGCCGGATACACACACCCTGCCCCCGCCCCCCTAGGCCCATACTCACAGGAGACCTGCTTCCACTGCAGGGCAAGCTTGCTCCTCTGCTCTGAGCCACTGCCTGGTGCCAGCATGGTGAAAGCCACACGCTCTGTAGCTCCGGAGAGAGAGAGCCCCTCAGCATGCACTGGCTTGTCAGTCCTGAGAGAGAGAGAGAGAGAGGAGAGGGAGAGGGAGGGAGGGAGATGGGTGGAGCAAGACATTTGGAGCCCCGGTCCAGCCCAGGGGTTAGGGACAAGGCCCAGGTGTCTCTTTACACTCTTCCTCCCCTCTCCTGTTGCTCTCACTGTGATGCTCAGCAGGGAGAGGGCCAAGAGGATCAAGCAAGATCCTCCTGGGGTGTGGGCTGGAACTGCCAGCTGAACCCCAGCTCAGCTCCCTCTCCGCCCCGTCCTTCCCTCACTCCCGTGAGGCCTCTCTGCACTCTGGTGGGCTTTGAAGATGATTTCATGGCACCGTCACTTCCTCCACCCAGCCAGGGTATCACAGGTGGGAAAATCAAGGTCGGTCTCACCCAAGCAAAGAGTGAGGCCCCCAACTCCCACTTGTGCCAGCCCCGTGTCCCCACCCCCAGCTTACCATAGCTGTGGGGAGGCAGAGGCCAGGCCCTTCCCTTCGCCGTGCCTGCTGACAGGTTAGGGTGTGAGTCGCTGCACACACCCCTGCTTTTGACCCCGCTGTCACCTTGAGGTGATTCACAATGCTTGGTCTCCTGCCAGCCAGCCGATCTACAACTATTGCAGTTCGGGGGTTCCTGTTCTTCAGCCGCTGGCCCAGCAGACCTAGAAGAGAGGGTGAAATAGGGCTAGCAGTAGGCCAAACATAGGCACCAGGTCACTCTTCTGGAGGACGAGTGGGCTGCTTGCCCTTTCTAGGCCCTGCCACAATCCATGTCTCCTAAAGGGGCCCCAGACTTCCCCAGTGGTCTGCTGGATGTGATTAGGAGCTACCAGATGGAAAGCCAGAGCCTGCATCTTGACAGCTCCATCAGAGGGGAAGCGAACACTACTGCCAAGACCCCCTAGGATGGGGTCAGATAGGGGAGGCTGTGTTATACCCCGGCTGCCCTTTGTCTGGACCACTCTTCCCAGGATAGCTGCAAGGTTAGCCTTCCTTGGCCGCTGAGTTCACGGCCCCTGTATAGCTTCAGTTGCACCCCTCAGAGTTCTCTTTAGTCCTAGAGCTCCCTGCCAGGGGCAGAGCAGAGCTGATGCTGAGGAGGTGAGTGGGGCTGCCAGATTCTTGGACATTCGATCTAGAAGCCTGAGCAGCCTGGTCCAGGTTTTCCTCAGGTGTTTGGGGAATGATCCCATTGCCTTCTCCCCACCCTAACCCCATCCAGTTGCTGTTTTGTTTGTTGGTTGAACCAAAAGCTGGATGGGAACTTGTTATGTAGATGAGGCTGGCCTCAAAGCACAGAGATCCACCTGCCTGTGCCTCCCAAGTGCCAGGATTAAAGGTGTGCACCGCCATGCCTAGCCCCATTTTCTATTCTCTACCTCCACTCGGGGCCACCTTAGTGATCTTCAGAAAGCCACCAAGGTGGCCTGTGCAGCCGTGCAACCCTCAGATACTCTACTCTGCTCCCAGCAAGGGCGGCTTGCTCAGGAAGCAGGGCTCACCTCCCTACTTCCCAATTAGGAGGCAAGCGCTTGTGAAGAGCCCATCAGAGGTTGCACTCGGTAACTGAGCACGGCTATAAGTCAGCACAGCTGTAGGCTAAGGGCTGTGCGAGGGCCCCAGCACTCCGTGGTTACAGTGGCCTCAGTTCTCCCGGTACTCTCCCGGCTCAGATTCACAGGCGAAGAATCCCTGAGTTCAAACCCATCATGTCCCCTATCCCTTTCCAACACACTGCTTAAACTCTGCCCCCCCTCCCCGCTTTCCAACCCTAAAAGTGATAATTAGATGCCCAGTGGGTGGAAACAGAGTTGCACATGTGAGATACACATCACATAAGGAATACAGGCAAGGTCTCCCACCTGGCCCTGAGCCTGTGATGTGCTTCTTCATCATCAAGAGAGGCCACATGTCACGCTCACCATAGTCTTCTTCAACAGATCTCTGCTCCTCACGTGCAATGCCCAAGCAGACCTGCCACCTCAGGTGGTAGTCTCCCTCTCATCAGGCCCCCCCCAACCCATTACATCTAAAACGGCCGTCATACCACAGGTCACCCGTTAAAGAGCCAGCAGGTTACAGCCACCCAAAGGTCACAGATATGATAGCCAGTTTGCCAAGGTTACGTGGTAACCTTCCGGGTCACAGGCTTCTGAGTCAGGCTGCTTACCCACTTCCTGATGGCTGTCAGCCTGCAGGGGACCCTAGTGGAGAAGTGTGTGTGCGCGCGCGCGCGCGTGCGCGCGCAGAGCTCTCAGACACAACCTTGAAGCACTGTATGCCGCCGACTGAAGTGAACCCGTAGAGAGAGGACATTCAACTAAGCTTAGCACAACACATGCACACACACACACACACACACACACACACACACACACACACACACACCCGTGCAGCCAGGCATGTGCGGAGATACATAGGCACACGCACACACACACCCACGCCCCACACATGCCTCGCTGGCAGCGCTCCAGCCCTTCTTAGATGCTGTCACTTAGACAGCAGAGGGATGCCTCACGGTTCCAGCATGCCCCCAGCAGGGAGGCACAGGGGCACTTCCAGCCTGGAAGGAAGATCCGACTGAGAACCCCACGAGGCAGCCTCAAAGCCAGGCCAGTGCTCTTCCTCAGGCCCAGGGCACCGTGAAGGCCCAGGCTAGCCTCTACTCCCATGTCTGTGCCCTCCCACAGAAGGGGTAGGCTGTGGAGAAGCCTCATTCAGGTTGCCCTCCACCTGAGATTCCAAAAAGGCTCTTTCACCCATTTTGCTCACTCAGTGCCTGTGACACCCAGGGTCCATGAGCAAATAGTGCAGACTGGGGTGTTGTCTGCTGAGGTGGCAGAAAGGACTCCGGTGATGGGGTCCTCTAGGGAAGAGAGGCCAAGGGGTCTAGGAGAAGATACCCCCAGCTCTTTCTAGGTAGCTGACCTGCCTCCTCTGATTGATGTCAGTGCCTTCCTGCTCCTCGGGGGTGGGGGGGAGGGGCACTTTCTGGCCTCTCCAGCCCCGGGTCTGCTCACTCACCTCCCAGCAAAAGACCCTTCTGCCCCTGAATCAGCAAGGATTCCTCGGGAAAGGGGTGACCTACATTGGCAAGCAGAGGACTGGCCAACTGCTGGAATAAATTGACACTCTGTGGGAGTGGGAGACAGAGTAGAGGTGGAGGTCCTTCCGGGAGGAAACTGTGTCCTTGCCGCACCCTCACCCCACACCCCCGTCTTACAGCTCATGGGCACTGGGTTCAAGACCTGCTCCAAAAACTAACCTGTGTTATGTCCTAGCCCCAGACCCAGCAGGGTCCCTGGACTCCTTCGGGCTCCAGGTTAGAGAATGGGGCTGATAAGCTAGGAATGGCCAACCTTGGACTCTCCCAAACCAGAGACATGTGGTTTTGAGTCTGATGGATCAGTAAGATCAGCTAGCCTGGGACCTTTCAGAAACACTGACTCTCAGGTCCCACCCCGGACTGGCTGAGTGAGAATCTGCCATGTAACAAGGTCCTAGGCAACTTTCAGACATATTCAAGACTGAGATATAATGCCAGCACTCTCGGCCACCAAACAGCTACCCAGGAGGCCATTTGGTCCAGCTCTAGGTCAGGCAACTGGGGACAGCATGGGTTGTATATGCTGAGCCGGGAGGAGCTGGGACAGAAAATGGCAGCTATGAAGGAAATATTAATTGGCTTACCCAGAAATCTTAGCTAACCTTGCCTGAGGCAGGGCAAGACAAGGGCACCAACCTGAGGGCCTCCTACAAGCCTTTACACAGGGAGACGTTAACGGCCACCATCAAAGGGCTACAGTGTCATGTCCTCGACAGTTATACAGTTCAGTAAGGTGAGTCACTATCCACATCCTAAGGAGACTGAGGCTTAGACAAATGGAACAATATATATTGGACCTGTTTCCTGGCCACAAAGCTGCCCTATTCCTCAGGTAAAGGCTGAGTCAGAAACAGGGACATACAGCCCACATTCATATAGAACTTTACAGTTTATAAGGCATGTCCTCATCGCAGTCTGAGCAAACAGCCATTCCTATCTCAGTCCTATCTCCTTCTGGGTTGAAAGAAACCCAGAAGACCCCTCCCAGCAGGAAGCTGGAGGCTGTGGTAGGGCAGTTGGGGAGTGGAGGGTTGGAGCAGCCAGCAACTGAGACAGTAGCAGAGTGCAGCCAGGGGCTTCATGTGTTCTTGCTAGCCAATGGCTGCTGTCCCCACCAGAAATGGGGCATGGGAGCAGTTCCCCCTGGAACTCCAGCTGCCCCCTCCTCCAGCTTGGAGCAGCCAGCCAGGCTTGTTCTGCAGAGCATCAAGGCTAGGATGACAGAGTGCACCTGTCCTCCAATTTCTCCCACAGATGTAGGCCTACTCTCTCCATGATGTGGACACACACACACACACACACACACACACACACACACACACACAAAACCACCTCACCCCAGGCCTGGGAGCTACAGGATATTCCTCTAAGCTCCTTCTCAGTTCCCCTCAAGTGAAGTGTTTACAACATGCAGCCAGTGAGTGCCCTCAGCCTCCTGACTCCTGGACCCATTGCTGCACATAAATATCCTCCCAGATTTCTCTCCTGGGTCAAGGCTTCTGCACACACACACACACACACACACACACACACACACACACACACGACTCCATAGAGGGAAAGCAGAGAGGGCATGCGTGGTCTACTCTGCCTGCTTTGTTTTTCAGGGAGGCTCAAGGCTAGCGAGTGGCCTACAGGTCATTCTGTCCCATCTCAGAGGACTTCCAGGGAGTCGGGACATCTGGTCTGAGCAGCCGAAATTCCTTGCAGCCCAGAACACAGGAAACTGAATTGTCCCCTGGGCTGCTGTCACCTGTCTGGGCACGAGGCCCTTGTAGAAAATACCTCCACATCTGCCCCCTGTCAGTCACTCCTGAGCACGCACTGCCCAGTGAAGCAGTTTCTAAACCCCTACCCTCTAAGTCCTCTCAGTATGACGTCCTCACTTCCAGCTTCTTGGACCACATCTCCCCTCGTCAAATCCTCTCTGTCTCTGACAGAAGCCCTAGAAGGCAGAACAGGAAGCCCAACACACACCAGGGTCGTTCTATGAAGCCAGAGGGTCAGTTGGGGACCCAGGAGGCTCCCACCGTTCAAACGATTCCCTAGGCAGGAGCCTAGAAAGATCACCCAGCCTCATCCTGGCTCCCCCTTCTTTCCAGCTTTGCACGAATATACACCCATCCCAGCTCCCTCCTTTGCCACCCACCTGACTAAAGCAAAACCCTGGCTCTGGGTCTGGGCACCTGGAAAATGAGAACAGGGTAAGCTTGTCCTAAGCGCAGACACAGCCTCTAGCCAGACCTCAAAGAGCACAGCTAGGGGGCTTAAGGAGGCCGCCTCTTTGCCTGCCCTGCTGGGTTCCCCCCCCCTCCCCCGGCTCCCTCTTCTGGCAGAGCCAGGGCCCTCCTGCGGTGGGAAGGTGGGGGTGGGAGCGCTGGGCTCTTCTTGGCAGCTTGGAAACTGATGTTGGATTTCCCTACCAGCTGGACTTCCCCCGCCCAGTGCCACATGCTGGCTCCTTCCCCTCCCCCCACCTGCTGTAGTTATCTAAGCTGTGGGCCTGTCAATCTGAGTCACACGAGGCAATGCCCAACAAACCCTGGCAGCCTGGTGCCAACATCCCCACCACCACCCTGGAATGCAGACAGCTGGGGGTGGGAGGCAGAGCAACCAATCAGAGCCCAGCCCCAGACCTGCCGGCCATACAGGAATTTGAACTGCAGATTCCTGGGCAGAATCCAGCATTATGAAATGGGCCTGGGGCTCTCGAAAAACCCAATGTCCTGCTTCAAGTCAGGCATCCGTGCCCACGGGAGCCAGGCAAGCCAGGTGAATGTCACCTGGCTGTCCACTGCCCCTACACTGAATGTCCAGTGCTCCTAAGGCATCTGGCCACCTGCTGCAAAGGCCATTATGCAGAGGCAGGCCACCTAAGCATCTCAGGTTCCTGGCTTGCCTGGCCATCCGGTGTGCTCAAACCAAGGCCTGGGTTTGGAAGGGAGAACCACCAGACACCCCTTCTTCACTCCCAGCCACACCCCCACCGGGGAGTCACCGTCAAGACTGCAAAGACCGTTCCAACTAAAAAGGGCTCCTTTGCACCCTTGTCCAAGGACAGCTACCTGAAGGCCAGTCACTGTTATAAAGGTCCTGCCCTTGCCTTCCTCCGGGGGTCCTCTACTCTCCACCCCGACTCCAAGCCTCTCTGAATGCCAGCCTGTCTCCAGCACCCAAGCTGTCTCCCCCTTCCCTGGCTGCCGCTCCTCCTGCTGCAGGGACGTTTCTATGCTACCCGGGGCCATCATGTGGCACCAGCACTGTTCTCCTCCCTGTCCCCTCCTCCCAGCTATGTCCCCAGCTGAGGGGTCAGAGTTCCTGGTGCTCTGTACCTTTGGATTGCCCGGGTGTCTGGTCCTAAGTGGTTCCCCCACCCCACTACAGCAACAGCCCTGGGAAGAAAGCTCTGCTAATCGTTCAGGGCCAGGTGGTCCCTCTTTCCCATACCCAAGCCACCCTCCTTTGGGACCAACCCCGTCCTCTCACAGAAGCCGCTCACAACTCACCTTTCTTTGCACTGGGACCTGATGCTCAGACCCTGTAGCTGGACATGGGCAGCTTGGCAGGCAGAACGCGGGGATATCGGATCTAGTTCCGGGCACTGGGAGCCTGGGCAGCGCCTGTGAAGGAGGCGGAACCCGCAGGCTGAGCTGCCGCTGCCGGGGAGGGGGCTGCGGGGTCAGCCGCAAACTGAAGCGAAAGAGGGAGGGCGGGAGGAAGACAACCCGAAGACGGGGAGAGGCAAAGGGAGCGAGCGCGCGTGCTCAACAGCGAGCGAGCGAGCGAGCGAGCGGAGGGAGGAGAGCGCGCAGCGCAGCGGCGGAGGGACAGCTGGGGCGCGCGCACCGGCCTCTGAGGCTCTGTGGCAGCAGGAGCCTCAGATGGATGAATCAACACTGCCCCAGACCAGAAGTAACCGCGCCTCCTCACCTTCCAGCGCTCCCTCAAGCCGCCACCTCTGTATGTCCGTTCAGAAGGCAGGGCCTTCCAAGGGGTACAGGACCCAGACCACAGCTCCGCGCGGACTGACTTGGATCTCAGACCTGCTCGAAAGCTGGGTCTGTCAACCTGTTTCAGAGCTCAGCTGTGAGAAGGGAAAGCTGACTCCTTAAAGGGGCTGAGTTCTCCTGCGAGGGGAGCGCTGATGGTCCTCAGAGATGCCAAGGCAACAGAGCGCCCTTTAGACAGGGGGCCGAGTTTCTAGATGTGATCACCCTTGGCCAGGACAGTTTGGGAGAGTGGAGCGTCAGGGCAGGCAGCTGTCACCTGGAGGACCAGGTGTCCAACAAGTACAGAGACCAGGTGCCTCCGTGCCCACAGGGAACCCTGAAGGAGCCACAGCTTCTTGCTGGTCTAAAGGGATGGGTCAGACCCGTGAAGGGAAAAGCTGCATCCAAGCATGCAAAGGCCTGTCTCCGAATCAAGACAAAGCAAGCCTAAGGAATTGATGTTTACGGGATGGACAGTGTTCCATCTGAGGCTAAACTGAGCCAGAGGCTCAGCCTGAAGAGAGACGGCCTTGACGTCCTGCCTGTCCAGCGAACAGTCTAGCTTGTAGGCAACCCAGCAGGAGTGTGTGTCCCAGTGTCCTTCTTCTGTGTTACATTAGGGCTGGGGCCAAGGGCTGAGGGGTCCTTGATTCGGGACTGCTATCCAACAGTGCTAAGAGAGAGTCCCCGTCTACTGTGAAGTCCCTTGTGCCTGCCCTTCCAACAAGGCAACCTGCCACTCCCACCTCCTGTCAGGAGCCTGGTGATCTCTGCCCACAGCCATCTACCCCGGCCTTAAAATCTCAGCTCCAGGCTAGAGGTCATTCCGCTAGGAGGTGACGGCCCTTGCCATCAAGCCTCATGGCCTGAGGTCAAACCCCAGAACCCACGTGGTAGAAGGAGATAACAGACTCCCGAAGGTTATCCTTGGGATGCACACATACAAATACACAAATAAATAAAATTAACACCAACATTCCCTCTGCAGGGACCTTTTCTTTGGCTACTTTATGGTTCTGATCACAGAGACATCTGGGTGGCTGCTTTTTGTCATGTACTGTGAGCTGTTGGGGATAACTCACCTTGCCCTCTCCCTACCCCACCCCAGCTCTAGGCCCTCCTGTTGGTTAAGTCTACACCTTTGCCTCTCAAGTAGTTCTAAGCTTAGTGGCTGGTAACCCCCAGCCTTGCTAAGTTCTTGCCTTAAAGAACAAGCGCTGGGTTGCCTCCAGCCTGGAATCCTGTGAAGCTGGTTCTTGCTAAGTACCTGCCAGGTCCACAGCTAACAGCTGCAGAAGTCAGGCAAGGCACCCTCCCACACAGTCTCTTTCAGCTAGTCACAAGGCCAAGAAGGATCAACACAGGTGCAGGAGCCGGCAGGGAGAAGTTGGTGCTCCAGAGGGGGGGGGGGGAGAGAGAGAGAGAGAGAGAGAGAGAGAGAGAGAGAGAGCTTGGTTTTGCCATTCCTGATGATAAAGCAACACCACAGAGGTGAGGATGCTACATCCCATGGAGGCTCCAGCTGCCTGTGGTCTTGCTGAGGCGTTCTCTGAGGCTATGAGCCCGGCTGAGAGGATATTAAAGAACTGGGGTCTTAGAGGAAGACACAAGGTCCTTGTGGAGGGATAGCAGGGTGGGAAAGAACGAGACAGCCTGGGGCAGGAAGGACAGAGGAAGGACCCAGGTAAGCTATGGCACGTGGAAAGGTATCTGAGATTTAACCTTCATCTATGGCAGGTCCCTCACAAACCAAGGCCAAGGCCTAAGATGGGGACCAAAATGACCCAACGGCCATTAACTACCCCAGGGAAGCCACTCAGCAAGGTTTCCTGCCCGTGCCGCTTTGCATGTTTCTCCTCATCAAAAATTCTGGGCAGATGCAGCTGCACAACAGGTAGCTCAGGAGGAGACTCAGGGAGATTGTCATTCCAGGCACTAGGTGAATCTGCCAAGAACCTCGAGTCCCTAGAGTCCACCACCGAGGCAGATCAGGGATACTGGGCCTGAAGGCTGAGCTCTGTTGAATGTGCTGTGACAGGGCTACCGCCTGGGAGTATGAGCTGCTGACAGGGCAGATCTGTGACTGAAGATGCCCTGTGCCCCTTGCTGTCTCTCCACTTCTGGATCAGCAGCAGAACCTTCCTACCAGAAAGAAGGTCTGCTTTGCTGCTCACTTAAATCTCTCATTTCCCAGTGGATTACTAAGGAGCTTGGGGCACACAGATAAATCTCTAAGGTGGCAGGTCAGTGTGAGTGATGAAGTCGGCCTCCATAAAGGAGGAGGAGTCTGGGAAGGTCTGAACCTCAGCAGTCGGGGAAATGAGATCACCATGAACTTGCCTCCCAGTCAAGTGCTGACATTTATGTACTTAGCCCAGGAAACATTTGTTGAACCCTGTTATGTGCCAGCGTGACTGTAGACCTAAGAATCAGAGCTGATTCTGCTTGCCCTCTATAACCCAGACCCATGTGGTGAGGCATCAACCGGATAAACCAATTGTGTCACTTCGAAAATAAAGCAGCAAAGAGGAAAATGAGAGAGCAAATGACGGGGGGGGGGGGGAAGGGGGGGGGGGGGGGGAAAGGGGGAAAGGGGGGGGGGCAAATGGACGAGGGAGGGGAGAGGAGAGGGAAAGTGAGGGAAAAGAGGAGAGGGAAGAAGGGGGAGGAAGAGAGGGGGAAGAGAGGGAGAGGGAAGGAGGAAAGGGGGAGAGAGAGAGAGAAAAGGGAGAGAGGAAGAGAGGGAAGGAGGGAAAGAGGGGGAGACACAGGGGGAGAAAGGGAAGGAAATAGGGAGAGAAAGAGCAAACGATGGTGGAGAAGATTGCTTTATCTGTGGAGGCCAAGAAAATCTCTGCCAGGTTGTGAGGTTTAAGATGATTTTATAGAGTTGAGATCTGATTATATCAACCAGCCATGTAGAGATCTAGGGTAAGAGCATTCCAGAAAGAGAATGTCCTGATGCAATGTCCTGGAGTAGAATAAGCTGACCATGTCTGAGAAACACAACAAATCAGGCTGAAACCAAAGACACCAACAAGGCTGCCTCATGGGGTTTTCGGGGATCTAAATTTTGCTCTAAATGGAAATGTGGAATGAGGTCAAGCAAAGAAATGATGGGGTTTGACCTTCTGATCACTGTGGTCACATGGATCACAGAAAGGCCAGAGTGGGAAGCTGGGACCCCAAAGGCATATTGCAAGAGAATGTTGGCTTGGTTGCAGCCGTCACAGCAGAAATGAGCAGAGTGAATATTCATTTCTATATGTAATCCTGGAAGCAAGGTCTCCGGAACCAGGTGAACCAAGAGAAACGACAGCCATGGGAAAGAGTGAGCCTTGAAAGGCAGACAACGCAAGGAGACCAGACCCCAGGTCGAGAGTGGGGTCGGCTCTGAACATGAGAAAATGCTTGTGGTTGCTCACAGGGACATAGGGGCTGAGGAGGCTACCGGAATATACCAAATTCTGCAATGGAGAGACAGCCGGCCTCGTAGGATCTGGAGGTGGAACCGCTGGTCTGCCCTCCTAACCCACGTTTCTACCCAAGGAGCCCTGAAGCCTGGCTATCACTGCAGCAGAACCAAACCCTACTTTCTCCAGACCTCACATATTAGAGATGAAGCCTTCTCCAGCTTGGAAGCTGCTGGGACCCTTTGACCACTGGAGCCAAGGATGAAGTCAATAAACTTGTCCCTTCCCTCCCAAGGGGTTGACTGTGGTCAGCATCAGTACCACGGCCCCTGCTAGCGCCTAGAAGCAGGCCCAGCCTTGTTTCTGCAGGTGAAGGAAATCTGTGTGCCGTGAGCAGCTAAAGCAATCCTCAGTGAGAAAGGGCAAAAGGGGGGCCCATGCACCCTCAAAGAAAAAGGTGAGAGGGGAGGCCCACCACCCTTGCTGGGACAGAGCTTTCCCGCTCGGGATGGTGTGCGGTGTCTGTGTTTTTCATGGCTCTGCCTGCCCTCCCCCCACCTCCTCCTTTAAGCCACTTGGACCTTCAAGCCCAGCTGTCCCTTTCACAGACATTTTCCAGACCGACCTCAGAAGTCCTGAGACGGTGAGGAAAACCGTGAGGGAGAGGAGGGGCCTTCTGAGGCCTCGGTTTTTCTCAACTGCAAACTGTATGGCTGTACTGTCCAACGTGGGAGTTACCCCATATTTACATTAAGATGAAATAATATTAACAATTCAGGCCCTCAGTCTCACAAACCACAGGTGGAGTTTCGAGCAGTCATGGGTAATTGGGGTCTACAGTTCGAGACAGGACAGGTGTGGGACATCTCCATCATCCTGTAAAACCCATCTACATGGGGAGGCTTGTGGGTCAGGGGCTACTCGGACCTGTTGTCATAAGATATGCAGGTTCGTAGCGTGCCTGGGTGAGACACTCTGGAGACACTGTTAGTTGCCCTCCAGGATGTTCTGGCCTAGAATCCAGCCCTTGCACCTTCTGTTCCCTTAGCCTCAACAGTGGCGGTGGTACAGGCTTGTAATCACAGCTACTCAAGAGGCTGAGACAGACACATCACAAGTTCAAGGCTAGTCCAGGCAACATAGCAAAACCCTGTTCAAAATGAAAAACAGCCAGGCATGGTGGGGGAGCACGCCTGTAATCCCAGCACTCGGGGAGGCAGAGGCAGGTGGATCTCTGTGAGTTCGAGGCCAGCCTGGTCTTCCAAGGGAGTCCAGTACAGCCAAGGCAACACAGAGAAACGGAATCTTGAAAAACAACAACAACAACAAAAAATTACAATAAAATAAAAACTAAAAAACATAAAAAGTCTGGGGATGCAGCTTAGCAGCAATGACAATCTTGACTTATTACCAGAACCGGATTGTGGCATTGGAAAAGCCAGTACTATAGCCGCTCTGGCTGGAACCCGTCGGACAGGACTATTCCCTAATTTCCTTCCCATTAAACCTCCCAGGCTCGTACCAGGCTGGATTCACATCTGTAAGAAAAGATGCAGATCTATCCTCTTGTGCCATCCTGGGACACAAGCACATAGTGGAAGAGTCACCAGACACTGGAATCAGAACAGGGCGTCGAGTGACTTTCGAATTTCTTAGGCAGGTGGCATAATGACGGAGAAGCCAATCGTGTGCTCAGTGTGCATGAGAGGGCTGCCCACGCGCTCCAGGCCGTTTTGGCTGCCAGGCCTCCCACCCAGATACAGAGGGAAGAACTCAGAGCTACGCCTTACGGGCTCAGGGCCCCGGACCGCAGCTAGGCTTGCTATCTCCTGGCTGGCAACTTAGCCGAGGCATGGAACCTCTACACAGCTTCCGTTCTCTCTCAGCCCGTGGAGTCTAAATGAGGCTAGTGCCAGTCTGTGAAGAATTAGACACCCTCATGCCTGCAAAGCTGCCTGACTCACCCAAAGCACCCAGAATGCCTTTAATATTATTCCAGACGCTAAGAAGTTGGCCTACTTCGGAGACTCTCTATTCAGCATAGCCTGCCTTTTCTTTCTGTTCTTTGGCCCCAAGTTCTCCTGTCGCTCTTTGTCCCAGATTTCTCCTAGGATGTGAGTGCCCCCTTGGGTTCTCCAGACCTATTTGGGAATCAAAGAGGCAGATGGCTCTTGTGATGGGAGGCATCAGAAGGGAAGCATCTGGGCGCTGATGGCACTCCTGGTCCCCAGGAAATAGCCTTGCAAATGGGTGGTCTGTGACTCGGCCTTCGGCAGCTCAGCTTTCTTCCCCGTGCGCCTAACGGGGACCGCGTTTACCAAGGATGCTACACCAGGACTGACGGGGACCATGTTTACCAAGGATGCTACACCAGGACTGAGACCCATGACGCCTGTGAGTTGCTAGATTCACAGAGGCCTTCATTCCAGACTCAATTTGCTACTTGTGGTTCCATGATCTTACACAAGCTGTGCTCTCCCCAGACTCTTTTTTTCACCTGTGTCAAGGGGAGAAGAGCCACACAGCAAGTGTGCCTTGTCCTCCCAGGGACCCAAGAGGAAGCCATCCTTACGGTTGTCTGGCCTTAGAGCCTTACCTTTCTCGGGCATCTCTTGGCACAGCCTTTCCCAACAGGGAGGCTCCACTGGCCTGGATTTTCTCTCCCACTAGACTCCTTCTCCCAAAGGCCCTAGATTCTCCTTGCCAATGACTCAGCCAGTGTTCCCCCCTGCCCTTCTGCCTCTTCCCTCAGCCCCGCTGAGAATCTTCCTCTCTTTAAGTGGATTCTGTTATTTTCTTTTCTCTGTCTGCTCCTTCCCCAAACAAACATCCATCTGGCCTGGCCCTCCTCCTTCCTGGTCCCGGCAGCCGTGGGCATCCAGATGCAAGCAGATTACCTCCAGAGTCAGTTCTGGGCAGCCATGCAACAGGTAGGTGCTTGGGGACTCAGAAGAGGGTGGGGGACTCAACAAGCCATCCATAGGGACGGACTGTCCCCACAGCCTGGCCCGTCAGTCCCACAGGAGACACCCTATTTTATTTCAACCTTCTCTGACCTTTCCTGAACCCTGCATATTGTCTCTCTCTTCCCCACCCCCCACCAACTCCAGTGTCCTGTCCTTGATTAGACCCAATGCAGAGGGTAGAACAGGAACTATTGCTGTTGCTCCCGAACCACCCTAGCCTTCCCTGCCACTGAGGAAGGTAGCAGTTCAATCCGCCTCTCCCTCCAAGACCAAGGCCCTGTCTGCTATCCAGGCTCCTGAGAACTTTCCCTGGCCCTGTCATCTGTACACACACACCAGGAACTGTCACTGCCATGCAGGTGGCCCATGTTTGTCCTCGGAAGAGCACAGCCTGCTGCTCAGTACCCGGTCTGCTGCGACACGCCCACATGTATACACACGCCTGGCACATGGAGCGTGCCCTCATGTACCGACTGCATCTCCCACAGGCAGATCCTCCACGCACAACAGGCACTCCACAAATGGACCACACGGTGTACATACACAATCACACCTGCCACGGACAGACCACCCACATATAAGACACAGCCCACAGGCATCCACACACAACACACGCTTCAGATCCATGGCACACCGCACGTGTACTGATACACGCCTGCACATAGAACCATACATAGCTACCACATGTATACCACACGTAAAATGTGTTCAAATACTCCGCATACACAGCACACATAAACCGACCTGTATCACATGTGCATTGTGTAGATACATGTATACATACACACATCCACACATACCTCATACTTGACGCCACATATGGGCACACACATACTCGAGTGTGCTTGCGCCCCGTTCACAGCGTCTCCTCTTCCTTCCAGTGCAGCACTCTAGAGGGGCCATGCCCGAAAAGCTGCGAGGACGCCGTAAGTTCCCCCCCCCCCCGAGAGCTCAGAGTCCTGTGTCTCTCTCTGGACTGTTTCTCCCCCAAACGCCTCCTTCCTGCCCCCGACTGCAGGGTGCAGCCCTCCTCAGCTGCTAAAGTGAGCAGGAAGGCTGGAGCCAGCAACGGCCCTGGCTATGACCTCCTGTCCTGGCCTCCCCCACAGGATCTGGACTGCTTCGTCGTAGACAACAATGGCTTCATTCTGATCTCAGAGAGACCCCAAGAGGTAAGGGACGAAGGAGCCACTCAAAAAGAACACTGCTCAGAGAGGACAGGGCTGGGCTGCCTCTGTGTGGCCTGGCCCCCTCCCCCTCACAACCAGGAGGGACTTTTGAGCCTGAAGTATTCCTCCTGCCTGCATCTTGCCCTCCTCTATCCATCCCCTCATCCCTTTCTACCACCGAGGTAGCCAGAGGGACTTTCCCCACCTCTGTGTTCCTCTTTGGCTATTTCACTCTAGCCAGCGAGCCAGGGCACCCGTAGGCTAACAAGGACATGGGAGCCATTCTTGCCTCACACAGTAGCCTGCCTCTTCTCCAGCCACCCACTCAGACAGGAGAGGAAGCCACGATGGGAATTTTATATCTGCTCAGCCACAAATCAGACCCTAAAATTAGCCAGGAATTATACTTTAAAAGAAGCCTGTTCAGCCACGGACTAAACCTGAACATATCCACCTGAGCCAGCTCCTTGACCCAAGCCTGAAGTTCTGTGTAATTTCTGAGAGGAACTTCCAGAAGGCATGTGTTCAGGTCAGCTATCAGCTTCCAAGATCTGTTGTGCCTCAGTTTCCTCCCCCTTGAAAGCCAGCGGCTGGACCACCTTATGTAAGGGTTCAACCCCAAGCTGGATCAGCAGAGTTGCCCGGATCTGAGCTGACACCGACCAGGGTCATAGCTGAGGAGTCTCTGTCACTCCAAAGCCATACTGTCGCCTTAGGCACGTGAGGCTGAGGGTCCATGGAAATTGTCAGAACATGACAGGGAGTTGAGCTATAGCACCAGGAGTCTGGGCACAGATGGAAGCCCGAGAGAAAGCACTATGGAGCTGGCTCCCCGGGGACAGTTCTCTTTTGTTTTGGTTTGGTTTTGGCTTTTTGTTTGTTTGGTTTTTGTTTTCTGGTTTTTTTGAGACAGGGTTTCTCTGTGTACCCTTGGCTGTCCTAGAATTCACTCTGTAGCCCAAGCTGGCCTCGAACTCAGAGATCTGCCTGCCTCTGCCTCCTGAGTGCTTGGATTAAAGGTGTGCATCATCACTAGTCAGGCACGACAGTTCTTAAATAACATGAAGCAAGAGCTGAGATGAGAAAGCTGCTTTTGCTGTTTCCTCCAACTGGAAAGGCCTGGTTGTCAATCAGGACACTGCCAGAACTCTGGCCAATCACTATTCCTGGTGCCTGGATAATGGTTTTGCCTCTTTCCTTTTCCTGTCCCCCCTCCCCCTTTATAGGCCATTGTGTCAGAAAACAAAAGTTGACTCTGGCTGAAGAAGCCTAAGGACTGCAGAGTGTCTCAGTCACTCATACCCTAGTCCCACTGCCGTATGACCCATGACTGTGGGTCCTGGTCTCTTGTCAAGTGGCTCAAGGGTCTGAAGTCTGCCCGGAGCCTGAGGAGTAGCAGAGGGAGTCGGGTGGCTTGGTCAGGCAAGGTAAGATTACAGCCAGGTCCAAGAGTGTACCAGAGTGGGGCCTATGGAGGGGCAGAGAGCTTTCAGGGGCATCAGCCTTGTTAGTCAGTGGTCTCTGATGGCAACTGAACAAGAGCTGAGACAGGACGCATGGGTGAGCAGGCACCATTTCAACAGGATCTGCTATGGATACTGAAACATCTCATGTAATGTTCATGAGCTTGAAATATTAATGGCCTTTTGATTTTCCCCCCTAACCATTTGAAAACAAAAAGACCATTCTTTGAGCAAGAACCCACGTGAGCCCCCAATAGGCCAGATGGAGCGCACAGCTTTACCTTATCAGTCTTTGCTCCCCAGCCCAGATCACCTGAGACAGGCAGCAAAGGTAGGATCATGTCAGTGAGGCAGAGCCCAGGGCCCTTGAATGACACATTGGGTTGCTTTGCCCCCATTCTAGCTCATGAATTGTAATCCCAGGACATGGCAGAATCAGTCGGTTTGTTCTGAGACTTATATCTGATGCGACATACATTTTCATTCTCTATTTTAAGTAGTTAGCTTATGTGCCTTCATTTTTCTCGAGTGCTGTATTATCTTATGTTTTGCATAGGCTTACGAGCTATTCCGAATCCTTTATGAAATTAAGCAGAGTATAAATGAAACTAGCTTCTGGAGGCTTCTGCCAGTTCCAAGACACATACACACACACACACACACCCAAACCCCTGCAATGAACAACCATGACCAGAGCCTGTGTGATGCTCTGGGGTAGAGCATGTCTTGTTGTCTGTGATAGTTAGTGGCCTCAGACCAGCTTTGTCTGGGGCACATGTCGAGGGTACAAGTTCCTATCCCCTGGTGGCCATCCTGAGTCCTTCAATACCCTTGTCCAGGTTGCTCTATCACTACTCAAAAGCGTTCTTATGCACTTGGCTGGGTTTCATAGAATTACAGCCAACCATGCAGGTCTCTGGAAGCCAAGGATAAGGAGCACTGACCCCTGGGTTAGCTCTAGGATTCATGTCAAGACCGGAGCTGCAGCTCCTTGACAGGGCTCAGTATCTCTTTCCTCATCTGGACAAGCTACAAGCATCGGTGAATATTCGATGGGCAGCCACACAACAAGCAAGCTAGCCCCGCATTGGGGCAACTATCCCACAGGCAGGGATTGACTCCCAACTAAATCCTTTCCTGCCTAAGCCAGCCACTGGATTCCAGGCTCCAGGGCAAATCTCATAGGACCTTGACTCCATCCCAAACTCACACCAAATGAAACACAGGCAACCCTAGGCCTTTGGATCTTCCAGAGCTCCGCCAGCAGGTGGGCTGTGCTATACCTGGGTAATCTCTGGTGGAGGCTGCCTTGAAAGGCCCCCCCACCGCCAGCACTTTCCCTGGTATAGCCACGTGTTAAAAATCTAGGTCCTGCAGTGAGAAGGGACGCAAAATCCACATTGGAACCTTCCCTTTGTAGGTCCAGAATTTCTATGTGAAGCACTACTTCATTTGGATAAAGGAGAACAGGAACTGTATCCATTAGGAAAGTTGTCTCTGTTGCTTCGGCTTAAGCAAATCACAGGTTATTTCATAGATCAAATCAGCCTAGGCCTAGCATGGCTTTCTGAAGGCCCCAGATATCCCCAGATATCTAGATATCTATCCCAAACAGGAGGGCAACAGTGGCGTTCAGGTGCCCCCTAAAACAGTCCTCTCACTTTAAGTAGATTCCCAGAAGTCCTCATCTGGGCTTTGCACCATTTCATTGGCCAGCCCTCGGTACATGGGTTTCTGGGAAGTGTAGTCTTTTTGTGGACCACATTGCCACCACTGTTGCGGTCAAGCTCCCTTAATAAGGGAAAGTGGATATTTTCTGCTGAAATGTTCCATGTTCCAAGGGCATGGCGTTTTGTTTGCAAAGGCAGAAGTATTTTCCAGTGTCCAGTGTTTTGTTTTTCGAGTCAGGGTTTCTCTGTGTATCCTTGGCTGTCCTGGACTCACTTTGTAGACGAGGCTGGCCTCACACTTACAGCGATCTGCCTGCCCCTGACTGCCTGAGTGCTGGCCTTCCCTGGGAAGCAGGGTGCTTCCCTGTCTTAAAGAATGTTCAGTTTCAGGTTACACACACACCTTCAGTGAACAACCATGAATGAGCAGGGCCTGCGTGGGGTTGGGGGGTAAAGACACATCTCTGCATGGATCTTGGTATCCGGTCATGGAAGAGAAACACATCCAGCCGCTGGATAAGCAGAGAGCTGAGCAGAATCATCCAAGCTGCAGGGCCCATGAGAACTCCAGGCACCTTGGAGGATGCTGGCAATAGTTGCACAAGCCCCCTGACCCTGACTGATGACATCACGAAGAGAGGAATGATGTGTGTGTGTGTGTGTGTGTGTGTGTGTGTGTGTGTGTGCGCGCGCGCGCGCAAGCTCGAGCGCGCGCACGCACACACACACGTATGCGCACTCGTGTGTTATTTCCGGGGTGGGATGGTGAATGACACTTTCCAAAACCCAACCTGTCTGATATTATTTTGGCAACAAACCCAGGGGCAGGGAAAGTGATAAGTAGAGAAAGCAGAGAGGCCCAAAGTGAGCCAGAGCCAAGAGGTGAAAGACAAGTATATGCAGATACATATATAGAAAGACAATATATACGTGTGTATGTATATATATATATATATATATATATATATATATATATAATGATACACATGTATATAATCGATGCAGAGGAGGGAGAGGGCATGGAAGGCAATGCCAGGCCTCCCACCCTCCTTGGCTGAAGAGGCCAGTGTGACTGAAGCCCACAGCAGAGCTTTGCCAAAAAACTATCTTCAACATCACACTGCCACTACTGTTCACAACCACCATTACCGCCGCCGCCGCCATCGCTGTCACCATCATCACCCTCGCCACCCCGAGACACCCAACAAAAAAAAAAAAGCACATTCGACAAATGGCGGCCCACGGAACGCATCTCCTTGCAAGTCCCGACTCTCGGGGATCGTTCGAAGGACCTCTGTACCAATTTTTGAGCCCCCTCTGGGCTGATTTCCCAGGCGGCGGCTGCTATCGGATAGCAGCATGATTTAGAAAGCGTCGCGACGGGCAGTTGGGGGTGGGGGATGGGGCTACGGGGAAGAAGAGCGTCTACGGGGACAGCCTGGTGGTAGCTCTAGCCCCCACCCCCACCCCCCACAGATGGGAAGACTTCTGGGGGAAGTGGATGGCGCTCTCATGACGCAGCTCCTCAGCATGGGGGTGTTCAGCCGGTAAGTGGAATGCGCCTCTCCCTGGTTCTCAGCCCTCAGTCTGACCTCAGGAGGCCCCAAAGATGCCTTCAGAAAGAGACCAGAGACCAAAGTCAATCTAGGGATGGGTGTGAGGATGGGTGTGAGGATGTCTCTCCCCCAGAGAGACTCTCCAGCCTCCGCTCTGTGCTCTGAGGGAAACCGCAGGCCCAAACAGCAGGCATGCTATCTGTGCTCATGAAGCCATCCAGGCATGGCGGCGGGGCAGGGGGGACTTCTGGCTCACTGCTCTAACTTGGACCCCAGTCAGCACAAGCTCTGCCACCAAGGCCCCCAGGTCAGGGCATGGAGTGGTCTTGGCTTCGACGTGGCTTGCTTCTGCCTTTCAGTGTGACCATGTATGACTACCAGGCCATGTGCAAGCCTCCAGATCATCACCACAGTGCAGCCCAGCCCCTGATCAGTGTGAGTGTCACCCCAGGCCTTCCCTCTACCGGGGCACACCCTCCGCCCTGTACTTCAGGGTGTCACCTGGTCCCTGTTCTCATCCAGCCTCAGACCTTCCGGCTCAGGCTACTCAAGACTCTGTCCTGATGTTCACCCCTTCCCCTGGGGCTGTGGGGCTGTCTTGTCCTGGTGGGTGGGACTGTGTGATAGTGGGGTCCAGGCCCTCAGAGCACGTCCTCCACCTCCCAGCCTGACGTTAAGATCTTCAGGGGTCCTCAGCACGGGCCCACCAGAGATGGGGAAATAACCAGACACCTGAAGGGCTTGTCAAATCCTACTGTGGGGTGTCTGACCTGCAGAAGGAGGACTCTGCCCTGGTGAGGGGCAGAGACCCGACGGGCAGGTCGGGTCTGGAGGGTGGCTGTTACGGGGCATCCCCTGGTAATAGCTTTGCTCTCCTCCAGCCTCTCTCTGCCTTCTGGATGGTGGCCAGATGGCTACTGCATGAGTTTCTGCTGTGAGTAGGGGTGAGGTGAAGAACCACCCACACCGGGAGGATTGGGGGTGGGGTCAGGGGAAAGGAGGGCTCCCTGTACCTGGAAACTGGATCATGAGGCTTGGCTCAAAGGGGAGGTCTCCCTGTAGGTAGGGCAGGAATCTTGGGGTTTGGGGGGAGGGGGAGGTCCCATGTGAAGAGACTCCCCTTTGGGGAAGGATCCAGTCATGGTTAGGGATGACAGGCATAAGGATGAGAGGATGCCCTTGCAAATGGAGACCGGAGCATAAGGCTATCTTCAAAAAGGGGCAGCTATGGCCCGCAGGGCAGCCTAGCTCCCTAGCCAAGGGAGGAGGGAGGCATGCGAGTCCACCGCACACCCTCCTTCACTCACGCCCTCAAGCAGAAAGACAGGTTCCTGCAGGGGGGGCAGCTAGATGCAGTGGCACCCCAAGAGCCACCCAGGCCAGCCCCCAAGACCGGGTCCTGTATCCCTCAGGTTCCTGCTAGAGTGGAGCGCTTGGGGATCTTGGGACGACAAAGGGTCAGAGGGTAAGTGCCAGGAGGCAGGCGTGTGCAGCGCTTTGGCCAGCTCATCCGAAAGCTTTGGGGAGGGGTTGGGTGACAGCGAGGTGGGTGCCAAAGCCTTCATGCTCATAATCTCATCTCATCGCCTTCCCCTCCCCTCACTCCTCACCTCTGTGCGTGACGTCACATCACCTCCGCTCCACCTTCGATCCATGTGACATCATCACTGTCCCATGACATCTTGTCCTCGTGTGGTACTGTGCCATGTCCAACCCTGTGGTGGGCTCATATCCCGGCCAGCCAAAGCTGTCTTCCATTACTGTAAGTAGCTCGGCCTGAGAGGTCCTACCTTACCCCATCCATCCCCACCACCGAGCAGCAGGGAGCTGGATGGGTTTGCCTTTAAGCCTGTACTCTGGGAGTACAGAGTTTCTCTACCCTAGGATGCTCCTTATTGGGGGGGGAGGGGTCCCCAAGCCCATAATGGTGCTTAAACTTTAAAGCACCATTTCTGGGAAGCAGGGAAACCTGGACCACAGCCTGCCTTGGGGAACAGCCATCTCCTCTTGAGAGGTTCTAATAATTAAAGGGAGGTGTGTCTGCTCAGGCAGTTGAGATGTCACCAGGTCACCCCAGAGAAGAAAGCAGTGGCACCCGTACCCAGGCAGCTGCCAGCCTCAGCGAGGCTCCGGGCTTGAGGGCGTGTCCTCTGTTGACACATCCTTGCATGAAACTGTGCCTGTGGGCACAGTGCCCCCAAAAGACACTGACGCATTGAGGCGGACCCCACACAGAGCAAAGAAAAGCTTTGTCCCAGCTGCTGTTGACACCTGCCGCCAGCCTAGGAAAGGGAGGACACCTGTTCTCTATGAACCAAGACACACATGGCACTCGGGTTCCTCCACCCCTGTTCAACTTTCTCTGTGTTCTGGGCTCCCAAGGGGCCAGAAGGCTCCCACTGCCTTCTTGTTTGGCTTCCTCATAAACAACACCCCCTCCTTCCCCTCTGCCTCTCTAGCTGCTAACCAGGGCAGGTCCTTGGGCTTGTAGTTCCTGTGGTTGGGCCCCTTCATGATTCCAGGCTGTGGTGGGAAGTGTCTCTCTGTCTCTCTGTCTCTCTGTCTCTCTGTCTCTCTCTCTCTCACACACACACACACACACACACACACACACACACACATACCAGCAGCGCACCGGCGCTTTTCCGGCCCTCGGGCACTGTTTAGCCTGCAGCCTGCCTCTCCTCTTAGTTTCACGGCCTGCGAGGGAAGCGTCTATGTCCAGGCATTGAGGAGGCCCGGGACTCTGCCCCTCACTTGCATGGCGTGACCTTGTGAAAGCCATGTCATGTCCGCACCTCCACTCCCAGGTGTTTGGAATGGCGGCTGCTGTCTTCCTTCCCTGCCTCCCTCCCCGCTGCGCTGTTGATGCCCCGGGACAGCGGCGTGACACGGCGCTCACGGGCGCTCTGCAGATAAATCTCAGGAGCTCTGGGAAGGGTGACAGGGCCGCCTCAGACCCCACTGTGCCTCCTGCTGAGTGCTGGTCACCGTCTCCAAGCCCTGGTAGCAAACTAAAGGGCGCCACGCTTGTAGACGGGCTTCCTAAGGCCTTTGCGACGTGTGACAGCCCTCCTCTCATGCTCCTCTCCTGCAGCCCACAAGCATAAGAAACAGGACCTGCTGCACCCCTGTGACACAGAGTACCCAGTGTTTGTACACCAGACCGCCATTCAGGAGGCCAACGGGATCATCGAGTGTGGGGCCTGCCAGAAGTAAGTCCCCAGGAAGCCAGGAAGCCCAGCCAGGGTGAAGGTCTCCACGCTAGGAAAAGGGGTGTCACCTCAGAGAAGAGTCACTCTCCTCACTTCCCTGCTCTCCAGTACAGCAAACACCCAGGCTCAGGCAAAAAGAGGGGCATGCGGGTGGACAGTTTGGTGGTCCGCTTTAGGAGACACAGGGACAAGGGGTCCAGAGGCCAATTCCTGAGTCTCTCCGAGTCCAAGGCCACCACGCCTCTCTCAAAAACCCTACAGGCTTGCTTCCCTTCTGCTGCAGCCAGACCAGCCACAGCAAGCTAGTGTCAGGGCCTTGCAGGCTTACACCGCAGGTCAGAAAAGAAGCAAGAAGTTCTGCCCTGTACAAACTGGCAGGGCAGTTCTCAGCAAATGCACAAGGTAGATTGGTGGGGCCTTGGTCCTATGCTCCTAGAACTGCCAGATTGGGGCATCGCCAGCCCAAGCCTAGAGTTTTTAGGCAGGACCCAGTCAAGCGAGCTCCTGGGGAGAAGCCCCTAGCTCCATCCAGACTTGGCCCGGAAGACCAAGCCTGCTGACTTCCCACCCTAAACCTTGGAGGAACCAACCAGGACACTTCTGTCCCAACGCAGGAGGACAGTACCTCCAGGGAACTCCCTCAGCCAGTCTTGCTGCTCAGTGGGGCCACCAGGATGTCTGGGGAACCCGAGGCTTACGCCAACTCTTTTGTAACCTCAGATTCTGACCTCAGACAGATGTAGATTTCCATCTCTTCATCACGTGTCACAGCTTAAGCGCACACACAGCAGGCTTCCTAGGACTAGCACTAGTGGCTTGCTTAGCTCAAGAACTGAAAAAAACAAAAAAAAAAAAAATCATCACGGCACGGTAGAGAGTAAGGGCTTCCCAGCAGACAGACTCGACTCTGGTTCTGCTCCTTTCCACCTCTAGCATAACCTTAGGCAAGCTTATCTCCGCTAGCCTGTTTGGTCCTGTGCAGAATGGGAACTATACCAAGTTCACATAACGGTGTAACGGCCACACGTGAGTTCATATGTGTGCTATCTACCTGTGCGTGTGCCTACAAAAGTGCTTGGTGACTGCCTTCACCGCTGTGTATGTAAAACACCTGCCTGCCCAGTGCATTAAAGGCCTTTCCTTCCACCCCAAGCTGTGTATAGGAGCATTGTGCCACCTTGTGGCCAAGACCAGAACTGCAAGTTCTCTGGCTCTCAAGCAGGGACCCCTTGTTTGCTGGGAATGGTGCCTGTTAATGACAGCTCCTTCTTCACCTTCACCGGACTTTTGGGAATAGAGGGTTGTGAAAACGTCCGTAAAAGTACTGGGCTATTGGCCCCAATGTGCCTGGGCCTGCATATCCTTCCCCAGGCCCCAGAAGGTGGCTGCATTCCTACTATCCAGCACCCATCACCCTCTCTGCCACAGGACATTTGTGATGCAACAGATTCCCAGCAGCAACCTGCTCCTGCTAGTGACAGACAGTACCTGTGACTGCAGTGCCTACTCTCCTATCCTCCAGGAGGCCACAGAAGTCAAATATATCCTTCCCACCGTCCACGGGGGAGGGGAGGAGGTCGTGGAAAAGCTCAGATTTGGGGTGCCGAGTCGAGCCTTTCACCATCCTCCCTTGCTTACGGCACTCTGATTTGTGGGCCAGCCCCAGAGGGTGGTGGGGGTGGGGAGGAGCTACCCATCCTGAACTGTGGAGCGGTGTACCTTGACAGTGAGCTCTGCACATAACGCCTCGGTCAAGTGTGACAGGATGCGCTCCCAGAAGCCCCGGCGACGACCAGGCTCCTGTCATGCCTTCCATCCAGAGGTGCGGGCTGCGAACTAACGGTCTCCATACACACCCCCACACCCACCCCCCAGATTTTGTGCTGTGTGTGACTTCTTAAGATACGCACATTTCTGGATGCTGGTGACGCAAGCGTCTGTGTCCGTCCCGATGCAAGACCCCTGCATTCACATTGTATGTGGTGTGTGACACAAGACATAGCGGGTGGTGGCAAGCAAGCGAGTTCCAGGTCAGCTTGGGGGGTGGGGGGGAAGGAAGGTGAGAGGTAAAAGGAGCAGAGAGAAAGGAAGAAAGGGGGAAGAATGGAACAAAAGACTCAAAGGTATCTGGGCCTGGGGCCCACTACGTTTCCCTTCAGGCCTGTCCGTCCTCACTCCTGCTACCTCAACACTACTCGCCATGCTAAAGTGGCTAGTGACAGTAGCGATTGGCATTTATTTCTTTTTAAAGATTTACTTATTTATTTTACATGTATCGGTGCTCTATCTGTAACACCTGCACGGCAGAAGAGGGCATCAGATCCGAGTATAGACGGTTGTGAGCCGCCATGTGGTTGCTGGGAATTGAACTCAGAACCTCTGGAGGAGCAGACAGTGCTCTTAACCTCTGAGCCATCTCTCCAGGCTGCGATTGTTATTTATCAACCCTTGAGCTAGGTGCCTTACAACCCTGTCTCGGCTGGGGATGGCTGCCACAAACCACCTCCCTTAGACATGCTCCTGGAGAGGAGGCTACTCCACATCATTGTGAGAGGAAGGCCCAAAAGACTTAAGTAAGCTATTTCTACTGTCCCTAAAAAGAGAAAGTTTCTTCTCTGTGAAACCTCGAGGCCCCCAGGCTCTCAGTTCGTCTGCATGCCGCCACGCTGTGCATGCTGGTCCTTGGGTTGGGAGGGCCACCTCTCTTCCTCTCCTCATGCTCCTTACCCCTCTGGCTTTACAGGAGAATGCTCAGGACTGTGGCGGCGCTTCAGACACTGTACCTTCGCTCCCTCTGCTCCTGCTATCGCTGTGGGCCTGGCTGCTTCTGCCCCAGCTTCTGTGGTGACCCCAGCCCATCTGACTCCCACAGAAGGGGGACCCTAAAAGAGACATTCTACAAAGTCACCATCTGATGAGGGCCCAGCTCATCAGATGGGCGTGCTCTCGGTTTCAGTCCTGGGCTACCGGTCTCTGCCTCCTAGAGATTGCTGGAAGGATCCCCACGGCTCTCCAGGGTACCAGCCACCCCAAGCTTTCTACTCTTGTCTCTGCTTCAGGACTCCAACAAGAGCTCAAGTGGAAGAAGGAGAGAAGTTAGTTACTCCTGTTTACCAGAGGTCAGACCCAGTCAAAGGGCCGGCTGTTTCCCTGGCTGGTCCACTACAGAGCTGAGGAGTTCTGGGGGCTGGGACTGAGCGGTGAGGCCCATGCAGAGGCTGTGGCAAGGGCATGCTTGCTACAAGTGCAGGGGTCCTTGGGAAGGTACTTTCGCCCATCACGGTGCAAGGGAGGGTAGGCAGAAGGAAAGACAGGAAGACTCAGGGAGGAACCAGAAGGGAAGAAATGGAAAAGAAGCCGAGCATGGTGACACATGCCTTTAATCCCAGAATTTGAGAGGCAGAGGCAGGAAATCTCTGAGTGTGAGGCCAGCCTGGTCTATAAAATGAGTTCCTGACACAAGGGGAGAGGTACAAAGAGAAACCTTATCTTGAAAACAAACAAAAGAGAAAACTCAAGCTTGGAGAGGGAAAACTGGTTGTAAATCTTAGCTTCGTGAAGATACTACGTATTAGGCAATGTACCTAGAGCTGTCTGGCACTGACAATATACTAACTGTTCTCACCCTAGCACCCCGCTTCACGGAAGGTAGTTAAGGTTGGAGGTGTTTGCCCAGCCCAGGTGAGGTACCAAATTGTCACAGCTGTGCTTCTTCATGCCACCAAGACACAGTATGGTCAGGCGTGGCAGGAGAGATCTTTCCCGATTGCCAGCAAAGCACCTGCCTTCCTTGCTTTTCATTTGTGCTGACCTCTACTCCACAGCACTGGGTCTCAAAAAACAAGCACAGGCGGGAGGCCTCCTCACCCAACCAGGCAGAGCATTTGGGAACCAGTTTATTGGCTGCCACAGAAGATAAATACTAAGTGTAAGATTCCAGGCAGCTCCTGGGCATGAGTCGTGGGGCTCTTGTGCCTGGCGCTACTGAGGGACTAAGCTTTAGAACATTGCCAGGGCAGTTGAAGAAAAGGCATTTCTGATAAACTGATGCTGTTTCCATGAGCGAAGTCTCCCAAGGTTTGCCTGCCAGTCAGAACTCCATCAAGAGGCCAGCAGGTGGTAGCCTGGCTTAGGCTAAAGATCCAGCACCTTGACTTCAGGAGTGAACCTGGCACTCCGGCAATTTAAAAAGCAGGGTATGGCATCCTGGCATCTTTCCTCATTTGTGTGTCACCTTCAAGAGTAAGAGCTCAAGGATGCTGTTAGAAGCACTTCAGCCCCAGAAAATGTGCTATTGAGCTTGCCTGTTTTAATAGAACCAACTGAAATAAAAGGCTTCAACACTATTTTGTGATGCTGACTCAAGTTTTGATTCCAGGAACATAGGGGTGGACAGATCTTAAGGTCAGAGAAGCAAGGATAGGGTTAGGAGGGGCTTGATACAAAAAGAACAGAGCAAGGGGTTGGCAGAAACCATGCCAAGCTCAAGGGCAGTTTCAGAAGTAGTCTATGATGGACCCACACACCAGGAAGGCTGCAAAGCAGACTTCCTTTCTGCCATGTGGGACGGTGGCAAACGACAGAGCTGAGTGAGTAGGATGTGTATCTGCCTCTCAGTTCTTAGGCTGGTGTGGCCAAAGGACAGGAAGGAGGGTGGCTGGGTCACAAGGGCAGTCTAAGCCCTTCTCAATAGTTTTTGAGGGGGCTGAGCCAACAAGTACTTAGATTAGGGGTGGGGAAGTACCAGACAGGCTTGTATCTAGTAAGAAAAGAAAATCCAACTAAAGCAGAGCATGCTCTTGAGTTTGAGCAACACCATCCAGAGCCTTCTCTAGTGGATAGCAGGTGGCTCTGATAACACATGGACCTCGTGTGGGCTCCACTTAGCTCCCAGACCTTTATGGTCATGTTAACCAGGTGTAGAAAGAGGGTTTTGTTTTGTTTTTTTAACACAAGGTCTGTGTAGCCCAGGCTAGCGTTTAAACTCGTGATCCTCAAGGCAAGCAAGCTTCTAAAAATTCCTTAAATTTCCTGTCTAAATTTAGGGTGGTAAGGATATCCCAAAAGTGAGCTAAGTTTTTAAAAAAAGGAAAAAAAAAAACACACACACACACACAACAAAGTTCATCTTTCATTTGGCTCTTTTTATTAGAGAAATTGAGAAGACATCAAGTAGGGAAATCCCATGGTGAATGGAACCATCACATAGATGCCTTTCTGGAACCACAACCTTCTATGATCCCCAAAAGTGTGCTTTGTGACTTCAGCAACTTATAAAGGGGAGAGGGAAAATACTGAAAAAGGCCACTGTTTAGTGATCAAAGAATGAAGGTGTACAGGTTCCTAACCATCCTAGGGCCTGGGGCCAAAAAAAGAAAATGAGACATAAATGTGTGCGCAGAGCAAGCCAGCCTCAGACTGCTGAGAGTAAGGCATTCAGGTGCCGCCTGCTGAGTTCCTGGAGGCACCACAAGGTCAAGTGCACATGGAGGCTGTTGGTAGTGAGCTGCGCGAACAGACAGGGGCACACACATGCCCACACACACCCCCAGAAGGGAAGTTATTGACTACACACTGGTGGTGGTGATTCTTTTCCCTACGAGTTTGTGCTATGTTGAACCAGATTCTCCCTGCTTTGGGAAGAGGGATGACTAGACCCAAAGACCTACTTTAGTAGGTGTCACGGGAAAGCATCTCAGCAGTCCCAAATTACACGGGCAGGGAGTAAGCCTGGCTTCTGATATGTGCTGTTGCTACCACAGACCTAGGTGGCTTCCCTCCAGGTGGACACTGTCCTGCCCAAGAGCTTCTTGAGGGATTAACACTGTTAGTTCTGTCCGCCACAAGGCTGTTCATCCAGTTTTCTGTTTGGTGTACCTAGGTTGTCACCCTATCGACAACCAAAATACTCCTAAACTCTTCTCAGGTTTTACAATGGACTCCTTCCCGGATTCCCAGCAGTAGCTGGAGATTTGAAGGTAAAGGAAGGACAATGGCCAAGAAAACCTAGTGAGTAAACAGAAGCTTCTCACATCCCGAAGTATCCCAGAGACGCCCGGCCCGTTACACTGCAATAGCCACCAGCCCCAGGATGTGCTGCCTGCCTGATGTCTTGAAGACTTAAGTACTTGGTTTCTCACTTAGGAGCCAAGATCAAAATTCTCTAAGCCAGACCCAAGTCGTTCACTCCCTCTAAAACCTGTAACAAGATGCCCTGGGACACAGAAATTACTTCTAACTTCTAGCAGCCATTCAAAATTGTGGGCTTAATTCTATCAGGCTACCTGGCAATAACATGCCACTTCCTTTTAAACGCCTTGCAGATGGCACTAAGTGAGTGCTAACAATGCCACAGTAGGGACTGCTGACTTTCTTATTCAAGGGGAGCAGAAGAGTCTGTTCTGTCACACCAAGCTTACCAAGACAGTGCACCAGAGAAAAAAAACATCATCACTCCTAGTCCAGTGGGATGGTTCTCCACACCTGCATATATGACTTCAGGTGAGACCCATGAACATCCAAATCTCTCTAGTGGCTGGCTCCAAGCTAGGAGCTATGACGCCAATGGGGGTGAGGGTAGGGGATGGGGCAGTTTCTTATTTCCCGGTGGAAGGACAGTTAGGGCAGTGATTCTCAATAGAGCAAAGTTTGCAGAATGGCTCAGAACTCCACAGAGAAGGTCTGGAAAATGGCCATACCTCTATTCAGGTAAGAACTAACACCTGGTTATCTGGGACACCAGGGAAGAAGCAGACAGCCCTGTGCTGATGCTCATAGAGGTCCTCCTCACCTCCATCACCGCCTTATACATGTATGGTGGAACCAAGTGGCCCCACTCTTCAGAAAGGCTCATTACTAACTACATAACAGCCTTTCAAATCCCTTCTCTAGAGCCATTATGACAACCTGTGCTGCGTCCACTGAGAAAGCACACACTACCTCCTTCTACTTCCCTCCCCCTCGGGGTGCCTCAGGGCTTGCAGTCTTGAGAGTGGCCAGAAAATCCCTGGCTAGAGCTGTACCCTGCCCCAGCAGGGTCCAAGGGTTACCGGCCTATGGAAGGCACCTTGGTGCACAAGACATCGTGCATTCTGGGGCTACCACTTCATCTTCCTTCTATCACTTTGTGCAAAATTGAAACAGTGTGTGGTACTTGCATGTTTCATCCTTTTAAAAAAAAAGTCTCCCTCCCTCCCTGCCCCTATGTTTTAAATGTTTATATAAATTCTTATTTAAACAGTAAATTAGAAATCTTATTTACATTAATTTCTTGGTTCTCCCAAAGGAGTGCCTAAAATTGCACTCCCACCCTTTTACTGATATAAATGTTCACCTAAATTGGTTTTGATTATTGTTTTAAGGAGCTCCAGTGGCACAATCAATTAGCGCATAGTACTCATATGTATTACTGCTTTAAGGAGAGAGAAAGGGAGAAGAACCACCAACTAAACTGTTTCCCATCTTCTACAAATAAATACGGTCCCATCAGAAGCCAGTCTGTGAGGGAAGGGTCTTGCAGAGTTGCCCTCAATTGGTAGATCCCAAAGGGGAGTCAGGGGATGAGCCATTTCTCCTTTTCTCCAAATCGATGCACTCCATCCTTTGAGGTATGATTTATTTTTGTTTTTCTCTTCTTAGTCTTGTACCCCATGGAGCCCTTGGGCCATCACAAGGCCCACGAGGCTGTCCAAGTTTTGGGGCTTCTCTGGCACTGGCACTGACAGCCAGCAAGGAGGCCTGTGGAAGCTGCAGGCCTGGTTCAGGGTCACAGTCCCTGGCTCCTGGAGAGTATCACAGTGCGTCCTCTTCAGCGCAGCCCCCGCCAATCATGAAACGAAACTCCTGCAGGTTTGAGACGCCGTGGAAGTGAACGAAGGCACCAGCAACCACAAAGATGTGGAACAGCTGATGAGAGTGAAACTAGAGAGAGAAAAGAAACCAAGTGTTACAAAGCCTGCTACAGACAGCTAGGAAGGAGCCCTGCTTCCCAGCTTGTACTGTCAGTGGAAATGCATTGATAGAATTCAAGTTTAAGGTGGGCACAAGAACATTCAGTGGGAACCTCACATTCTCCTGAGTCAAAAGCTAGCTCTCCAAAGAAATACGGGTATTGCCACCGACATAGCGAACTTGGGGGCAAATTCTATGCAGGCCTTGCAGTTAGGCCGCCAAATCCCCAAGGACCCCTGACATCAGCAGCAGGGTATGATTCCCTGATACACTTAAGAAGTTATAACATTCTCTCATGGTTTCAAAATGAAATGCACAGTGATATTTACCAAGACACTGATTTTAGAAGTATAAAGAAGAAAGGTAAATTCGCTAACCTGAAGTTCAGAAGATGGAGTTCAGGATCACCTCCATTTACAGACAGCTAACTAGCCTTAAGAACATGGGTGGCCAACTCAGCATACAACTATGGGCAATGATGAAAAACAGAACCCTACAAGTCAGAGTTCACTTTAAGATCATTCCAAATGTATTATACTGTTGAAATGTTTCGGATCCTCTTTGGTTAGAAATGTCTATCTTTAGCTGGGCATGGTGGCCCACTTTTAATCCCAGCACTCAGGGAAACAGAGGGAGGCAGACTGATGTGAGTTCAAGGCTAGCCTGGTCTATAAAGCCAGGACAGCTAAGGCTACACAGAAAAATTGTCTCAAACAAATAAAATAAAATAAAAGGTCTATCTTTACTCTATCTTTATGTTCTTTCCTTCCCTTCTCTTCCTTCATCTCTCAATATTAGCCACAATCTAGATATCTTCCTCTCCTTCCCTTCCTCCACCAGACACATAGAGACTTGGCCTCTTATCAATACCACTGGGTTTGGGTATCTAGAAGAACCAGCTAGCAAGATGATTTAACAGGTAAAAGCACTTCTTGCACAGGCCTGGCAACCTGAGTTCAGTCCCTGGAACCATTGTAGCAGAAGAGAGCCTACTCCTGAAAGGTGTCCTCTGACCTCTACATGGCATGCCCATTCTAACACACATACTTCAAACATACAATAATAATAACTAAAATAATCAATAACACACACACACACACACACACACACACACACACACACACACACACCCCACACACACACCTTGGTATTTTTTTGTTGTTTGTTTTTCAAGACAGGGTTTCTCTGTGTAGGCCTGGCTGTTCTGAACTAGCTCTGTAGACACACTGGCCTCAAACTCAAGGATTTGCATGCCTCTGCCTCCAGAGTGTGGGGATCAAAGGTATACACAACTACACCTGGTCTCAGCCTTCTCTTCTTAAAAAATGACCTCAGTAGATTGTCCTTCTTTCATAGTGAGAGTCAGGACAGAAAATATAAAACGACCCAACAACCAGTAGTCTCTGTACACTACAGTACAGCAAAAAGAGCGCAGACAACACTAAGCCCACTTGATTCCATTTCTGTGTTTACCACTTAATGCCCACTTGTTGGACAAGCTGTTGAGCCTTCCTAAACCTTAGCTCCCTAATCTGTGAAGTTAAAAGCTAGGACCAGCCTTGTGGGACTGACACAGCACTCACCACTGTCAGACACCAAGTGCTCCGTCACTATAATTATCCCCATGTTCAACTGTCCACAGAAACCAGACAACAAGGGCCAGAATCATGACTGGAACACAAACCTCTTACCTTTCAAACTTTTGATTACATCACTCCCAGTGTGCCACTGACCCGCTACCAGGAACATACCTTATCACCACTGACCACACTTACCCAGATATCACATTTGCCAGGAAAGAAGCGTTCAGGAATGCGGGCCGCATAGAGGGCAGCTCCTGTGATATAGAGGCTAGCCATGAGCATTAGCCAGCCTATCTGCCCTATGGTAGCAGCCTTCAGGAAACCTTCTGAGATGACATAGTGGAAAGTAGGGATGATTCCACTCAGGCCTAAGCCCACAAACACTCCTAAGACATCAGAAGAACAGAAGAAAAAGAGAATACAAGAAAAAGAAGTCAATATTACAACAAAGTTTTATTTACTTTGATCAACTTGAAATTTCAAAGAAAGGTCATTCTTGTTTTAAAGAAAGTCCTTCAAACTTTGAGACACCATTCATCACACAAGACAACACAGCTAGCTATGTTCTACTTACAGATAGAAGCCTCATGGTAAGGCAGCCTTAGGATTAGTCAGAAAGAACCACATTGCCAAGAGCAATGTTAGGAAGGAAAGGCACGGGGCACCGCTTTACTTCCTTGAATGCAACCCTTTCACAGGCAGAGTACAACAGAGTGTCATCTGGTGAGCTTTCCCCAGAGACTCCAGGGCTCACCCAGCATCACCAGTAAGCTGCTGGCATGCCACAGCACATATATGAACACACACATGACACACACTCAGAAAACATGTGCAGCTAAATGAGAAGTGAAAATGGCACACTTAACTACATGAAAGTTGGGGACTAAAAAGACCCAAATAAAAACTAATTCACCCCTCTACTCTCCTCCAAAGCACAGCTATACTCTGTTCCTTTCCTCTGAATGCGAACAGAGGCTGCTGAAAGTGCTTTTCCCTCTGAGAGTCAAAGCCTCAGGACTTAACCTTCTACTGTTTATAAATAGTAGAATGCTCAGCACCACTCAGCAAAGATGGTCTTAGCTCATGTACTCAAATAGGTTTAACACTATTGACCTAGTGAACAACTACAGAGCCAGTGTTGGCTGTTGTTTATTTGCTCATGTGGATATCTCAAAAAGGAAGACAGCAGAATGCTATAATGTCACTAACATGAGGTTAGTTCTGTTTCTAGCATTCTAGAAACATGCAGATGAATCATGAATCTAGAAACATTCATGCAGATGAATCAGGGCTTGAATTTTATAACAAGAAGAAATACTGGTTGTAATATTGCTTGGGAGGCATTATTTTGGGGACAGAAAGCAGAAGACACAACTGCAGACACAGAATTTATAAAGATTTTGTCAGAATCACTCAGCACAGGCTACTGCTTTCAAAATTAAAGGCCGTGTTTTTCAAACTTCTGGTTCTGCAAATGCAACAATGTCACAGGGCACTCAGAAGGCATTACCCAAATATCAAAGGTTATTGGAGCATAATTAGCATGAACTGAGACCTTATTTATCAAAGCAATTTAAATGAAAATATAAAATACTAAATATGACACAAAATGCATTAAGCTGAAAGAATGGAGAAGTCAACACTGGCCAAAATATCCGTGTGCACTCCTCTGCCCTGTGCAGTCCCACAACTCACCTCCGGGTGAACGACAAGCTCAGCGGTCACTGCCTCTCTGCATTGAAACCACAGCCCATGTGCAATGCGCACCTTACGTGACAGGTGATTAACCGCACGTTCACATGCACTCACCTGCTCTGACCCCCCGGTACTGAGGGGTGGCAAACATGTCCCACTGGGAGACGATAATGGCTGCAATGCCCAGCACACAGATGACAATCAGGTAGATGAAGCAAGGTTGTGGGTTACAGTAGAAAGAATAATAAAGCCAAGGAACAAAACTTCCCATGATCAGAAGAGCAATACCAGAGTAATCCAATCTAGGATTGAAATTTAAAAGAACTCCATTTAATGCTAAAAATTATCATCCATTATAGGCTCCAATTAATCCCCCATGACTTATGACATCAGTAACAACTAAGAAGCAAACTGGGCTGTCTGCATCAATGAAAGGAAGATGCAGCAGCATGGGAACCCTGCTGGCTCTGGTGGTTGTTCCTGTCCCACTAACGCTGAAGCACAGCTCCTAACAGGAAAACAGGAATACTTACTTAGAGAAGAGTCGGGAGACCCCTTCCGAGTGGCAGTAGACTGTGTGGAAGAGCCATGAAAATGAAAGGCAGAGAATGGCTCCCAAGAAGAACAACCCAAAGACTACTTTCTCTTGCAGAGGGGCCACAAAGGATATATTTGGGCGAAACATATAAAAGATCCCCAGGCACAGGAAGAATACACAACCTAGAAAAAGAATACAAGGAAAGAATAAAATGCACTCTGACAGAATGGTTTTGTGCACTCACTGTGTTTTCAGTTTTTCCTAGTAGCAATGATACCAAAACCATAAATTCTGTGAGAAAAAAACTTAAAAACAATAATATTTATCCAAGATTTTAGCTGGGGTCATATACAGTAATTGAGGATGTAATGAGGGCCTGCCAGCACACGCAAAGCTCTGGGTTTTACCTTTAAGAACCACATAAACCAGGGATGGTGGCACATACCTTAATCTTAGCATTTGGAAGGAAGAAGCAGGAAGATTACAAGTTTAAGGCCAGGAATGAATCTAAAGTAGCCTGGGATATATAAGACCCTGTCTTAGAAAGAAAAGAAGAAAATGAGGAGGAGGAAAAAGTAATTTTTCATTCATCTAAGGACCACTCCAAAAGGAAGCCAAAGAGTACAACTGCCCCTTAGATTTTAGCCAGAGACTCGTACAGTGTTGACACACATGCTGTAGGTGCTTTCAAAGCTCTACTCTACATTCGTTTACAGAAGCTGAAGAATCCTGTGTGGTCTCTGGTCCTCACTAGCTGACCAGCACACTAGTGTGAGAAACTCCATACTAACCATTTGCTTTGTTTGAGAATGGGTCTCACTACTATGTAGTCCTGGCTGGCCTGCAGCTCACTGCATAGACCAAACTCAAGACATCTGCCTGCCTGTCTCCTGAGGGCAGGGATTAAAGTTATGTTGCCAGCCCAACAGGCTCATATCTATTTTTGTTGTCTGGTTTTTGTGTTTTTAGTTTTGTGGACGTTTGTTTTTGTGCTAGACTGAACTCAAGCCCTCATAACATGCTAGGCAAGCACTCACCGCTGAGCAGTCCTCCTTTCTGTATTTTAAAATGATTTTTCTATTGTTATGTGTATGAGCATTTCACCTACATGTATGTCTGTGCAACATGTGTGTGGTGCCCACAGAGGCCAGAAAGGACACTGGATTCCCTTGTTGGAGTCACAGATGGTTTGTCAGCTGCCATCTGAGTGTTGGGAATCCAACTTGAGTCCTCTGCAAGAACAGTAAGTGCTCTTAATCACAGAGACATTTTTCTAGCCCCCCCTTTTTTTTGTATATATATATACATATATATATATGTATATATATATATATATATATATTTTTTTTTTTTTTTTTTAATTAACTAAGAGAAAAGTGCATGCACCATTTTACCAGGACAATTTTTCCCACTTTTCCAGATACTTTCACTGAACTGTCCAAACACACTCTAACATAGGCAGGCCTTGAATTTATGATCCTCCTGCCTCAGCCTCCCTTAGAGCTGTGCCACTAGGCCTGGCTTATACTCAGTTCTTAAACTTGTCTCCACAGTAAGATACCATGTTCTTGTTGCTTAGCAAAGGGCTAAGGGATGCATAGGCAGAAGCTGGTAAGTGATTCTATTTTAACATTTTAATTAATTCTAATCAGGTAAGGTAATTTAAATTAAAAAATTATCTGACTTCAGGGACTGTCTCTGACATGAACTCATGGGCTGGCTCTTTGACCACCGCCCCCTGAGGGGGAGCAGCCTTGCCAGGCCACAGAGGAAGACAATGCAGACAATCCTGATGAGACCTGATAGGCTGGGGTCAGAGGGAAGGGAAGGAGGACCTTCCCTAACAGTGGACTTGGAGAGGGACATGGGAGGAGATGAGGGAGGGAGGGTGGGACATGGGAGGGAATGAGGAGGGTTCTACAGCTGGGATACAAAGCAAACAAAATGTAATTAATGTAAAAAAATAAAAATTTAATTCAAAAAAATGAAGAAAAAAAATATCTGACTTAAATGCTACCAACAAACTTGATTATTCTCTATTCTACTCTCATTATACTGGCAGGAACCTGGAGGCGTAGTAGAAACTAAACCTGAGGTAAGAAACAAAAGTCAGGCCAGGAGGTGGTGGCACACACCTTTAGCCCCAGGCAAAGGCAGACAGCTCTCACGAGTTCTAGGCCAGCCTGATCTACAGAGCAAGTTCCAGGGTGGCCAGGGATACAGGCTACATACACAGAAAAACACTGTCTTGAAAATTAGCAAACGAAAGAAATGCAAGTCAAAGGGAGTACAGCCAGAGATGAGTACACCCCCAAGTCTGGACAACCATCAGGAATAACTGCAAGCCATCTTCTTCATTCCAAACAGAACCCTTGTACCTGCTGTCATCCACTATTCTCTGCTCCCTCCAGCACTAGACAAACACTAGCCTACTTTCTGTCTCTATGAATTTGCCTTTTCTGTACTTTGTATATACATGGAATCACACAAATATGTAGGCTGTTGCGTCTCTCCATTTAAATAACTTAAAGACTCACTCAGAATGTTGTAACAAACATCAGTAATTCACCCTTCTTATAGCCAAACTCTTTCTTAAAAAAAAAAAAAATCTTACTTCTACTTATTTGTTTCTGCACATGTGTGCAAGCCAGAGAAAAGTTTGTAGGAACCATTTTTCTCCTTCTATCATTATAGGTCCTGGGGATTTAACTCAGGACAGAAGATCTGGAGACAACAGCCTTTACCTGCTGACCATCTCACTGACCCCCCAAACAATGTCTACTTCCATCAGGGTATGCCACACATATTCAGTTCATCTATTCAGCAGCTGGTTGTTTATATAAATAATGCTGCTAAAGCATTCATGTACATCTTATTGAATACTCAACAGAAGTAAAACAGCCAGTGACTGTTAACTTTCTGACAAACTTCCTACTACACTGTTTTCCACAGGTGCTGACCCACTTTTCATTTCTACCAGCAACACTAGCAACATTTCTCCATATTCCTGATCGAGATTTACTTTCCATTTTCTTGATCATAGCAATCCTGGAGGGAATAAAATGGTATCTCGTTGTATTTATCTTTCTATCTGTCTTATATTTCCTAAATGACTGATAAAAACACACCTTTTCCAAGTACATGTTTGCCATCTATCTATATACTTTACAGAAATATCTACAGAGAAGTTTTACTGCACCCCCACAAAAGGGTGGGCTGTTTATATTGGCTTATAAGAGTCCTATGGTAGACTAGATATAATATGATCTGTAAATATTCTCTCGCTCTGTGGGTTATCTTTTTAGCTTTCTTGACAATATTCTGTAACATATACTTTTTAAATTTTGACAAATCCAATTTATTCTTTCTTTGGATGCATACACTTTAGGTATCAATTCTAAGAAACTGTTACCTAATTCGGGTCACCAAGACTTAACATCTGTGTTTCTGCTTTTTTGAGGCTGAGACAGAATCTCACTACACAGCACAGGCTGACCTGATATTGACAATCACGTCTCACTTCCCAGGTGCCTGGGATCACACACATATGCTACCATGTCTAACCCTACTTTGATCTTCTGTATAATAGCTACCTCAGCTATACTGCTCCTTCTACTGAAAAGATTATCCTTTCTCCCATTGTATTCTTTAATGAAAAAAAATCATAATTGAAAAATATCCATTTCATATTCTATTCACAGCAACTGAAATTTAACTGCAAATAACCTAAGTAATGACTGAAAAGAAAATCTGCTTACTTTTTAATACATATTCTTCTCACTGCTTATTAAAATACTGTTTAGAATACCGTTTTACAGCAATTCTCACCTCTCCTTTGAGGCCACCATGCAAAGACTCAGAAAGAAGACAGACATGAGGCGCACACCACCAACTGCAGGAAGCTGACAAGGAACAAAGTCTAGACTAGCCTGAGACACAAAGTAAGAGCCTATCTCAAATCAAAACTCTGGGAGAGAAAAAGGTAAGTTGGTTGTAATAAAGTCACAGGACAAGTTAGGATTATTAAAGAGTGAAAAAATGAGAAATCATCACTGAAAATCTGAAAGGAGGGAGGTAAACTCAATCATATTTTTCAAGTCCTCACTTATTCCCAATATATATGAAAATCAAAGAAACTAAAGTAAATCACTAATTTCATTATACCACATACCTAGGAGATGTGTCCAAATGTTGCCCGTCTCCGTGTGTATTCTGAAAATACTCTTAAAACAGGCCCGGAAAGAAGGCATAGGAGGCCGATGTCCGTGGAGAAGGAAATCATTATCCTTAAGCCAATCTGGTAGCACATCATGAGGGATCACTCGCCATCGCCCTTCCCATACCTATGATCCATTGAAAAAAAAAAAAAATCCATTGTTATCACACATATTCGGACGTCAGTTGTCATTTAGCAACACTGTTCCCAAACAACTTTTACCATAACATCTTATATTGTTTAAAAAAAATGACAAAAATGTATTTCTAAGTGGTAGGCTTTGTTAGGAATTAAGAATTTGTTAGGAATTAGGAATTTGTTCATACAAAAAATTATAGAATCAGCTTCATGTTTTTCTAAAAGGTCTCCCCCTTCTTTCTGCTACAAGAAAACTCAGGTGTTAAATGAAAAAGGCACAGAGGTTAAGAAATTTGGGGTTGGGCTGAAGAGATGGCTTAGCCATTAAAGGCTGGGCTCACAACCATAAATATAAGAAATTTGGGGTCTCTGATATTAACTAGTATGAGTTTAATCATTTTAAAAAATCTCTTTTTTAAAATGAGGCTTAGTTTCTTACCTATAAAATGAGGATAACAGTGAAAACCTAATGAATTCTAAGGATCAAATAAATGGCATACAGACCTCACATGAGTTTACATTGCTAGCATTCCCCCTGGGTTGGATGCACCTTTTTTTTTTTTAAACCTCCCTGGCAAAATAATCGCCTCTGCACAATCAGAACTGCACCCCACCCAACCTACTGAGGAAAGAAAGATCAGGACCTTTATACTGCCTCCTAAGAAAGTCTGTTCACTGTACCCTATTTGATAATCAACTTCACCCAGAATCCAGCAGCAAAGAAGTTTTCACTACTGTGCCCTGCTGTGCTTCCATCTAATACACTATAAAGCTAAATCCCTGCCCTGCAGACTATCAATGCAGATGCTGAGACTTATGGGCAACCTTTGGGCAGAGTGCAGGGAATCTTAGGAAAGAAGTGGGAAACAGTAAGATCTGAAGAGGACAGGAACTCCACAAGGAGAGCAACAGAACCAAAAAATCTGAGCACAGGGGTCTTTCCTGAGACTGCTATTCCAACCAAGGACTACGCATGGAGATAACCTAAGACCCCTGCACAGATGTAGCCCATGGCAGTTCAGTATCCAAGTGGGTTCCATTGTAATAGGAACAGGGACTGTCTCTGACATGAACTGATTGGCCTGCTCTTTAATTACCTCCCCCTGAGGGGGAAGCAGCATTACCAGGCCACAGAAGAAGACAATGCAGCCACTCCTGATGAGACCTAATTGACTAGGATCAGAAGGAAGGAAAAGAAGTCCTCCCCTATCAGTGGACTTGGGGAGGGGCATGCGTGCAGAAGGTGGAGGAAGGGAGGGATTGGGACGGGAGGAGGGAGAAAACCACAGGGGGGATACAAAGTGAATAAAGTGTAATTAATAAAGAATTTTTAAAAAAAGCTAAATCCAACTACAAATTATTAAGACTTGAAAGACTTTTCCCCACTATCCCTTGGGGGGTCTTGGCACAAAGCAAACAGCTAAGCCACATAAACTGGGCTCTCCTCCCCATTACACAGAAAGATTGTCACTTGTCCACTACTGTGCCCCTTTCTTTCACTCCACAACCTCCTGTTCTCTGATCTCTTATTTCCTTACTGGAAACTATAAAGTGTTCCTCACTGTGACACTTCTATTCTCCCAAGGAAAGTTCCAATTTCAGAAGAGATGCAACCCTCCTATCTATTAAATCAGTCTTATCCCTTCCCTCACCCCCTTTTATCTCTTATACACTCCAGTTCAAAATTCAGGGTCTATGCTCATTGAGCCTAACCTGGTCATTCTATAGACAGTCCTAAAGTAAAGTAAAATAAGCCAAGATGACTCTCATCTTGAATGTTTCCTGCTAGCACTTCAGTTATCCCATGTAGCTATGGAGGACTGCTTCCAAGACCTTCTGTGGACTGAACATTCTGCAGGTGCCTAGGTCCTTAAAATGGCACAGTGCAAGATCCAAGGATAGCTGTGCAGATGACAACCGACTTTTCTAAATACTTCATTCTTCTCTTAAAATGTTATTTTCCTCAAATAGGGTCTCACTATACTGCTTAAGATGGCTGTGAATTGATGGGCTAAATAAAGTGATCCTCCTGTCTCAGACTATCAAAAAGCTGGAATTAGATATAATAAAACTACCATGAGAGGGAAAGGAAACAACAATATTTTTCTAACACTAGCCATTTCCCTCTCAAGATATAGAAAAGAACTTATACCTGTATATACACACATATATGAACACAAGGGTGGGAGAGGGAGGAAGACTTACAATGACTTGCATACCTAGTTGTGATGGTTAGTTTTGCTAGAATCACCAAGAGACTCTTATTGAGAGGTTAACTAGATCAGCTTGGCCTGTGAATGTTTGTGGAGGACTGTCTTGATTTTATTAACCAAGCTGATTACATAACTTGATTACATTAATTGAAAAGGCATGTCCCAAAATTGTAGGAGGTACCATTCCCTTGGGTTGGGTCCTAAACTGATAAGAGTAGAAAATGCAAGCTGAGCCCAGGTATGCATGAATTCATTCTCTCTGTTCTTGACCATGGGTGTGAGTGTTTCAAGTGCCAGATGCCACGGCTCCCCAATTAATGATGAACTCTAATCTGGAATTGTGAGCTAAAATAAAACCCTTTCTCTCCTAAATTGTTTTGTCAGCGTATTTCATCACAGCAAAAGAAATGGAAGAACAAAAACTGGTACCAGAAGCAGGATCACTGCAATGAACCTGATGGCACAATTCTTGCTCCCTTTGAGTTAGTTTTTGTATGTTTTTACTGGAATGTGGAAGAGTTTAGAACCACAAGCTAGAAAATCCATTGAATGCTGTACACAAAACTTAGTAAGTTGTACTTGTGGTGACTGGAAAGAACGCGGAGAGAAATACAAATAGCGGAGGCTTGGTTCATGAGCTCTCAGAGGGGAGCAAGGATTCTACCAAGAACTTGCAAAGTGGGAATCTGACCAAGAATCTGGCTTCCTTCTGCCCAGGTCCTGAGAACCTAAGTGAAGTTGATTTTCTTGTAATAATAAACTATAACTTAGAACTATGGCTAAAATAAAATCTTTCTCTCTTAGGTTGCTTTTTGTCAGAGTATTTCAAAACAGCAACGAAACAAGCTAACAGATAAGCAGTTGCTTATCTGACTAAAAAGACCACCAGGTCTCTTTTGTTCTTCAACAAGGAACTTCAATTCTAGCTACCATTTGAAAAAGAAAAATCCTACAATGGAGGTTAGGGACTCAGACAATGAATCACAAAACCACTTAAGAGAAAAAAAAAGATACTAGCTGCACAAAAAATACTAAATGTACCTGAAATTTTTGAAATTTCAACCTCAGCAGCTTTATTACCTGTAGAATCTCCAGAAATAGCAACAACACTGTCCACATTAAACAGAGCAGCTCTGGATATGAGTTTTTGTTTGTTTGTTTGTTTGTTTTTTTAAATAGCTCTAGCACAATCACTCCAAATTATTTCATCCTGTCTTCCCTAACCTACATTTATTCTTCCAACTTGTATCAGGAGAGATTTACATCCCAATTGGACATTCTGGTTATGTAACAACTTTGAACACTACGTTTTACATGTGTGTGATGAACAAAGTTAAAGTCAGGAAAATTCTTTGTCCCCTTCTTACCATGGATTTCCCCCTCAAGCAGCACAATAAGCAAAGGCCTGCCATCTTCTTTCAATGTCTGTTTGGGAAAGGCTGAATCGACAGCATGAAAAATCACAAGAAACTGTAATCTTACCTTACAAACGAATTCTTCCATTCTTTCCATTGCATGATGGGCTTGTAGGAGAGGAGACATGCCCATAAACCCTTCATCTTCCTGGGAATTGTCATCATTACACTCAAGTTCCTCGGAGCTCTGCAAAGACAGTAACAGTCAAAGATAGGACCAGTCAACATGCTTTTGCAAATGCAAAGGTTTTAAAGTCAAGCCCCAGTCAAGCATCAACAATACAGTGGGCAGTAACTTCACTGTAAACCTATTAGTATTAAAAATGAAGTCAGATATGATAGTGCACATCCCAGAGGAGGCAGGCTGATCTCTTATGAGTTTCAGGTCAGCCAGGGGCTACATAGTGAGAACCTGTCTCAAAAAAACCAGACCCAAACCAAAATAAGACAAAAATACAAACAAGTCAAAAACACATTTCTCAATTCTAAGAGATAAACAATAGCCTACTATAACAGCATCCCTATGTTCACTTCACAATCTATTCCTCAAATAGCTGTATTAGTTTCCTTTCGATTTTCCTTCCACGGGCCAGTCATAGTTGGATGACCTGAACTTGATCCCTGAAACCCACATAATGGTAGATGGAGAGATCAAACTCCACAAGGTTACATGCTGACCTCCACATGTATACCCTGGCACATGTGCCCCAACCCCTGCCACAGCAAGCACTTACACAGATAATTTTAAATCGCCTTTGACAAAGTTCAACATCCCCTTGTGATAAAGGCCAAGGAAAAACTAGAAGCTGAGGCAGGATGATTATGAATATCAGAACAACTAGACCCTGGGTTTAAAAAAGAAAAAAAGGAAGAGGAGGAGGAGAAGAAAATTTCTACTTCCGCACCTCAATTTAGGGGCTCAGCAGACAGCTTATCAAGACCGACCTGGCTGCATTAGACCCTGTCAAACACCGAGAACACCACCAAACAAACAAAAACCATACAATTAAAATTATCAGGAAAGGAAAACATATATGCCATGATCCTCATCTAATGGAATTACTCTGAGTATGTAGTTCTGAAATTTCAGTCAAGACAAAAATAAAAGTGAAGGTACAATGGATCATGCCTACAATTCCAGCACACAAGAGGCTGAGGCAAGATTTCTTCAAGTCCCAGGCCAGCCTGGGCCACACCCTGTTTCAAAACCCAAATACTACCCCCCAACACACACACACACACACACACACACACCACCAAATGGTTCCAACCTCCGTGAGGGGTTGAAAATGGATCAGTGGCCAAAATGGAAACACCTTGTGCAGATGTCAATTTTTTCAAGGAGTTTCACAGCAGAATAGAATACAGCTAGATAGGAATTACAGCAGGAAGGACTTACTTCCAAGCTGAGAACGGCAGAAGGTGGGTGCTCACAGGAACTAATAAAGCACAAGGCCTGGGAATGAGCTCACTGGAAACCAGCTTCTCTTTTTCTTTTCTTTCTCCCTACAAACCCTGAGGTTTTGTTGTCGTTTTATTTTGTTTGAGATAGGGTCTCATTATATGGCTCTGGCTGTCCTGGAACTATGTAGACCAGCTGGCCTCAAACTCACAATAGAGATGCCCATGCCTCTTCCTCCTGAGTACTGGGATTAAAGGTGTGGGGCACTACGCCTCGATGGAGCTTTTCTAAGAGGATAAACATAGCCTTTCTACTACGATGAACAGCAAAGGTGATAGAAATGGTGAAAGTAGGTTTACAGAACTGGAATGAAAGAAGCAGAGGTCTTGGCTAGTGATTTCTGACCTCTCAGTTTTAAATCAGATAAGGAGAATGCATAGAATATGGATGCTTGAAAAGAATGAAAAAGGTGCTGTTGTGGTTTGAATGAGAAACACCGCCCACAGGCTCCAGTAGATGAACATATGATTCCCCACTGGTGAATTTTGGGAGGTTTAAGGGCTGCAGCCTTGATGTAGAAAGTATGTCACTAGGGATGAGCTCTGAGAGCTAAAGCCTTTCAATTCACTCTTCTACCTAGGATAAAGGATGTACACTCTCAGCATCCTGTTCGTACCACCATGCCTACTACCCGCTGCCATGCCTCCCTGTCATGGAACTGTAAGCACAAATTAACTAACTTCCTTCTGTAAGATGCTTTGGTCATGGTATTTTATCAAAACAACAGAAAGGTAATTAATACAGATGCTGAAAGCACTGGTGAATATGATGATAGGGTCTCCCAGATTCAGACCAAAGAGACAGATTCAGAAAGGAATGGCCCAGGGCCCTGGCTCAATCTTCAGAATAGGCTCCTAGCCCTAATCTATCCTTAAAAAAAAAAAAGTTTATTTTAGATATATAATTGTTTGTCTGTGTGTATGAATGTGCACCATATGCATGCCTACTGCCAGCCAAGATCAGGTGTTGAAACCTCCCCCCCCCTTCCCGGGGACTGGAGTTACAAACCATTTGTAAGCCGCCATATGGATGCTGGGAAGTGAGTTCAGGTTCTCTGCAAGAGAAGTGTTCTTAACCACTGAGCCAACTCTCCAGCCCCACCAAAATTCATCCTTATAAACCATGGTCTATGTATGTATTTTCTTCTCTTGTTATACATGTAATGATTGGCAGAGCCCAGAAAGACTGGCAGGTGGCACAACAAATAGGGCAGCTCCCTGAGAGATTCCAAGGCAGTTGACAGAGCAGCAGTTTGGAAGGCATAGGGAAGTTCCCAGGACAGGAACAGGCTTCTCCAAGAGGCTAAGGGATTCAGCTGTGGCCCCAGCAGCAGCACAATCTAACTGCTAACCGGCTGCTTTAGAAGTAAGTCTTTTACGCAGAAATTGGATCTCGGTTTTCTAACTTATCAAACAGTAATAGCTGAGCCAGGTTGTGAGGTCATTCTAAAGACTGAGTCCAAAACTACTGTGTCTATAGGAAAATGCTCCATGAAAGCGTAGTTTCTCCTTGTCCCCCTCCGCTGCTTTGGCCCTTCCTGATCATCCAGCCCGTTTGGCAGGGCATCAACTAGTGTGGTGCCCACCTCTTCTGCCGCCTGAGCTTGAACTGCTCCAGTGTCCCCTGACGCTTAAGGAGTGATAATGTTCACACAGCACATTTATGATAAATCTTTTTCAATTTTTTGTAATGCAGTCTTATCACACTGTAGGCTCAAGCTCTCCTGTTGCTGTGTAGCCCAGGCTGGCTTTAAACTTGCTGCACTCCCTCTGGCTCAAGTTCCTCAGTGCTGGTATTACAAGATTGGGTGGGTAACTATGCCTAACAGACTTTTTTTTGTTGTTTGTTTGTTTGTTTTGTTTTGTTTTTGGTGTGTATGTGTGTATGAGAAAGAGAAAGAGAATGAGACTATGCCACAGTCATGTGTAGAGGGCAGGGGTCAGCTCTATAAAACTGGTTCTCTCCTTTCACTAAAGGTCAGGATTATACAACAAGCACTCTACCCACAAGCCACCCCACCAGCTCTGCAAGAAATTCTGAAGTGAATTCTAACATTCGATCCAGCATGGACACACACTGAAGATTTCATGTTAAATGAGATTAGCAGTCACTGAAGGATAAATACTCCAGTATTTCACCTACCTGTAGTCAAATTTGACTAACAAAAAGCAAAATGGTGATTCTCAGGGGCTAAGGGAAATGGCAAAGGTCAAACAATGTTTAACAGGTTGCGTTTCAGTTTAGGAAGATGACAAAGTTCTAGAGATGGATCAGGCTTGTGGTTATGCACTTAACTACCACAAAAATGCACACTTAAAATCATTTAAATCCTGGATTTTATATCGTGCACACCTTACAACAACTTTTAAAAACTAAGGTATTTATTTATTAACCACTTCAAAGCTAAAATTAAATGAATGGTATTCTGTAATTTTTAAAAATACAGGTAAAGTTGGCAAGTCAGAGTAGTGCACACCTTTAATCCTAGCACTTGGGAGGCAGAGGCAAGAAGATCTCAGTGAGTTTGAGGCCAGCATAGCCTACAGAGAGAGTTATAGGCCAACTGTGGCAGTTTGAATAGGTTTGGCCCCCACAGATTCATGTGTTTGAATGCTTGGGGGAAAGGTGTAGATCTCATCAATAGAATACGTACCTGGCAAGCATGAGGTCCCTCTCAAATACATACATGCAGACCCCACACCACACATACATGTATAAAAGAAGACACAAAATTACCCAAAAAGTTAAAAAAAAATTTTTTCAAGAAGACCTAAGAATAGTTTACCTTTCTGTAGAGATAATGCATGCAGCCCCACCAGCATGAGGCTCCCTGAGTGGGCAGTGTTATCACTATGAAGTCAGGGTGGCAGTTTTACCTAGAGTTGAAGATGGAAGAGGAGTCATGTGCTCTATGTACTTCCTAACAACACAGACAAGGGACTACTTACAATTTTCTTAGCAAAGGTCTATAGAGATTCTTTTATGAAGCCTGCACTTGTCCGAAGGCTGAGAATACACTGACATTTTTTCCTTAGGTACTGATGAATAAACTGAGGGCATTATGCTCACTAGACTATTGGATGACTAGAAATAGCCATATACAAGGAGAATTTCTAATGTTACTTGTTTCTTCCATTCTTCATTTATCAAATATAATTATGTCCACATTAACAAAATACGCTATGCTGGATGATATGGGCTGTGTAAACATGAAGGCAACACTTCATAATCTAAAAAGAAGAGATGAGATCTACAGTTCAGATTTCAATTTGGAGGGGCTGTACCAGAGGAGATGACCTCTGCCATAGACTGAACCAGGGGAGGAGGAAACATACATGGTAGAAGGTAGTGTTGCTTGTCTAGGGGCTGCACTGCCAGGAAAAACTGCTCAGAGATATGAAACTTAAAACAGGCTTCCTGGACTCAGGTTACTCAGCAACTGCTCACTTTCTGATCTTCTTTTTCCCTAGTGTTGTGTGCGGGCACAGGGGGTGGAATGGGGAATAGAAATATGAATGAGAATTTAAGCATGTGTGTGCATGTGACAGTATACAGGTGAAGAAAACTTTAGATGCAGGAAGGCCCTCACCTTCTACATTGAGACAGCATCTTTCTGTTATATTACCACTAGGCCAGGCTTCCTCACCTACACACTTCCATGGAATCACCTGTCTCTGCCTGGCATATCCCAGAAATGCTGGCACCACAGACACTCCCACTATGTTAGTGTTTTATGTGGGTTGAGGGAACTCAAAATCAGGTCCTACAGTTTGTATGGCAAGCACTTTAACCCACTGAGCCATCTCCACAGCTCCTGATCCTGACTTCTTGCCTTGCTTTCTTTTCTAGGTGTTGTCAAGTATCTGGCCTTTTCCTGAGAAATAGGAGAACATGACGATAGTAGTGACCATTGCAATGCTCCCTGTGCTGTACACAGTGGCAAGAGAAAAATCTGGCTACTACATTGGGCGGATACTATGGCTTGGCCTCTCCTACATATACAGCATATTGATATGTGTGGTCCAGCTGCCCTGGAACAACATCCATGAAGAGTTCAACTGCCATGGAAATATCACCTACCTTTGTCTTGTGGAGTGTTTTGAACAACTGTTTAGTATTCCTATCACAGGAATGTGGTACTATTTCTACTTCATCTTTATAGCCTTCCTCTTTCTCATGGAATTCTTAATGGCTCAGATTAGACATAAACACGCCAAGGTGAAGGTAAAGTCCATGCAGAAGACAGAGAACAGTGAGGAAATGAAGGCAATCAAAAATATATTCTTCGTAAACTTCCACCAAGAGAAGAAGCTGTTATACTTGTATCTCCTCCACTTCCTCCTGCAGGTCAGCATCCAGGTTGTGTTTTTGTGTGTCCTCACATTCAAACACTTGCCCATAGCAAGTCAAGGCAACATTCACTGCAGCACCAACAGCTGTTCTACCCCCTTTCACTGCGTAATGACATACACCGCTGTCAAGAAGATGACCATCTATACCCTCATCACCATGTCCATCCTGATCATTGTCTTTGGCACAAGTTACTTCATATACTGCATCCATCACTACCTAGTGGCAGCTCGTTCAGCTTCCAAGATTCTAATTTACTGAAATTTGTAAGAGATGACATAGTTACTAAAGTTCTTTCTCCTTCACACAAGGAAGTTTATGTCCCTCTCAATTTTGTTATTTCAGAAAAAGCCTCTTCCTAACCTTCTTTGGGTTTTGACTTATAAGAAATAAGCATCTATCGAGAGTGGCACACACCTTTAATCACAGCACTGGAGAGGCAGAAGACAGGTAGAATTCAAGGCCAGTCTGGCCTACATGGTGAGTTCCAGGCCAGCTAGGGCTACATAGTGAGAGCCTAGCTTAAAAATAAAATTAAATAAATAAACAAATCATAAATAAACCATAAAGCCAGGTAAAGTGGCTCATTTGTAATCCCAGCACTCAGGGAGGCAGAGAGAGGCGGATCTCTGTGAGTTCAAGGCCAGCCTGGTCTACAAAGTGAGTCCAGTACAGCCAAGGCTATACAGAGAAACCCTGCCTCAAAATAATAATAACAATAATAAAATTAATTTTTTAAAAAAGCATAAATAAAATATGACTTAAAAAATTCACCCGTTTTTATCTCAGTGCCAGGTTAGGGTCATCTGATTCTGAGAGGACAAGAACATACATTTCTTCAATAGTCACCTATAGGGTGGCTTCAGCTCCTTTTCCTGAAGCATAGGAAGATAAGTAGCTAGTAAAGGCCATTTGCAGCCAAAGAACCCACTTTAAGCCTGGGTCTGTCACCTCTCAGAACTTCACTCCACAGGAGCCTTCAGATGTCAGCTGCTCAGTGGGGTCAACGAAACTGTGCTTAATCTCAGTTGTAGCTGAAAGCAGAACTGATTTTTGCTTTCTGAACAGTTTCCATGGAAGAAGAGAATAAGGTTAACCAGTGGAGGCAGCTTGCCAAAGTGTGGTCACACCCTTCCCAGGCCAAGGTTACATCACCTTCCTCTCCAGTCTGAGATGAAAGATCCTGGATGCTAGCTCCTACAAAGGTGTCTATAATCCAAGAGTGATCCTCTAGGAAACATATCCAGGTGAGGACAGGGCAGGCTAGACCAGACCTGTACTCACCCATAGGCAAAGAAACAGAGGATATCAAGTTCCATTAACTGACAAAGGCTGGCTCCATGGTGTGACCACCCACCTTCATTGTCCAAAATGAACAGGGCTGAAGTGAGGACCTGGTGCCAGAAAAGGTCAGTGTCAAGAGCTGGGAAAAAAGAAAGAACAAGGAGATGGCCCTGGGAACCACTTGGGTATGAAGTGATGTGGAAAGCCAGAAGCATGTGACCCTGCCAGCTCCTCCCAAAGGCTTGAGGAACGGTATGTAACATTCTCCATAACATAATCTTCCATAACACCATGTTGTGTGCTGCCCTGTGGCTGCTTTCCCGCAATGATCTATTCACTTAGTCAGTGTGAGCCAGTACTGGACAGAGATGGCTTTGGTGATCTCAGAAAGCAAACACTAGAGGGAGAAGGCAGTAACAGCAGGAGAAGAGGCTAAAGACTGCCTCAGGATCCATAAGCTGCTCAAGCCCAGAATCAGATAAGAGGAGTAAGGGCCATCTTCTTGCCAGCTAGACTAAAACAAAGAAAAACTGGGAACGAAATCTATGTGGAAATATCTGAGAATAGTAGCCATCAACATAACCTATGACTGTTTAAACTGGTATCCCCAATTGCTACCATCCTAAATTATTACGAAACAAGCTATATGAAGGACTCACTCCTGATTTACAGAAGTGATTTAAACAATAGGGAGAGCTGGAGTGTATTTTTTAAGTGGTATAGCACTTGCCTATCATATACAAAGCCCCAGGTCTGACCTTCAGCACCTTAAAACCAAACCAAATCAATCAAACACAAAGTAGGGAATTACTTTTTCTATTTAGAATGTATTAAGTATATTATAAAAAGCCAACTTTGATCAGTGCCTACACATTGATTCTGCTTCTTGCGGCATGAACGGTTTTTATTAGTTGTTTGGTTTCGTTCCAAAAAAGAAAAAAAGAGGAGCTGGAGAGATGGCTCAGTGGTTAAGAGCACTGCCTGCTCTTCCGAAGGACTGGGGTTCAATTCCCAGCACCCACATGGCAGCTCGCAACTGTCTGTCATGCCCATTCCAAGGGATCTGACACCTTTATTAAAAAAAAAAAAAAAAGACAATTTTTTATATACTAGCTTGTATATGCATGCACATGAATATATATATATTCATGTACTATGCATGTACATAGTACATGAGACCCAGCCTCACAAACCAAAAGGTTTTAACTTAAAAATAATTTAGGGGATGGAGAGATAGCTCAATGGTTAGGAGCACTGTCTGTTCTTCCAGAGGTCCTAAGTTCAATTTCCAGCACCTGTATGGTGGCTCACAACCATCTATAGTGGGATCTGATGTCCTCTTCTGCCATGCAGGCATACATACAAATGGAGTCGCCTGTTGCTAAGCCTGAAGACCTAACTTTTTGGGTTTTTTAGATGTATTATTTATACAGTATCTGCCTACACGCCAGAAGAGAGTACCAGATCTCATTATAGATGGTTGTGAACCACCATGTGGTTGCTGGGAATTGAACTCAGGACCTTTGGAAGAACAGCCAGTGCTCTGAACCTCTGAGCCACCTCTCCAGCCCCTTTTCATTTTTTTTTTTTTTAACTTTTTTTTTTCCTGAAGGCCTAACTTTAACCCCTGGGATCTACAAGGTAGGAGAGAACCAACTCCCCAAAGTGGTCTTCTGATTTCTACATATGTACCATAGCACATACATTCCTGGAAAAACAAATGCAATTTTTAAAGAAAACATTTAGGGGCCGGAGAGATGGCTCAGTAGTTAAGAGCACTTGCTGCTCTTGTAGAGGACCTGGGTTCAAGTCCCAGCACCCTCATGGTGAATCACAACCATATGTAACTCCCAGTTCCTGGGAATCTGTCCCTCTTCAGACTTCTGCATACACAAAACACACATGTGGTACAGACATACACAGACAAAATACCCATACATATTTTTACTAAGTCAACATCTCCACCTCTCCTCTGGAAAACCACACACATTGTATATTACACATATGTATTCTTTTTAAATATCACCCTCATCTCCATAAATGTTTGTTTCACTTGCAACCCTCTGATCATTTAACTTACATTTTCATAATAGGAAGAACAAACAGGTGTCTCTAAAATGGGCTCCAAATCTCCTTGGTGGTTGTCATTATCACCTCCCCTTGTGTCATCAAGCTGGTGCCCTTTTCTGAGCCTTATATCTGGCTCTGGAGTCCTGGTGCACCCCAATCGGTGTTCTGCTGGCTCGTTCATGGGATACCAAAGCCTTTCTTACAAAGTGGTCTTCCTTTCTGTCCCTTCTTCTTGGGAGAATGAATTTTTAAGGGATAGTGAGTTGACCCTAAGAAGAGAAAAGTTATACACATGAGTGCCGGAAAAACACTTGAACTACATTATTATACACAAAAGCAACAGAAAATTCAATCACTAAAAAGAACAGTATTCTTAAAAACTTATACCCACATTTGACAAAGTTCAAAATGCCTTTCATGATAAAAGTCCTGAAGACACTGGTAATAGATGGAGCATATTTCCAAATAATAAAGACATTTACAACAAACTCATGGCAACATTAAATGGAGACAAACTGAGAGCATTTCCTCTAAAATCAGGAATGAGAAAAAGATGCCCACTCGCCCTCTCTTATTTGATGTAATGCTCAAAGTCTTAGCCATACAATTAAATAAGAAAAAGACATAAGAAGGATAAAAAATAGAAAAGGAAAAAAAAATACCAAACTATCTCTATTTGTAGATGACCTGATTTTTTTTTCTAACTTTTAAAAAAGATCTACAGGGCTGGAGAGATGGCTCAGAGGTTAAGAGTACTGTCTGCTCTTCCAGAGGTCCTGAGTTCAATTCCCAGCAACCACATGGTAGCTCACAACCATCTATAGTAAGATCCAGTGTCTTCTTCTGGTGTGCAAGTGTATATGCAGATAGAACATTGTATACATAATAAATAAATAAAATATATATTAAAAAAAGATCTACAGGATATAGTAGAAAATGCTTAGACCTAATTAATATGCACAGTAAATTTGCAAAATAAAAATCAGCATTAATTTTTTTTTTTTTTAACCCAGGCAGGCTCAGCAAGTAAAGGCATCTGCTGCCAAGACTAATGACCAGAGTTCATATATAGGACACACTTGGTAGAAATAAAGTCAATTCTTACAAGTTCTCCTCTGACCTTCCTACATACATGTGTGCACCCACATAAATAAATAAATATAATTTAAAAAAACAGTGGCACTGATATATACCAATAATGTACATTCTGGAAAAAAAATAGGTAAAATAACTCATTCAAAGCCACCAAAAAAAAAAAAAAAAAATACACATACACCTAACCAAAGACAAAGTCTTCTATCTGTTGTAAAAACTTCATGACATCAAAAATGGAAATCAAAAATATACTAGATGACAAAAGATCTTCCACTCTCTTTCATTAGAATATTGTGAAAATAGCTACATCACCAAAAAACATAAATGTAAATAAATGTATAGATTCAATGTGATACCCATCAAAATTCCAATGGCATGTTTACAGGTTTAGATAAAAACAATCCAAGAAACCACTGGAACCACAGTCAAAGCAATACTAAAGAGTAAGAACAATGCTGGACCTCAAGCTATACCACAGAGCTAACAATAAGAACAACCTGGTACTAGCATTAAAAACAAACAGGTAGGGCTGGAGGGATGTCTCAGAGGTTAAGAGCACTGGCTGCTCTTCCTAAAGGTCCTGAGTTCAATTCCCAGCAACCACATGGCAGCTAACAACCATCTATAATGAGATCTGGTGCCCTCTTCTCTCATGCAGGTGTACATGCAGGCAGAACACTGTATAAGTAATAAATAAATAAGCCAAAAAAAAAAAAAAAAAAAAAGGAACAGAAGACTCAGCAATGAACTGACAAAACTACATCTACCTAATTTTTGACAGCGGAGACAAAAACAAACATTGGGGAAAAGATAGCTTACTCAACAAATGGTGCTGGCAGAAGTGGGACCCACCTGGAGAACAAAACTAGGACCACTGTCTTTCACCTTGTAAAAGAATCAACTCAAGACCTTAATTTAAGCTGAGCACAGTGGCGCATGCTGTAATCCCAGTGTTCAGTGAGGCAGTCAGGTGGATCTCTGTAAATTTGAAGCTAGCCTGGTCTACAAAGCGAGTAGCCAAGGCTACACAGAGAAACCCTGTCTCAAAAAACAAACCAAAAATAGTAAAAAAAAAAAAAAAAAAAAAAATTAAGTCCTTAATTTAAAGTGTAAAACACTGAAAGTTCTAGACCTTCTAAGGGAAGGTCAGGCACCAAGCACGGTGGCACACGCCTTTAATTCCAGCATTCAGGAGGCAGGTGAATCTAGGTTCAAAGCCAGCCTGATCTGCAGAGTGAGTTCCAGGACAGCCAAGGCTACATAGGGAAACCCTGTCTTGAAAAAAAAAAAGAAAATTAAGAAAAGGAATGAAGGAAGGGAGGTAGGGAGGAAGGGAAGAAGGGAAAAAGGGAGGAAGGGAGGGCTGGAGATACAGTTCAGTGTTTAAGAGCACTGACTGCTCTTTTAGAGGACCTGAGTTGGATTCCCAGGACCCACATGGTGACTCACAACCATTCACAACTCCAATTCCAAGGAAATCCAAAACCCTTTTCCAGCCTCCTCAATCAGTTCACACATATGGTGCACAAGAAAGAATACATGCAGGCAAAACACTCATACACATAAAATAATAAATCTCAAAAAAAAAAAGTTTAAAAAGAAGGAGGTGGCAACTGGGCATGGTGGCACACTCCTTTTTGTTTGTTGGTTTTGTTTCTGTTGTTTGACAGTTTCTCTATGCAGTCCTGGCTAGCCTGGAACGCCTTAGGTAGACTAGGCTGACCTCCAACTCAGAGATCAGCTTGCCTCTGCCTCCCAAGTACTAGAATTAAAGGCATATGCCAGCACCACAGGCTGATTTCTCTGAGTTCCAGCAGAGTCAAGAAAGCAAGTTTCAGGCCAACAAAAAATATAGTGAGACCTTGTATGGGAGAGGGGAAGAGAGAGGAGAGAGAGTGAGAATAAGAATTTAGGTAAACTTTCAGGTTACCAAAAACTTAAAATAAATATCCTAATTTTAGAATGTTCTAGAGAATCAAATTTTACTACAGTTTGTCTACTGGCCTTGAAGAAAATGCATTTGTACTAGAATGGGAGACCTTGAAACCAAAAATAGACAAATAAATTAACAGATTTGAAGGGTTTCTTTTAGCAACACTACAACTTAGTTCTGCCCTACAGATTAAGTATTTAAATGCTGTGGGAATGAGGGACACAAAAACTGTAAAAAGAAAGACAATTTTCAGGTTATTACATTAACTAATAAAGCACACAACAGTCAGGGCTGGGGAGGAGGCTCAGTGGCACTTGCTGCTCTGACAGGGGAACCAGGTTCAGCTCCTACTGTCCACAACTACCTGTAACTACAGTTTCCAGGAATTCTGGTACTTTTTTCTGGCCTCTGCAGATGCTCGGTGCATATGTGGTACACATACATACTTGTAAAGCAAAATACTCATAAATATGAAACAAAACTAAATAAATATTTAAAAAGTAAACTTGCCAAGCGGTGGTGTTTCACGTTTTTAATCCCAGTGTTTGAGGGGCAGAGGAAGGCGGACCTCTATGAGTTCGAGGCCAGCTTGATCTACAAAGTGAGTCCAGGACAGTCATGGCTACACAGAGAAACCTTGTCTCGACAAAAACATAAATAAATATTTTTAAAGTAAACATGATAATAAACCATTATAAATTATAAAATTCATAATGTGATTAGCTCATAAAAGGTGTATGTATGTATGTATGTATGTATGTATGTGTGTGTATATATATATATATATATTCTCCCAGAGGAAAGCAGAAGCAGACAAAGAAGGGGAGAGGAGAGAAAAAATGTATTAGGAAGAGTGTGGGGCAAGACAGTTCAGTGGTTAACAGCACATACTCGGAGGCTGGAGAGATGGCTCAGAGGTTAAGAGCACTGGCTGTTCTTCCAAAGGCTCTGAGTTCAATTCCCAGCAACCACATGGTGGCTTACAACCATCTATAATGAAATCCAGTGCCCTCTTCTGGCCTGCAGGCAGAACACTATATACATAATTTTAAAAAATATCTTCAAAAACAAAACAAAATAAACAAACAAAAACAAAACAAAACAAAACACACAACACCAACTCCTCTTGCAAAGGACCTAACTTTGGTTCTCAGTTCTATGTCCAGCAGCTCACAACCAACCCTCTGTGACTCCAGCCTGGGTAGGGGTGAGGCACCTCTGGACTCTGAAGGCACCTGCACTCACATGTACAGACCCCACACAGAAAAACCTGCAGACACATAATTTAAAATAACAAAAACATTTTTAAAGGTGAGTGCTATTTAAATTCTTTAAGGTTTACTCCCAGATATAGTTTTAATATAATACATAGATATATATTTTATTTCCCTATTCTAAAACTAAGAACCTTAAGCATAAAATACAAAAGAGTAGTTCTAAGAATCCCTGAGGCAGCTAAGGAGGCCATGGTTCCATACCAGAAGCAACACAGGCTACACAGCATCTCATAGAGCATGGAAAGGTTGTTTTTATTTTTATGTTTCAAGACAGGGTTTCTCTGTGTAGCCCTGGCTGTCCTAAAACTCACTTTGTAAACCTGGGTGGCCTCCACCTCAGGGATCCACCTGCCTCTGCCTCCCAAGTGCTGGGATTAAAGGAGTGCACCACCACACTTGACTGGGAAGATTTTGTCCAGGATGAAAAACAGAAAAACACTTTCAAAAAAGGTGAAGATGCCCAAGCCTAAAAAGAACAGAGCGCCGGGGATATATCCCAGAACACGTACCTAAGCACCTAAACGTCGATCAGTCCCTATCAACCTGAAACACCCTAAACAGCCTTTGGCAGTAGAATCAAGATACGGAGTAACTTGGACTTTAGGGAGTAAGATAGAAAGTAGAATCAGAACAAAATTTAAAACACTAAACTCAAAAGTAATTTTTTCAAAGAAAACAGCATTTGGATCATTCTGCACAATAATTTACAATTTAAACTAGGATAATGGTAGAAAGCAAAAGATCAACTACACAGCAATTAGTAGTTTAGCAACTTATTATGATTCAGGAAAAAAAAGCCCCACAAAAAACCACAAATATTGTTCCCTGGGTAATTGAAGGCACATCAAAAAATTATAACTCCCTGAAGAATGCTAATAGAGGCTTGTGGGAAGTAGGGGAAAGCCCTGAGCAAATGTGGACCCCAATGACTCAGACATATGGAAACTGATTGGCAAAGCCTCCT